CGATCCTCTGTGAAGGGTGCCAGCCACGGCCATTCCACATCACATGCTTAGCATCTGACTAAGGAAGCCAGTTGTTTTCGAGGGCCAGTTGGTTACAGAAAATAACTAGAGCTCTGTTGAGACCCTTTCTCTCTTTGCTTTTCTCTCTGATCTGACTAACCTCTTTCATTCTTTGCCCTTACTTACATGGCTTAGACCAAAGTCTGAGACATTTAACCAATTTACAAAAATTAAATGCAGAAGGCATAATCTATCAGTTCCTGGAAACATCAAGGAAGCTGGAAGGGATGGCACTTTGTGGAGGTCACTTTGCTGAGAGTCAAGTATTCAAGGATAGGGTCTCTTCCATGATTTTAAACCATTGCCTTATATGGCAAGAGTTTTCTATTCTTCCAGCTCTTAGTCCAAGCCTGGAAGAATGAAAGAATGAATGACAGCTAACAAATGACTGACAAAGAACCAAATGCTAATTTATGTAAAAGTGACTAGATCTGGACATTATTTTTGCTTTTATAATTAACCTACTTGGATAACTTTCAAAAAGTAGCTTATTCTTAATTTGTCTTTATTTCTCTGTCTTTATTTCTTCCTTTCTTCTTCATTCTTTCCTTCCTTCATTCTTCCTTTTCATCTTTCCTAAGAATCTGCCTTCTTATAGCATATTAAAGAGAAAGAAGGCAAGAAAAAAGAAGGAAACTTTTGGCTGATAAAATATTTTCTTTTTCCTTCCTTCTTTTCTTTCTGTTAAATGTAGTATACGAAGTCAGAGTCTTAGGTAATGAAACTGATTCTGCCTTTAAGAAGAGTTCTTACTTTTCAAAGGCATATTGAGCCACTTGATCCTAACAGACAGGCACTTTTTTAAGTGAATGTCCTTGCTAATGGCAATTTACTTTCTCTTCAATTTACTGAACTTCTAGAGAAAGTAGATAGCATTATGCTGATTTGTTATTCTGGATTTAAACCAAAATTATAGCCTCCAGAGATCATGAATAAATAATTCTCAAGAAGTTTTACAGAAGTCTTCCAACTATAAACCAGCCTGAGATAAGGATACAGACAGAACAATACCCATGAAGACTGCTAAAGCCAGCACCCATTGTTAAACATTAACTGGGTGGCAGCTTTGCGTTCTCACATCCTCTATCAAACTTATCACTGCCCTTGAGTATGAGGCAGGAAAATGGTAGTGCTGGCTATTGTATGCCAGACTGAGTTAAATATATTTCTTTCTGGAAAATTTTCAGTAGAGAAAGAAAAATTCACCAGATCTGAAAAATAGCTTAATTCACACACTGTTATCAATGTCATTTCAGGTCATTATTCCTCTAGTTGCAGGCGCTCTCAAAATAAAATTTATAGTGCATCCAACCCAAAATGTTATTGTTAAACTAATTAAGAATAAAACTTCTGTGCTTAATAAATAAACCTGTCAGCCCATGTAACAGTGAAATTATCCCACATTTTATGAAGAATACAATATTTAAAATGTAAACGAATCACTTTTATACCTTTTGGCTGATCTTTGGAAATTATGACAAATTCATGTGACCCGTAAGTTGCACTATCGTCTCTCTTGGAAATATCTATTTCCATCATCACTTCCACATGGGACCTACATTTCCCTCCATTTCCCATCCAATGACTTATCTATTGACTTTTATTGATCCTATTTATTACAACACCATATTTAATGTCATAACATCATAAAACATATGATGAATCAAAATGAGGGGAAAAAATGCCCAAGCTTCCTTTTTTTGGGGAACACTCAGTCCATTTTCCCTGAGAAAAAAAGAGGTTAGGAAGTGAGGGTAGATCTTGTACTGAAACTGAACTCATTATGTTACTTTCCCAAGAATAATTGGAAAAACTTACCAGCAACCTACACAACGTTACCTTCAACGATTTCCCACTTGGAGAGGGTATTAAAAGTTGGTCATATATAACAGAATAGCAAAAAAGTTTAGGTCGTAAGGATTGAAAGGAGAGTCATTGTTCCAAACCTCCTTGTCATCTCTCTGATCCTAAGCATGATTTTATTTTATACTTTTAAATATAGGTTTCGTGCTAGGAGATATTTTTTAACCTCAGCAGCTTCTACATTGCATGAATATTTTTCTTCTTCTTTTTTTTTGAGATGGAGGTTTTGTTCCTGTTGTCCAGGCTGGAGTGCAATGGCACAATTTTGGCTCACTGCAACCTCCACCTCCGGAGTTCAAGTGATTCTCCTGCCTCAGCCTCCCAAGTAGCTGGGATTACAGGTGCCCACACCACGACTGGCTAACTTTTTGATTTTTTTGTATTTTTAGTAGAGATAGGGTTTTACTATGTTGGTCAAGCTTGTCTTGAACTCCTAACCTCAGGTGATGCCCCCGTCTCAGCCTCCCAAAGTGCTGGGATTATGGGGTGGGCCACCACGCTCGGCCCACATAAATATTTTTCAAGACACACTGGTTCAAGGGATATTTCATTAGAAACACCAGCTGCCAAAACAATCATGACATATTAGCTATGTATTATTATTTTGATGTTTTAACTATAAGTAATAATAAGAGGCAAAACCTTTAACTTCTGTAGCATTTTCTATTATGAATAAAATTTGGTAAACTTGGCATCTGGAATATTAATCAGAATATTTGCCGTCCATGAAAACAGTAAGTCAGCCATGGAAATGCCTGTCTTATTAACTGTGAAAACTAAAACACAGAGTGAAAATGTAATCTGTTTTAAATATATTCTAGCATGCAGAGAAGTGGAATGTATTTGGAAGGTCACAACTGGCATACCCACTTGCTGTTTTCTAGAATATGCTTTAGAATAAACACAGTGCCAACATGAGGCACCAAAAGAACGAACGGCCTGATACTGCTGTTTGGAGGATCTGGAAGAGAGACATTTCAACACAGTATTTTATATATATTTCTAGGTGCTAAAGCAATATCTTTTTCCTTAAAGAGATTTTATCCAAAACATATGCAAAAGGGTTACAAGTAAACCTCCTCGCTTTTATAAGTGTGTAAAATTTTCCACCCTTGAAGCTACAGCATATGTATTTCTAAAAAAGAAAAAAATATATATATATATTAGCAAACCACTAACACATGTGCACACACTAGGAAAATCGGATTGCTTTACTTGACTGAATGAATAGATGCATTTATTTACTTCTGAACTCCTATTTGAATATAAACTTGTAAGAACTGATCACTTATATTTAGAATGAACGAATAAAAACCTACAGAAAAGGGAACAGATAGAACCACGGGCCAGGTCAGGTCCTCCTGCTGTTGTCTGCCTTAATTGGGTTAACTTATTTTGACTGGTGGTCTTAGATACCTGAAATAGTGCATTGTGTATTCCTGCCCATTGACTGGCTTAGGTGTCTTTCTAGTGTGAATTTTTAGTAGAGATGGGGTTTCACCATGTTGAACATGATGGTCTCGATCTCTTGACCTCGTGATCCACCCTCCTCGGCCTCCCAAAGTGCTGGGCCAAAGTTATGTTTTAAAAGCGCTGAGAGCTTCCCACATTAGGAGTAAAGCAATAATACTTTCATGATAGACACAATGAACACAAGTGAGGAGATAAAAAAAAAAATTGCCGGAAAGGAGTCTTCAGAAAACTAAAACCTAAAATCATAGAGTAATTTAATCGAATCAGCGTAGTCAGAGTTACATTATCAGAAGTAAGTCTGAGGCTGGGCTTGGTGGCTCACACCTGAAAATGCAGCACTTTGGGAGGCCAAGGTGGGAGGATCACTTGAGCCCAGGATTCAAGGCAACAGCGAGTCATAATCACATACCACTGCACTCCAGGCTGGGCGACAGAGAGAGACTCTGACTCAGAAAAAAAGAGAGGAAAGGAATTTGAGTATGTTTGGGGTGCTGTAAGATGGAGTGGCTAGGTGGGCATTTAGAAACCACAGCAACATTTGACAAGGTATGAGATCAGAACATCAGATTATAAACGAACACAGGGCTAGCCTGATTAGACCCAACTGGATTCTAGGTTTTCTGATTCCAATCCAGAACTTTCTTGTAAGATTTGCTGTTTTATGACCTCCATTTTCTGTCATGTAGTAAATACCAATAAATACTTGACTAAATGACTCATTTTCACTATTCATACTTTTATTCTCCACATTATTCCAGATATGAGGATTTCTCTAAACTTGGTGAGTATCCTGAATCATATATTAGAGGAGGCTAGCGTGTCTCACTTTGCTTAGAGAGGAATATGTATACTATATAGTTTTTAAACAGAGAACACTCCCCTCACTCCAAACTGAACTGTATACAAGACAGGAATATATAAAACATACAAAAGTAGAGCTTCTATAGTTCAAAAATTAAACATGCACAGGACATACACACCCTTCTATTGGTACTTCCTACAGAGCTATTTTGGCCCAATTAACTCTATCTATGAACAAAGGGCATTCAGTCTTAGGGGCAGCTCACCTAAATCCACAGGGGAATTCCAAAGCTGGGATAGGAACTCATTCCCACTAACCTTGACTTAGTGTTCTTTCTGGTAATTTACACTGCTTGTATGCACACCTGTGGATGTTTCTTTCTGTTTGCTTAGTTGTTTGCATTCCGTTTTTTTAGGTATTTTCAAGCTGTAACATTGATAAGCTACAACAGTTTACTTTCCCATTTAGTATTTTTACCAGTTTTTACTAACGTCCCTAAAATCTAGATTATGCTATTACTAACAAACTTTTGGTCAAATATAGAATGAAATAAATATATTTAGCTAATTTGATCAAAAGTCCAAATGAACATGGTTTAACTAATTACAACAACCACAGAGACACAGTCAATTCTGAAAAGAGAAATCCTATAAAAGCAATTTACTTAAAATACTTTATACTTGGTTTTAGTGTTTTATAAGATTGAATAATAACAAATTTATCTTTTTATAATTAAAAGTTACACGAAGTTGGTGATTTTCTAATGCAGGATCCACTGTAAAAAACAAAAAAAGACTTCAGACATCTAAAGTGAATTTCAAAGAGAGAAAATCACAGAATTGGAAAATATGGAACTGTTAAAACTACAGGAATAACTAAAACAACATAAAGATCTGGTCTTTTGTTATTGTTTTAAAAAACACACTTTTAAATTATTAAAACTACCTTCCAAAACAGTTCATCTTCACATTTCCAAAATGAAGTTTTAATTAACATCCATCCCCTCACTCAATGAATAAAAATGTGACACCCCAAATAATGTTTAAATTAATATATATGTTTATACAGAAAGAGAGATACATGATAAATATGCAAAAATCATATAATTTATGTGTATGTGTATATTTGTGATAAACTAGATTCTTCAGATAGCAATAGAGTAATGGTAATATAATTTCCAAAATAACAATTAATACCTGTAAAATAAGCTATAAGATATTAAGAACTTTTGCCCAATTATTGAATTTTAATTTCAAAACAATCCATGAAGGAGTAGGATAAAGTATATATACTTTGCATATATTTTATTTTCTGACTGAAGACTATTGGTGCAGGTGAAGAGTAAGTATAAAGAACTATTCATTGTCAAGACCTGCCCAAAGCCTCTTATCGTTGTCCTTGTCACTAGTGAGTGCATGTATGCATGAGTGTGTGTAGAGAAAATCACAGAAAATCCAGAGACACGGAAGACCAGATTGTCCTAAAATCCCACTCCGCTAGCTTCACCACTGCTAAGATTTTATTATATTAAATTTCATCTCTTTCCCTATGCATAGAATTACTACAAATAGCTGTCCTAATCAGGTTAGTTGGTATCATTGCTTTCATCTAACAGAATCTAGAGCCTCAGAGAGAATGAGGAGCTTGCTCGGGTGCACACCATTCCCTGGTGCTCTCCATGATCCAGTTTCTGTTCACATGCCACACTCCCTCACCCACCCAGGGCCACGGAATTGCAGAGATACAGGCCCACGGTTGAGAGTCAGGCAAAGAAACACACATGTTACTAAGTGCATTTTCATCATCTTTGAAGTAGATTTACAATTGTATTACGACTATTTATGTAATTATATTTTCAGATATCAATATTCAAAATAATTTTTAGGATGTAACATTTTATAAAATATCATATCTATTTTCATGTATTAAATTCACTGCAATGAAGTCTCTTAAAAAAAAAAGAAACACACATGTTAACCTAGACAGCAAGAAAACATTCTGTCAGGATTAGATTTCCTCCCATCCATTAGACGTGTCTTTAGGAAATACCAGAAAGAGACGGAACTCAGCTCCCCCATGTTTGGAAATGGGGTGTATCTGTTTGTCCATTTGCCCAACAGTGTGAGTGCAGCCAGGCACAATTTTGGGCCGTTACTTCCAAAGAGGGCAACACGGAGCCTACCTGCCCATCACAGAGGCAACATTTTTTTAAAAAGGCTACTGCTGTGTCAACTGGATATGAGAGCAGGAACATTTTGATATTTGTGAAAAATAGCTCAGTAAACATTCCATCACATTTCATAGCAAGTGTGTTCCACCCATTGACACAAAACCCCTGGCCTGCTCTCCTCTGGGTTACTTCTAGCTTTTCAAACATTAGGTAAACATAAAAGCAAACATCAGCTATCTTTTTTTCTTCCTTTCTTTCTTTGAAATTGCCATATGGCAAGAGTTTCTCCTAATATCTCTTAATAAAATCCAGTAATTTTAACAAAAAGGCAGCCACTCCCTCTACAAAAAAAAAAAAAAAAAAGGTAAAACTCAATCCACTAAATAATGTGTTCAAGCCATGAGGGGAAAAAAATGAAGGTTATTACTAGAAAGTCAGACAAGTCCCTTTGTATTTATTCCAACAGCTGCTTGACATGAATGGAGGCCACGTAAGGAAAATTCAGGTAAATATTCCAGATTCAAACAGTTACCCAGGGGTCAAAAAGACACTGAGCTTTTTGAGGGTGTGGTGTTATACTTATCCTGAAAAGGCAATTTTTAATATAAAATGTGTAGCCTTTTGATTTATAGATCTTAACGTATTTCAGACAGGGAAAAAATGTGACAGCATTATGCTTGCGTGACGCTGGAGAATGTGTGGCTAAGCTAAGAGCCTCGCCCAGGTCCCAGCTGGCCAGAGAACCCATCGGAATCAGAGGCCTGCCTCCTTAGCCAACATTTTCATCCTTGCTTTCCTAAGCCTGTGAGTCCACTTGCAGAGCTGAAATTCTATGTAGCTAAATAATATGTTTTCCAGCGCAGTGATTTGACATCGATCGCACTGGTCATCCATAGCTATTTCCCCTTCCCCACTCAAAAATCATCCTATTGGCCTATTTAAAAATTGGATTTTGAAGGCACATGAAATGGCGTATAAATGTAACAACAGATCTCCTCCTCCCTGGCCTCAATACATACAATTTTAGAAAACCAAAGCAATCATTACCTGAAAAGGTCTTGTTTCTGGCAGAAAAAAAAAATCAATTTAATTATAAAAGATGTGTCTTAACGTTTTAATTGTTGTTAAGTATAGTGCCTCACTGACACTGTCTCCCTGGATCTCAGTTTATGAGCTTTGACATGACTCAGATAACTTGCTGAGGAGAAAGAAAAAAAATCCATTTTTCTTAAAAGAACTGAAGAGGCATTGTGCCCAAATCATTAGAACCCTTGACTGTGCTCATAATGATGAAGGCATCATTTTTCTTGCATGAAACTTTGGTAACAAATTGCACAGCCAAGTCTTTTCCAGCACTGTTATTCTGTTTTAAAAAACACTGACATTTTCTTAAACAGACATAATTTACAATTTTAAGGAGCACAACAGTGCCTTGGTGTTTGAGGGCCAGAAAGCAAACAACACTCCTTTCAGTTAGATGTTTTAAAAGGGAGTCTCGTGCTTAGTGAGTTCACTATAGCTTAAGGCCAGAGAGACAGAGCAGAGAGAGAACAGAGCACCAGTGCAGCATGTGAAGGTCATGACCAACCAGTCACATTACATTAAGAGTCAGAGCAAGGCAGAGGAGCTGGAGGAATGAGAGGGGTGAGCAGGACAGCCAAGCCATGCCCAGCACAATACACAGTGAGGCACCACAGTGGTGCTATTCCATTGTGGGGCTAGAAGTGGCCACAGATTTCTTTCTATCAGACTGTGAGGGAAGCAGCAGTCTCGTGGATGCTTCTGTACTTAGAACGCTCTCTCTAGCAGGCCCTTCTGTAAATGTCACACAAAGGGAGCCTTGCCAGTGTCCATGTGCCTGGATCAATAACTGCAGCAATGTTCGATTTCCAGTGGGGTCAGCTCAGCCCAAGTAGATAAATAGAAGCCTGCGTAGGATGATGCAGGGCTGTTGTTTGGATGAGACCATATAAGCGAAGGTTATGTGTAAGGAATAAAAATATCAAGGTTTTATTTCTAAAACCACCTATGTGTTTCAGTGCCCTTGGTAAAGTTTCTCTTCCTGTATTTCCTAATAATCCTTCATTAAATAGCGGTGTCTCATGGCTGGGGAAAATGATTTTTGTGAGGGAATCCGCATTTGTTTGTGTGTGTGCATTTGTATGTATTCTTCTTATACATTGAAACTATATGTGTGTGTATTATGCGTTTATAGATGTATACGCAGATATGTGTACATATACATTTACACATATATAGGTACACACAGCTCACATATCTCGTTTTCCTATGAGAACATGTTTGCTTTTTTCTTGATGTATATGTTACCTTTCTTCATCAACGAAAGTTCCCAATCCAGGTAATGCTCCCAGCATATGGAATGCGACCATTCGCCTTTTCTACAAACATCATTTAAGTCCCTATGCTGTTCTAGGAATAACCCAGAAACTCATTACACAGATTCCTTCCATGAAATCTGTCATCAATTTTGAAATGCATTACACCTACCAACACAGTGACAAACCAGCATGATGAGTGCACCCAAAATGCAAATGAACTGAGCAAAGCGTAGAGTAGAATGATGAGGGGAGGATTCCCTCTGCTGAACAGGAGTCAGGGAAGGCTCCTGCTTAGGGAGAGGCACCTCTTCCGGGTGTGAACAGACGGGAAAAACAGTTCACCAGGCAAGCAAGGGGAAGAATGACTCTAGGCAAAGGAATGGGCAACTGCAAAGGCACAGAGGACCACAACACTGTGGTGTGTGCCTTGCTCAGGTAGAAGGTCACACAGCAAGGCAACAAGGGGTGGGAAGCCAGGCTGAATAAGGAGACTGAAAACAACCTGAAACAGGTGTACCCCGTGCTATCAGTTAAGGAGCTTGGCTTTTATTCTAGGAAGCTTCACTCAAAATGTCTCTGTGGAAACTAGCACTATAGATATTTAACAGGTAAAACTTGAAAAAGAAATTCCGTGATTACATACATTAAAATAATTCTGGGCCGGGCGCAGTGTCTCATGCCTGTAATCCCAGCACTTTGGGAAGCCCAGGCGGGCGGATCACAAGGTCAAGACATCAATACCATCATGGCCAACATGGCGAAACCCCATCTCTACTAAAAAATACAAATTTTAGCTGGACATGGTGGCACGCGCCTGTAGTCCCAGCTACTTCGGAGGCTGAAACAGGAGAATTGTCTGAACCCTGGAGGCGGAGGTTGCAGTGAGCTGATATTGCACCACTACACTCCAGCCTGGCACCTGGTGACACAGCGAGACTCTGTCTCAAAAAAAAAATAATAATAATAATTCTGGATTGAAGTGGTTTATTTGGGCCATCGCCGCTCCAAATGAATGCATGTGAAGGCTCCGGGAGGGGCTTTCACTGGGCAAGTTTTCTAAATCATATTTTCCATTTATTAACTTGCTGAAGTTTCTTTCTGGTTCCCTCTCTCTTAGGAAATGCTGACGTAAGTGCTGGATAGGCAGTGAAATATTTTAAACAGTGGAGCAACAGAGGTCTTACCAGTCTTCTATTTTGACATTTTTGACATCATTTTCTAATGACAGCGGAGCAACAGAGGTCTTCTCAGTCTTCTATTTTGACATTTTTGACATCATTTTCTAATGACAGCAAAGGGACTAATTAAGAGGTTATTAGTAATTAAGAATAATGTCCTTATCAAAGGCAGAGGGAATGGAAGCAGAAAGGAAAGAATAATTTCAGGAAATAATAGGTTGTAGAACCATCTTTTCCCAGATCACTGGATGGTATATGTTTTCTTAGCTCTAAATTTTGGATAAACTGAGTTGCAACTTAGAAAATCACAATGTGTCCCAGATGTATTTCAATGATCACAGATAAAATCTACTCATTGTTAGTTTGTGCTTTGTCAACTTTTCTCCTGGAGAAATTGGATTTTTGGCCAAGAGTGTCTATCCCATATTATTTCTCCAAAAGCAAAGCACGCAGTAGGCTAGAAAGTAGATGAAAGTCAGCCCCGGTCACGGTGGAAAAACCAGTGAGCCTAGACTAGAGGAAATTCTGGGGCTGATCCCACCGAGACCACAGAACAAGTCAAGGTCGCTCTACCCAGGTGGCTTGCTGAGAAGCCTTTGACTGCAGATACAGAGTGACCAAAAATTACCAAATTCGGAGTGGAGTGGGTTAGGAGTTGGGGGTGGTGGTGGAGGGCGCAATGTAAACCGGAAGTAACCAAGTTGTATACCAAAGAAGGCAAATGGGAGATCAGGCCCTCTTCCCTGCATTGAGAGAGGAAAGGCAGAAAAGGGAATGTGTATTTCCTGCATGACATCCTTGAAAAAGTGTGACTCTTCTGTCGGTTCATTTAAATTCCAAATATCTCCCTACATCTTTAAGGTCGGTAAGATTCCTCAAATTACCAAGAACAAGGGAAGATCTTGGATTGTAAACCTGAAGGAGGCTGCAGGGATACAGGTGGAAAAATAACATCTATCAGTATGTTTTCAGGAATGCCTATAAAATGAACCCAAGCAAGTGATGCTTCTTTCTATAAACACTACACGCCACATCAAGCCTTTTGTTTTTATTTGTAACCAAAAATATGGCATAAAACATTCAGAGATCTTAAAGGAAGCTTTCCTAAATACACTGCAGGTTGATGTGAACTGAGTGTCAGTCAGAAGCCCTTGTCGAGGAGGTCCACGGCCCACATCAATATTTTGCTATTTTCTTCAGGGACCTGTACGCTCTTCCCGCTACCTAGATGCATCTATTTGATCTGACGGCTCTGTGGACACGAGAGGCATCTCACTTTCTTGCTCTTCATCTATCTCTCGCCTGTTAAGATTACGGGGTATTTGAATTTAAATGAGAATTTTAAAAGTGGCTGAAGCGGGTCTGAGCTGGAGTTTTTCATGGGAGTGTCAGTACTGAATAAGTTGGCCGGATCAAAGCCACAGTCTGTGTTCCACAGGAGCTTTTGAAAACGATTTAGAATAAAACAAGTGGAGGAAAAATCCTCCTTGTGCCAGACTGCAGGCTGCTGCTGCTTAAACACACATCAAGGCAAAACTGTAAAGCTTGCAGTTAGCCCAGATACCAGGCCAAGAACTGCAGCCTCTCTTTGAATATTTTTTTTTATCCATTTCTTCCCAAAGGAATGAGGTCACCAACCAAAAAGTTGCACCTGATCCTCTCGGCTCTCTTGGAAGATGCTTGCTTGCCCAGTTAACAGTGCTCTCACCTACAGAAGCTGTATCGTGGGATTAGGAGAGGTGGCTTAGGAATAGATTTAAACTAGGAGAAAATGCTTCATAACTGAGCCTGGTCTTCACCTACGAAGCACCATAAGATGGAGGAAGTAAAAGAGATACTTAACCAACGGCTTCTGCTTCCGGCTATTTTGCCCTTTTGCTTTTATTCCTCAAGAGTTTGCAAAGGTTTTCTCCACCACGGTAACCTAGATTGTCTACTATTAATTTGGATATCAGAGAATCCAAGCGAATTAGAGGAAATGGTCCTTCTCAGTGCCTTCCAGATAAGACATAGACTACAAAGCCCAGGACGTTCTGTTCTACTGCAGTGCAGGTTTTGGTAACTAAAATTAATAACTAGTTTGACACTGTCATTGGGAATGACGTTGGTGAAATGCAGGAGTCAGGTTGGTTTATATTTGATTCCTGGCCTCCTTGCCCCCAGGCAAGGAGAGGTGCAAAATAACAACAGTAGAATTACCATCTTCAGGAGGAATCACAAAAGCATCTGTTCAGGTGTCTATTCGATGATGTCGGAAGGAATGCGAGAGCCCAGGCCAGCCCTGTGGGGCTTGGAACACCAGGAATCTCACCTCGCTTGCTTACTCTTTTGCCCATCTTAAGGGAAGCCCACTATTGCAGACCTCTCCACATCCACCAATGCTGCACTAATTAAAATACTGTCATCAGTATTGCGACTGTATTCGCTTTTGCTGATTTTTAATATCCACTGAGGTAGCTTTTAACAGTGCTGAGCTGTCTGTTAATCTAAATTATCTAAATTATCTTTATTATAATTTAATCTAAATTATATTTCTAGGTATGCATCTGCATCATCATGACATCCGAATTATCTTTTTGTTTGTTTTTTAGTGCTTTGATTACAAAGATTAATTGGAGTGTCTGTTTCCCTAAATTCTATTATTTTTAATGTGCAATTTCTCAGGAAACACATTGCTTTATGAGACAAAATGTCCGTATTCTCATTCCATTTAATTTCTCATCACCACCTTTACATACATTGCCATGTAAATTGTCAATAGCCATAACTTTTGAATGAATGTTCTATGTCAGGTACTACTTTCAGCACAGTAGATTATTTCATTTAATTTTAATATATCCATCTCCTTAAGCAATCAGAAATTTTAGGAAATGTTTTCAACCTCACTGAGCTTGAGTAAATGGTACAATCAGGATTCAGAGTAAGTCAGGGGACTCGGTTATATATTATCAATGGAAACAGTGTCAGCTTTAGGTTTGGATAAAACTGAGACACAATAAAACAGACTTTACACCTGGATGATCCTGGATGGCTACTCAAAATATGATGCAAATCTCCAGCATCAGCCATCTTGGAACCTGTTCAAATGCAGATTCTCAAGCCCTAAACAGGCCTAGAGAACCCTAATTTTATTATCTCATTTACTTTTCAATCTGGACCTTGGAAGTATTTGAGAATACAAAATTATTTAAGGGAGTTATGAATTCAAAGAAGCAGCATGAATTTTCTGAGGAATAAATATGTCTTGAGAATTCTGTTTTTGTAAATGTGAAAAGAGACATTTGAGTCATTTCAATACATACTTACATGACAATATTTCTGGACCCAAATAAAATGTTTTTTTACTATAACCCTATACATTTTCTTATGTAATGGATACTAGAAGTATTAGTATACAAAGACTTAGGGTTTTTTTTTTTAATTAAAAGGGATATTCACAGTTTAAAATTTAGGAAAAAGTGATGTATTTCAAACTTCCACCTGATGTTGACACTTCCTTTTCAGTATCCCTGAAAACATCACTTAGATTGAACTTGAGGATTCTCATTGAGAACCATATCTCTCATCAGGCAGCTGATTCATTTTATTAGAAGCTCTATTTTTTTAGAAGTTATTTTAGTGTTGTATTTATACCTTAATACAGTTCAGGAAACACTACCAAAATATGGCACCATGACATATTAAAAAACGGCAGAAGCAGGACTCTCTGACCTCCTATCCTTCTTCCCTGATGCAGGTCATAAAACCTAGGACGGATTTTCTGCTCTTGCCCTGAAGCAGTCCATAAGATCTTCACGGAAGAGGTGTCCTCCCTATACCTTGAGAAAAGAACCATATTCTGATATCTGAAGATGAAGGGACAACACAGAAGGATCTGAATGCACAAGCCTCACTAAGCTTCTCCCAATTCATCACCATTAAATCATACTCTTTACCCTATCATATTTCTCCAGCTCTCTCTACTACTCATCAAACCTGCTATAAAATACACTCAGGTTTAACCGTTTCTTTGGGCCTTCATTTCCTTATGAAGGTTCCCATGACATACAAATATTATAGTAAATAAATGTCTGCTTTCTTCTTGTTAATCTGTCTTGACATATGTACGTATATTATATGTATGTATATTACATATACATATATATTTATTATAGGGATCTCAGCTAGGAACCTAGGATGAGTAGAGCAAAAGATTATGTTTTCTACCCTACAACCTCATTGTACTAATTTCAGCTTCTAGAGCTAATGATAATTAGAAGCCCGATCCCATGCTTTGTCTTCAAATACCAAAGACATGATATGTCTCTTTCGACCTAAACATTATAGTTACCTCCTTCCACTTCTAATCATTGGACATGATTTCTATATACCAAAAGTTTCCTTTCTTTTAGTTTTTGCCCCCTTAAAATATAGTACAAAAAAGACCACCCCATACTCAAAATGGGACTTTTGCCAGGACAGCTACAGCTGTTACCTTTCTTGTTTGAGGTGATACATGTCTATACTAGGTTATAGTCTGAGATATCCTATTGAAACTTACAATTAACTAAATAGCCTAGAACTTTTAATTTTAACTGTTATGATGCTGGGCCCTCAATATCTTCCAACTGGTAAAGCTGATTTGATTCTTTTAAACCTAAGCATAAGAATTTTACATTCGGCCCTGCACAATTCAACATGTTGATCCGGGTCTATTATTTCAAAACTAAAATTTTTATTTCATTTGGCTCCTGTTCCAATTTGTTAGCTTCCCTAAACTTTTATTCCCTGAAAAATGAAAATATAAATGAAATGAATTCCTATTAATGTGCTTTTGTTAACCCCTTCTTGTGACTATCTTCTTAACACCAGGAGGGACATTATCTTCTTAACCCTTCTTAATCCAGTCTAGAATTTGTCAGGAGTCAAGGAGAACATTACAAACCTGTAACCTCCTGATGACTGCATTCTTACCATTTAGACACCAGTCTTCTGGCACTTCACTCATTCGTAACTGGCGTGGTTTGTATATGTGTCCCCACCCAAATCTCAAGTTGAATTGTAATCCCCATTATTGGAGGTGGGACCTGCTGGTAGGTGACTGGCTCATAGGGATGAAATTCTCATGAATGTTTAAGCACCATCCCCTTGGTTCTGTCTTTGCCATAGTGAGTGACTTCTCCTGAGATCTGGCTGTTTAAAACAGTGTGGCACCTTGTTCTGTGTCTCTCTCTCCCTCCTGCTTTGGCTGCATGACAGCCTGCTTCCCCTTTGTCTTCTGTCATCATTGGAAGCTTCCTGAAGCCTCCCCAGAAGCAGATGCCACTATACTTCCTGTACAGCCTGCAGAACCATGAGAAAATTAAGCCTCTTTTCTTTATAAATTACCCAGTCTCAGGTGTTTCTTTGTAGCAATGCAAGAATGGCCTAATACGATAACTACTCAGAAATTATGAGTAATGACTCTTTGGAAAACGTCTAGAAATTACTTTGGTATCCTGGAATAGTCTTAGTCTAAACACAGGAACACATTTACAACCAACAGATGTTATTTAAGTATCTCTCTCTCTTTGGGTCTCCTTGGATCCAGTTATCTCTTTACCATGTTTGTTATACCCATTTTTAATTTGAGGATCATTCTTTTGAAGAAAGAAGAAAAACCACTGTAAACTTCGCTTTCTCTGTGTAATTTTTAAATATTATATACAGCCCACCTTCCGACTTCCTTCTCTTTGTTCTAAATACGCACTGCAGTGTGCTTTAGTTATCCTGAACATTTCTGTGCATTCTGTGACTTTCTCCCTCATGACATTATTCGTGGTGCTCTGTACCATGTCTCCTTCTCCATCCTTGTTGATGGACCCCTTCTGTACATGTTATCCGGTTTCTAAATGATCTCTTCATTCAACCAGACTAAGATTACAATTTGGGGGGTTTTCTTTAAACATAAAATCAACAAAATATCCCAGATCTCTTCACTTTAATTGTTGTAAAGATAGATCCTCAACGTCCTCCCACAAGCACTTTAAGTTCATATCCAGGATGAAGCAATTTTCTTCTTCTCCATCGCTATTTATCCTCTTGTAACACTCATCCTGGTTAGTGGTATTTCAACCTAACCAGTTACCCAAGGCAGGAACCAGGAGGATCCTTAACTCATTCTCCCCATGAGGCTCCATATCCAATCACTCAGTAAATCCTGCCATTGCTTTCAAATCCGTCTCTCCTTCTCCATCCTCACTGCCACTGACTTAGTTTAGGTCAGTTCCTTTCTTTTTTCCTGGAGGATAGCAATTATCTCCTTGGTGAGGTGTCCAGTTCCAGATAAGTTTCTCTATAATCCCTCCTCTCCATTGTCAGTATGATATCATCTAACACACATACCGCATATGATACCTACACTGTCCAAAAACCATACATGGTTTCTTATTAAACACAATATAAAGATGACTGAACTATCAATCCTTGCTTCTGCTCAACTTTTCAACTTCTGGGCTCCTCGTACTACCTACTGTCCTATACCCTGCACTTTTATCTTTTCTTTGAATCCCCATCCACCTGACATCTTTGCAGAAATTTTATCATTCTTCAAAATTTCAGTAAATTCTCTGGTTTTCTTTTAAGTTGTTTATGATTCACCAAAGTTAAATTTGGCACTTCTTCCTTTGGGGCCACTAGTGGACCATGTATATGCTTCTATTACTTCTCATTACACTGTACAACAGGTATTTGTTTGCATATCCATCTCCTGGGATAGGCTATGAAATCACTGAAAGTAGCACATGGCTTGAACATATCTGCATCCACTCCTGATACATATATACCAGGGAGGCAGGCAGAATAATGCACATCCCCTACCTCTAAACATTTCCGTATCCTAATCCCCACAAGTGAATATGTTGTACTACAAGGCACATGAGAATTGCAGATAGAATTAAGGTTGCTAATCACCAGATTTATTAAGAATAGGGAGATTATCTTAAATTATCTAGTGGAGACAATGTCATCATTATCTTAAGGAAGTGAAAGAGAGAGGCAGAAGAGAAGGTCAGAGTCCCTGAGAGGAAGTCAACCTGCTCTTGCTGTCTGGGAAGACAGAGGAAGGAGCCACAAGCCCAGGAACACAGGTGGATTCTAGAAGCTGGAAAAGGCAAGGGCATGAATTATCCTCTATGGCCTCTAGAAAGGACTGAAGCCCTGTTGACACCTTGAGTTTTGCCAGTGAGACATGTGCTGAACTTCTGACCTCCAAAGTGAAGTCTGAGATAAGAAATTTGGGTTGTTTGAAGCCGCTAAGTCTGTGGTTATGTGTAACAGCAGCCATGAGAAACTACAACATAATTTTCATGAGTAAGTTGGTATATATTGGCTTGAGGTGGATTTTTTGCCCAATTTGGTCAATTTTCAGCCAAATATCTGCTGATAAAGTATCTATTTACTATAATGGGGCAAAAGCATTTTAGAGGCTAAAGTCCTATTTGCATATTGAATATACACACATAACTTATTTAGTTAAGAAAAATCAGGGTTTTTTTTAGGAAGGTAGATTTCACATCTACTGTATGCTCTCTTATGAATGTTGTTGGTTTTTTTTTTCGCTACCTTAGAAATTTTTTAGAATGAAAAAGAAAATTATATTCTGTTGAGTTCACTATAAGAAAAAATCCTCGATCTTCAAGCATATTTCTGGGAGAAATAGTTTTTTGCATTTCCAAAGCACACCGAGAATTCTTGGCTCCTGTCACCCAGGTTTTCAGTGTGGCTGACTTCTGAACCCCATCATGCCCATCGGGGACACTTATTTTCAGAGGAGTGTTAGGTGGGCAGGACACTTGCAAAGTATTTGTTCCCTTGAGGCTAAAGAGAGAAGCATTTGTTTTCCTCGAGGCTAAAGACTTAATTTGTTACTCAGTTTTTCACTAACTTCATGGATCTAAGACCCAGGGTGGAGAACAGAAAAAGTGATTGCATTCATTTAAATGGACCAATACACAGAATAAGAAATAGTGTTAAAATGTTGGATGTACCCCGCAAAGCAAGCAGTGCTATAATTATCATAACAGTCAACCTCTCTCATATTGCCATGAAGTATAAAACACAGCAGCAACGTACCTATCTTTAATTAGCCATAGTTAGTATTTGTTATGGCCACTGAACATGCTACTCTGATTACCATGTATTAGCATATAATTTGCATGCACACCTCAAGGTATTTGATTTTATTGCTGTTACCTTTTGTGGCCCTATTTCAGTAATGACTCTAATGGAATACAAAGAGACTTCTGACTCAATACACTTTGCAATCCTGGGAGTTTTACAATGGAAAGTTCTGTTTAAATACAAATTCTTCCAAAAAGTGTCTGTGTATTCTTAATATGGTCAATGGGCATAAGCACTTATCTGGAAAATCTCTAATAGGTACCCAAGTAAAAATATTTATCTTCATTCTGAGCTCAATAAAGATATCTTTTAAAAGTAAATCTTGAGGTATAAATTGTTTCATGTTTGCTTAAAAGAAAGTCGCACACACAATTTAAGGAATCTTACCAGTCTATCAATAGCTAAAGGTCCCGAGAAAGAAAAATAACAGCTGCAGCTAGAGAATTTGGAGAAAGGTCAGAGGTCAGTGCCTGCATCTGCATTCACTGGGAGACAGAGAGGAAAAATAAAGGGGCTCTCTTTGTGGCAAGTCAGCACTATTTTAGAAAGTGCAGATACTGACTTAATTACCAATGTTCCCTTTTGCTCTGGGGTGCTGCGGCAGGCTATAAATCAATACCTAAGGTCACATTGCTAAAAGCATGAAAAAAACTCACTCTTTCTCGCACTTGGGAGCATTGTTTTCTGCTTCTTTCTCAGCGTCACTAGCGTTCGATATCAGACAGAAACAGAGGGCCGGCGTCATTGCAGAGAGAATCAGAATTATGAAAGCTGATGTGTGAAGCAGGCCTTCTGAACTCCAGACCACTCTTCAGCTGTGTCCAGGCTCCCATCATTACTTGATTGTTTGTTGTGGATTACTTTATTTGTCATCCTTATATCCAGTTCTTAATCGTAATTGCACGAATACATGTTACCCTACATTCTGTGCCAATGTGAAAGTAAAGCAAACCTTTTATTCATAATTCAAAAATAATTTCAATGTAATGTGTTTGGGTATGCTTATACATTTTTATTCATTTCTCTGTCCACATGCTATACAATTTCCTACACCTGATTTTATAAAGGAAGGAAATGTTGCAAAAACGGTTGCTAGTCCTTTTATTGGCAACTGTGTTTGTAAACCTAGAGAGACTACAATATCTGAATAAGGTGATATACAAAATGAGAAAATAGGCATTGCTAGGGAAAACATTCTTAAAACAGCTTCCCTTGATGATCTGAAGAGTCGAAAGGAGTTCTGATTTCTATGCGTCGAAGAGAATCTGTTTGAGTTGTCACTGAGGTTTGGTTCACAGGGCACTTTGACAACATCTACAGCCACATCAGAATGTGGACCATTTCAATAATTGATGCTGGAATTGGATCCACCATGGATCAGATCAACCATGCAGCACATGCAGCAGGGTAATTTGGTTGTTGAGACAAATGAAATAACGACATTGATTTTGCCAGGGGAAAAATGAGCCACATGATAGATGTAACATCTTTAAGTATTGAAGCTTTAGGGCTTGGTCTACACATTTAGTGTGTCCATAATAGTTTACTTTTCAATGCATATTACATGCTTTTAAATAGTTTTTGGAACTAAAAAGAGGTGAAAATAATGCATTTATAAAGATAATGTCAATCATTCCTACAGAACATCCCTATTTCTCCATGTTTTTCTTCACAGTTAAAAAATTTTTTTAAACCTTGATATTTTTTCAGAGCTCCTTAATTTGGTCCAAGGCTCTATGTTTCTTATACCATCTAGGCTGACACCTATGAAAGGTACTTTCTAAAGATCTCCAAGGTAAAGAGATTTATAGTATGTATACATTTCATTTGATAATTATTTTACTGAATCATACAGTTACAAGCAGTAATATCCCTTAACACTCACCTGATTTAGAGAAAAAAGATGGAGGGCATCACATTTTGCTGCAAAGGCTTAGTTACAATTTAGTAACTAATTTGTTTGGAGGGAAAATTTCTAATAATTAAGAGGCACTGCTTCCTTAGGGTGGCAAGTGTTTATTTATCTAATTATCACTACAAAGTGCTCCACCGATAATACAAAATCTGCCACCTTTCCCAGACTCAACAAAGGAGATTTAACTTAAAATGAAATAATAGCATATAGTAGCAACCAGTATTTTCCCAGACATTATCCGGGAACTGTGAAGTTGAAAGAAGAAATTCATTTGCTATTCTCTGATTAAAATGGGAAATAGATAGAAAATGCTGTTCGTTTTGTTGCCACGATGAGTTTTCCAGAATGAACACACATATTATTATAACTGCCCCGATTATAAAACACAAGTCATAATTGAAGGTAGTGTCTACCCTAAATACTGAGGGCGATCTGCCCTGGCATCTAGCTACCCATTCTGCCTTTGGGGATCCATTGAGCATATGCACATTCCATCAGCCAGAGTCTGCCAGCATCTAATGCCTCTCTAGGGCTTTGCCATTACCCAATTTGAATGCTGAGAAGATGCTCATAATTGCTTATTATGACATTAGACAAGAGAATTCAAGTCCCATTTGATTGTAATGAGTTTGTGGAATCTCTGCTTTCTGTGGGTCCAATCACATACAGAAGCGAATGTGAGGCAAGTTTGATGAAATAGAATTATGCCTGAAGAGGTGAGCATGAGGCTCGGACCTTGTTCACTTAAGGTTTTTTTCTTATTACTTTCAGCATTCTGTTGATGAAAATAAAAATCATATCAATGATAAAATCTTTTGGCAGGAAAACATAAACTTCTTTGCAAACTAATTTATTTTCCCACGTTACCACTGAAATGATTCAGACTTACTGTCTTACATTGCAGATAAGCAAATTAAGCGGTAAAGAATTAAAATTATGTATTAAAGATTTATTTATTTATTTATTTATATACATGGTAAGTGGCAGAATCAGTTAGTATTGCATGCGACATAAAACTTAATAAAAAGGCATAAATGTGGCCGGGCGCGGTGGCTCAAGCCTGTAATCCCAGCACTTTGGGAGGCCGAGGCGAGTGGATCACGAGGTCAACAGATCGAGACCATCCTGGTCAAAATGGTGAAACCCCGTCTCTACTAAAAGATACAAAAAATTAGCTGGGCACGGCGGCGCGTGCCTGTAATCCCAGGTACTCGGGAGGCTGAGGCAGGAGAATTGCCTGAACCCAGGAGACGGAGGTTGCGGTGAGCCGAGATCGCGCCATTGCACTCCAGCCTGGGTAACGAGAGTGAAACTCCGTCTCAAAAAAAAACAACAAAAAAAGGCATAAATGTGTTCATCTTACACAGATATGTGCATTGAAATTACCTACATAGAATTAGGCTAAACATCTCTGTGATTATTGAGTATGAGAAGTGTTTAGGAAATTACCAGAAAGCCTCTATCCTATTTTTACAAGATAGAAAGTCAAAGAAAGCCTGTTAAGATAACATGCGGCATCGCTATGAGAAAAGGGGCAAACGGAGGAAATGGATTGCATGTGATATCTACATGGAAAAGCTAGGAACCATTTGAGGCACTTGGGATTTCATCATTCTGTGCTTTGATAGAGCATCCCAATTCCCATTTACTCACAGTAGTAAACCCATCGCTGAAGGAAGGAGACAAAGATGAATTGGATTCTAACGGAAAACACACTGGGACCCCAGGGCTTTCCATTCAACGCTAAAGCTGAAACTGGCCAAAATGTGAAAGCACAATGGGTAGGTATTCCAGCGAAACAGCCTTCAACGCACAGGTGCACATCTTACAGTAAGCAGGCATATACAATACTAATTGCTTGCCCAATAGAATATTTTTTTTCTTAGAAAATAAAGAATATGCTATTGTGGCCATTCTAAAGACAGCACTACATTCCTTTCATCTCAAGCTGGCTCTGAATTACTAAATAAATATCTGCTTGCCAGAAAAGAAAAGCTATGAGTTGTGATTCTCTTTTTGAAGGAACCCTCACAAGTGTTTCAAAAAATGGTACACACTATGGGTTTGTCTATCATACAAACTTCATTCGGTTACTTCACTCATTAATGGAGCATTTAGACATAAAAGTAAAGTAACTAGACCAGAAATGTTTTTGTTTTGTACTGCTTTTTAAATCTGTCACCAGTTAACGGGGTGGCTTTAGGCAAACAGTTCAATCTCTTAATCTGGCTTGATTCAAACATCTATGAAGCACCCTGCTTTCAAGTTCAATGAAACGTTTGTTGATATGCTATATGCTCCCTGTAGCTCAACTACTTTTGGATGCCAGGTTGAATACATCGAGGTTACTTATCTACCATCTCTTTATTTCTCAAAAGAAAATAATGATGATTAAAACTAATCAGCATCAAGTCAATAGTGTATTGAACACCAACTCTTTGCCAGGCGCAGAACTAAAATGCTAGACTTTTTAGCATGGAAGATGAATAAATGGACCTGTCATATAAGAATTCAAAATATGATAAGGAAACAATTCATACCCAGCAACCCCAACAAATTACACAGTACCTGCAATACCGACTTCACATACACAGTGACTGCGATACCAACTTTATATACACAGTACCTGCGATACCGACTTCACACACACAGTACCTGCGATACCGACTTCACACACACAGTACCTGCGATACCGACTTCACACACACAGTACCTGCGATACCGACTTCACACACACGGTGCCTGAGATACCGACTTCATATACACGGTACCTGAGATACCGACTTCACACACACGGTGCCTGCGATACCGACTTCACACACACGGTGCCTGCGATACCGACTTCACACACACGGTGCCTGCGATACCGACTTCACACACACGGTGCCTGCGATACCGACTTCACACACACAGTACCTGCGATACCGACTTCACACACACGGTGCCTGAGATACCGACTTTATATACACGGTACCTGAGATACCGACTTTATATACACGGTACCTGAGATACCGACTTTACATACATGGTGCCTGCGATACCGACTTCACACACACGGTGCCTGCGATACCGACTTCACACACACGGTGCCTGCGATACCGACTTTATATACACAGTACCTGCGATACCGACTTTATATACACGGTGCCTGCGATACCGACTTCATATACACGGTGCCTGCGATACCGACTTTATATACACGGTACCTGCGATACCGACTTCACACACACGGTGCCTGAGATACCGACTTCACACACACGGTGCCTGAGATACCGACTTTATATACACGGTACCTGAGATACCGACTTTACATACACGGTGCCTGCGATACCGACTTCACACACACGGTGCCTGCGATACCGACTTCACACACACGGTGCCTGCGATACCGACTTTATATACACAGTACCTGCGATACCGACTTTATATACACGGTGCCTGCGATACCGACTTCACACACACGGTGCCTGCGATACCGACTTCACACACACGGTGCCTGCGATACCGACTTTATATACACAGTACCTGCGATACCGACTTTATATACACGGTGCCTGCGATACCGACTTCATATACACGGTGCCTGCGATACCGACTTTATATACACAGTACCTGCGATACCGACTTCACACACACGGTACCTGCGATACCGACTTCACACACACAGTACCTGCGATACCGACTTCACACACACGGTGCCTGAGATACCGACTTCACACACACGGTGCCTGAGATACCGACTTTATATACACGGTACCTGAGATACCGACTTTACATACACGGTGCCTGCGATACCGACTTCACACACACGGTGCCTGCGATACCGACTTCACACACACGGTGCCTGAGATACCGACTTCACACACACGGTGCCTGTGATACCGACTTTATATACACGGTGCCTGAGATACCGACTTTATATACACGGTACCTGCGATACCGACTTTATATACACGGTACCTGCGATACCGACTTTATATACACGGTACCTGCGATACCGACTTCATATACACGGTGCCTGCGATACCGACTTTATATACACGGTGCCTGAGATACCGACTTTATATACACGGTGCCTGCGATACCGACTTTATATACACAGTACCTGCGATACCGACTTCACATACACGGTACCTGCGATACCGACTTCACACACACAGTACCTGCGATACCGACTTTATATACACAGTACCTGCGATACCGACTTTATATACACAGTACCTGCGATACTGACTTCATATACACGGTGCCTGCGATACCGACTTTATATACACGGTGCCTGAGATACCGACTTTATATACACGGTGCCTGAGATACCGACTTTATATACACAGTACCTGCGATACCGACTTTATATACACAGTACCTGCGATACCGACTTTATATACACAGTACCTGCGATACCGACTTTATATACACAGTACCTGCGATACCGACTTTATATACACAGTACCTGTGATACCGACTTCACACACACGGTACCTGCGATACCGACTTCACACACACGGTACCTGCGATACCGACTTCATATACACGGTACCTGCAATACCAACTTCACACACACGGTTCCTGCGATACCGACTTCATATACACGGTACCTGCAATACCGACTCACACACACGGTACCTGCGATACCGACTTCACACACACGGTGCCTGCGATACCGACTTCATATACACGGTGCCTGCGATACCGACTTCATATACACGGTACCTGCAATACCGACTTCACACACACGGTGCCTGCAATACCGACTTCACACACACGGTGCCTGCGATACCGACTTCACACACACAGTACCTGCGATACCGACTTCACACACACGGTGCCTGTGATACCGACTTTATATACACGGTGCCTGAGATACCGACTTTATATACACAGTACCTGCGATACCGACTTCACACACACGGTGCCTGCGATACCGACTTCACATACACGGTACCTGCGATACCGACTTCACACACACGGTGCCTGCGATACCGACTTCACACACACAGTACCTGCGATACCGACTTCATATACACAGTACCTGTGATACCGACTTCACACACACGGTTCCTGCGATACCGACTTCACACACACAGTACCTGCAATACCGACTTCACACACACGGTGCCTGTGATACCGACTTTATATACACGGTGCCTGAGATACCGACTTTATATACACAGTACCTGCGATACCGACTTCACACACACGGTGCCTGCGATACCGACTTCACATACACGGTACCTGCAATACCGACTTCACACACACGGTGCCTGCGATACCGACTTCACACACACAGTACCTGCGATACCGACTTCATATACACAGTACCTGCGATACCGACTTCACACACATGGTTCCTGCGATACCGACTTCACACACACAGTGCCTGCAATACCGACTTTATATACACGGTACCTGAGATACCGACTTCATAGGCTTGCTTTGCAGCAAAGGGTCTGAACTACAGTCTGGTCTCTCCACTAAGCAGTCGTGTAACTTTACGAGTCAACAAACAACTCTAAATTTCAGTTTTTTTATCAGTGCAATAGAAATAATAGCAGTAGCTGGCTCTTACGGTCACTGCGAGGTTTAAATGCCATAATTAATATAAAATCATTATTGTTACACCGGATGGTAAGCTTTAAGCATTAACTGCTGGTTATTGTTACAATCAAATACGTAAGTGTAAAGTGTTCAAATAATGCAAAGAGGAATATCTAAAGTGTCCTTTAATAATAAAAGTATTTACATATTCTGTGGTAAATAAGATAATAAAAGTTGCTCTGGATTAAATTGTGTCCTCCCCAAGTTTTTGTGTTCCCTCCAATTTTATATGTTGAAGCCCTAACCCTCAGAATGTGACTGCCTGTGGACAGACGTTAAAGAGGTTAGTCAGGCTAAGTGAGGTTGTTAGCAGGGATGCTAATCCCATCCGACTGATGTCCTTATGAGAAGAGGAAATTTGGACACAGGAACAGCTACCAGGGATGTGCATACACAAAGAAAAGACCATGTGAGGACACAGAGAGAAGGCAGCTATCTACGAGCCAAAAAGAGAGGCCTCAGGAGAAACCAAACCTGCCAACACCTTGATCTTGGACACCCGACCTCTAGAACTGTGAGAAAATAAATCTCTACTGTTTAAAAGCTCTCCAGTCTGTGACATTTTCTGTCAGCCCTAGAAAATCAGTACCAAAAAAAAGTATATTATGTAATATAAATAAATGCTCATACAATAATAATTTAAAAAGATATACACAGATCTTAAACCTGTTAGCTTCTGAGAATATACACTTTTTAAAATTAATTTTTTAATATAAATAAATGTACAGAATAAAGAAATATTCACATAACTAAAGAGTATAAAATAAAATGTAGGTCCCTCAAATTCTATTTGAAATGGATAAACCATATTATCAATGTATTTCTGGGCAAAATATATAAAGCAGGAATATGTTTTGTTTGATACATGGAAGTCCAATGGTTCACATACCTTCAAGTGTGCACAACATTTAATTTAGAGCTCTTATTCCTTATTATTACCACCTAAGTAAAATATCCTCATAGTTCCAGAAATCTAAGCCAGTGAAAAGAAGTTATCCTTGGTTTTTCAGATGGAACATGTGATATAGCATCCAACACAGAGCCTCCTGCACAGTGTGAGATCAGCAAATATCTGTGTGTTGATTTAATATGTTTGATTCATTATGCCTTGGATAGTAAGTTTTATAAATAAAATACATATGGTTTCACTGAATGTAATGAGTTCTCATTTTTGGCCAGGTCTATACGTGTGCAGTTAGAAAGTGAAATAATATTTATGTTAGTTCCAAGCCTTTTGCTAAATACTTCTTAATGTCACCTGATCTAGTTCATTTGAGATACATTCATTCCTACATTCAGTGCCAAATAAAAATTTGCATTTAACTTAGAATCTAAAAACAAGGATTGACATTACCTGACAGATAACATCTTTGGGCCAAAGGGTTAATCCAAATCCAATTACAGTTTTCCTCAATTTTCTGAAGATTCTCTGCAGCCTCCTAAGATATAGCAGAAAAGGCAAAGAATTATACAGAAATTTTGTTTAAAATCACAGTGCCTGCCTGTAGTGACTGCATTACGCTGGACAAGCTGTTCATATGGCACATCCTTTCTGCACATGTAAATGGGAATGAAACTGTCTTAGATTTCAAGTTATATATGAGTACTTCTTTTGGTTCTGTATGTAGGCCAGTTGGTTCTTTTGCTCATCTTGCCTATGCTCTTTCCAGAGGCTATGCTCAGCTGGTAGGTCCCTGGGGGCTGGGTCCACCTGGGCATACCTGGGCTCACCTGGACCTAATTCTGTGGGTGTGACAGTTGAGTGGGCCCTTTGCCCTAGTGACTTGCTTCTCTTCCTCATGGCTTTCCAGCTCCAAAACTGTTTTATGAGAGTCCAGTCTTTATTTTAAAAATCTTATTTAATATTGGGATATTCTCTCATTATAATTTATTTATTTGCCTTTTAATTGTAATAGATAGCTTTAACTTTTTTGGAGAAAAGTCTTCTTTGAAAAGACATATAAAAATAATTTTTATTTTTTATTTTTTACAGTTACTTTACCATAAATCTTTAATGAAAATATACAAAATTAATTTTGTACATTTTTAGTATTTATAATTTATATCATAGTTGTCATTTGAACAAATTATTAATATGTAAGCATTTTGATTATAATATCACAATTAGGCTAGATGCGGTGGCTCACATCTGTAACCCCAACACTTTGGGAGGCCAAGGCGGGCAGATCACAAGGTCAGGCGTTCGAGACCATCCTGGCCAACATGGTGAAACCCCGTCTCTACTAAAATACAAAAAATCAGCTGAGCATGGTGATGTGTGCCTTTAGTCCCTGCTACTTGGGAGGCTGAGGCAGGGGAATCGCTTGAACCTAGGAGGCAGAGATTGTAGTGAGCCGAGATCATGCCACTGTACTCCAGTAGCTTGGCGACAGATTGAGACTCTGTCTCAAAAAAAAAAAAGAATACCACAATTATTGATTTTGCTAAGATTAATATTACAGAATAACTAACAAGCTATTCATTTATTGTTTTTATTTTCCTACCGTAAAGTCATTGAACTATATCAAAATGCTCAGATATGCATGAAGAAAACATACTTCAGCTGTTTTTATTATGCCCCTGACTTTATACAAAAGACCTTAGATTTACATGTATGTTCAGAGTTTGTCTACAGGAAGGCATCTTCCTTACAAAATGACTTATTCTATTTAGGGTTTGTTAAATTGATGTATAACTTTTCTATTTTTATCCATATCTATGTGGATTTACATTTGTTCTCTCGGCCCAAACCCTTGCAAATATTAGGGGTGGATCTGGTCACTGACATATCTCAAGCAAAGGAATAGCATGTCAATACTAAGTTTGAGAAAGATTACTTCAGTGTATTCAATAAAACCACTCAGAAGGCAGGTATTCTATGTAAGTGGTGTTTCACCCTGTAGCCTAAATTTCTGAGTCAACACTCATATTTTCCCATATTGTATCTTTGGAGAAGTTTTGAGCCCTCCCACTATAGCTTTTCCAAACACAAAGTTCCCAGCCATGGGCCTATCCCTTTGCAGAACAGATATTTTTAACAGCTTGGCCACAGGTATGGATGAATAAGGGCAGAAGCCTCATGGGGGGTCTTCAGGCCTAAGCTCTAGAGCTCATGCAATTTCACTTTCCATACAGTCTATCAGTGGAAGAAAGTCACAGGTGCTTCATATTTAAAGGGTAGGTAATAGGTTCCCTTCTGGATGGGTAAGGGAACAAAGTCTAATGCATAGGGACATGAGAAGAACTAGAGGCTGTTAGCAAACTATCACAAAGATCTATGTCAGAACATTGCGTCTCTTCCATAGTTACAGTCATCCGCATGCTAGGGACTCAGCCTCCCCTAACTGCATGCCCCAGCATATCTGCTCTGAGAGGAACCATCAGTTGAAATGAAAATATACATGCAAGAGTAGACTCCAACTCTAAAATCATCACCGAGTACCCATACATTTCTTGGCCATAGTTTTAATTTGAAATAGCTTGAATTACAACCAAGCAGTACTAGAGAATTCACCGAAAGTAATGTTTTCTAAATTTTCCCCCAGATTTCACCAAATATACATGTGATTACCAGGTCTCCATGTTGGCATATTATTTTATAGCATACCACTATCAGAATAATATGCCTGGGACGAGGTGATTCTCCTGTTTGATGCAAATAACAAGTTCGGATGTACATGATTGTTCATAGCAAAAACCTCAAAAAATGATTATAGGAACTACTAAGTTCAGTTTATTATCTCTGACCACCATCAGAGGCCTGGTAACTCATTTGAAGCACCTGTTAGAGAGTGGGCTGCACTATATCTCATGTTGATGCAGCACTTTTTTAGAGGGGAAGTATATCTCAGGCCTGGACCAAGTGGACCTAATAGACATCTACAGAACTCTCCACCCCAGTACCACAGAATAGACATCTCCTTAGCACCACATCACACTTATTCTAAAATTGACCACCTAATTGGAAGTAAAACATTCCTCAGCAAATGCAAAAGAAAGGAAATCAAAACAAAAAGTCTCTCAGATCACAGTGCAGTGAAATTAGAACTCAGGATTAAGAAATTCACTCAAAACCACACAACTACATGGAAACTAAACAACCTGCTCCTGAATGACTGATGGGTAAATAATGGAATGAAGGCAGAAATAAAGATGTTCTTCAAAACCAATGAGAATGAAGACACAATGTATCAGAATATCTGGGACACATTTAAAGCAGTGTCTAAAGTAAAATTTTAGCACTAAATGCCCACCAGAGAAGGGAGGAAAGATCTAAAATCAATGCCCTAATGTCACGATTAAAAGAACTAGAGAAGCAAGATCAAACAAATTCAAAAGCTAGCAAAAGGCAAGAAATAACTAAGATTACAGCAGACCTGAAGGAGATAGAGACACAAAAAACCCTTCAAAAAATCAATAAATCCAGGAGCTGTTTTTTTGAAAAGATCAACAAAATATATAGACTGCTAGCCAGACTAATAAAAAAGGAAAGAGAGATGAATCAAATAGATGCAATAAAAAATGATAAAGGGGATATCACCACCAATCCCACAGAAATAAAACTACCATCGGAGATTACTACAAACACCTCTATGTAAATAAACCAGTAAATCTAGAAAAATGGATAAATTCCTGGACATTTACACTCTCCCAAGACTAAACCAGGAAGAAGTAGAATTCCACAATAGACCAATAACACAGTCTGAAGTTGAGGCAGCGATTAATAGCCTACAAACCAAAAAAAGTCCAGGTCCAGATGGGTTCACAGCCGAATTCTACTAGAGGTACAAAGAGGAGCTGGTACCATTTCTTCTGAAACAATTCCAAATAATACAAAAAGAGGGAATCCTCCCTAACTCATTTTATGAGACCAACATCGTACTGATACCAAAACCTGGCAGAGACACAACTAAAAAAGAAAATTTCAGGTCAATATCCATGATGAACATAGATGCAAAAATCTTCAATAAAATACTGGTAAACCAAATCCAACAGCATATCAAAAAGTTTATCCATCATGATCAAGTCGGCTTCATCCCAGGGATGCAAGGCTGGTTAAACATCTGCAAATCTATAAGCATAATCCATCACATAAACAGAACCAAAGACAAACCACAAGATTATCTCAATAGATGCAGAGAAGGCCTTTGACAAAATTCAACAGCCCTTTATACTAAAAACAATTAACTAGATATTGATGGATCATATCTCAAAATAATAAGAACTATTTATGACAAATCCACAGCCAATATCATACTGAATGGACAAAAACTGGAAGCATTCCCTTTGAAACCTGGCACAACACAAGGATGCCCTCTCTCACCACTCCTATTGAACATAATATTGGAAGTTCTGGGCTAGGGCCATCAGGCAAGAGAAAGGAATAAAGGGTATTCAAATAGGAAGAGAGGACATCAAAAAGTCCCTGTTTGCAGATGACATGATTATATATTTAGAAAACCCCATTGTCTCACCCCAATATCTCCTTAAGGTGATAAGCAACTTCAGCAAAGTCTCATGATACAAAATCAAAGTGCAAAAATCGCAAGCATTTCTATACACCAATAGTAGACAAACAGAGAGCCCAATCATGAGTGAAATCCCATTCACGATTGCTACAAAGAGCATAAAACACCTAGGAATACAACTAACAAGGGACATGAAGGACCTCTTCAAGGAGAACTATAAACTACTGCTCAAGGAAATAAGCGAGGACACAAACAGATGGAAAAATATTCCATGCTCATGGTTAGGAAGAATCAATATCATGAAAATGGCCATACTTCCCAAAGTAACTTATAGATTCAGTGCTATCCTCATCAAGCTATCAATGACTTTCTTCACAGAATTGGAAAAAACCACCTTAAACTTCATATGGAACCAAAAAAGAGCTGGCATAGCCAAGACAATCCTAAGCAAAACAAACAAACAAACAAAAAAAAAAACAAGGTGGAGGCATCACACTACCTGATTCCAAACTACATTACAAGACTACAGTAATCAAAACAGCATGTTACTGATACCAAAACAGAGATACAGACCAATGGAACAGAACAGAGGCCTCAGAAAGAATGCCACACAACTACAACCATTTGATCTTTGACAAACCTGACAAAAACAAGCAATGAGGAAAGGATTCTCTATTTAATAAATGGTGTTGGGAAAACTGGCTAGCCATATGCAGAAAGCTGAAACTGGATCCCTTCCTTACACCTTATACAAAAATTAACTCTAGATAGATTAAATATTTAAACATGAGACCTAACACCGTAAAAACTCTAGACAAAAACCTAGGCAATACCTTTCAGGACGCAGGCATGGGCAAGTACTTCATGACTAAAACACTAAAAGCAAGGCAGCAAAAGCCAAAATAGACAAATGGGATCTAATTAAACTTAAAAGCTTCCGCACAGCAAAAGAAACTATCAATAGAGTGAATCAGCAACCAACAGAATGGGAAAAATTTTTGCAATCTACCCATCTGACAAAGGGCTAACATCCAGAATCTACAGAGAACTTAAACAAATTTACAAGAAAAAAACAACCCCATTAAAACATGGGCAAAAGATATGAATACTTTTCAAAAGAAGACATTTATCCAGCCAACAAACATATGATAAAAAGCTCACCATCACTGGTCATTAGAGAAATACAAATCAAACCACACTGAGATGTTTATCGTATCTAACCACCTCATATTTATCATATCTAACCACATCACACCAGTTAGAATGGTGATCATTAAAAAATCAGGAGACAACAGATGCTGGAGAGGATGTGGAGAAATGGGAACACTTTTACACTTTTGGTGGGAGTGTAAATTAATTCAACTATTGTGGAAGAGTGTGGTGATTCCTCAAGGATCTAGAACTAGAAATACCATTTGACCCAGCAATCCCATTACTGAGTATATACCAAAAGGATTAGAAATCATTCTATTATAAAGACACATGCACACGTATGTTTATTGCAGCACTGTTCGCAATAGCAAAGACTTGGAACCAACCCAAATGCCCATCAATGATAGACTGGATAAAGAAATTGTGGCACATATATACCGTGGAATACTACACAGCCATAAGAAAGGATGAGTTCACGTCCTTTTCAGGGACATGGATGAATCTGGAAACCATCATTCTCAGCAAACTGACACAAGAACAGAAAGCCAAACGCCGCATGTTCTCACTCATAAGTGGGTGTTGAACAATGAGAACACAGGGACATAGGGAGGTGAACATCACACACCAGGGCTTGGAGGGTGGGGGGCTAGGGGAGGGATAGCATTAGGAGGAATACTTAATGTAGATGACAGGGTGATGGATGCAGCAAACCACCACCATGGCATGTGTATATCTATGTAACAAACCTACACAATCTGCACATGCACCCCAGAACTTAAAGTATAATAAATAAATTAAAAAAAAACTTCAGTGGAAGGAATCTGAAGAAAAAATCAACAAAACATAAAATTAAAAGGTATTCCGAGGAGGCGTGAGTCTAATGCACTTCTCTAATAACCTCTCCTATTGCTATGGGTGTTACTGTTGCTGCTTCTCGTGCATAATTATCTTCTCAATTACATGAGTTCCTGGCTAATTTCTAGAGTGAAGAAGCTGAAAGTCAGAGGAATACTATGGTTGACTGTCCCTGCGATCTAGGTAGGTATGATGGATCTATCTTAAAAACTGTTGTTTGGAAAAATAAGTAGCATCCAAGGCCAGGTAAAGAAAATAGTTAATGTTAGCAATTTTGTTAACATATCCAGGAAACAGACTTGCTTCTGGCAGGCTGAATAAATGTGTACCACACATGACCTTCAAAACCATTGATCTGAAAGGTTTTAAACAATACCCCACTGACGCATTGGTCTATGTCCACGGATTAAGAGATCTTTCGATGTCTAGTCCCCTTTGTAGTACATTGCTACCAATAAGGAAGCCTGCTTTAATATATATATATATATTGAACTAGGTTATATGTGATCATTAATCACAAACTCTCCCCAGGACAACCATCATAAATACTGCATCTGCATAAAATTCCCTGCTGAAATTGCCTTGCCATCTTTTCTGCCTTCTGTGGAAAAGCAGATGCTTTCAGAAGAAAAAGGAATCAAAAGGAGCAGAGAAAGAAAACAAAGAATAGGAAATATGCTACCTTTTAACATTTATCTTAAATGACTAAAAGACATTAAATGTTTTAAAATCATTTTTAAGTTATTTTCAGCTATATTTAAAGTTCTTTTAAAAGAATTTTAAATGTGCTGGCATTGTCTCATAGCACTGTTTGATGGCAATACTGAGCAAGGTACTCTAACTGAATTTTATATATTTTGGTATTTCTGTTATCAACTATATCTTCATAGGGTAATTATATTTTTTGTGGGGCCAGAAACTTGCACAAAACAACAAATCCAAAATTATAATAAGTACAAGCTCTTGGAAGGGTCTCTGAAGCATAAGCTTCCCCAGTGTCAGGGTAAATCTGCCCTTGTTGCAAGGATAAAATGAAATGGGGCATGCAAACAACCCAGCAATGTTCTGGGGTATCATATATGCAAAAAGCATGAAAAACCATCACACCACCTTCATGGTCATCATAACCATTACTGGCTTCGTTTTCAACTTCAGCAAGGCTAAAGAAACGGAAGTTGTAAAAAATTAAATAGTTTTCATTACTTATTGGCAACTTAGTCGTACTTGGTAGTAGGAAAATTTGAAATTATTGACTACATTAAATGTACAGTATCCTATGGAAAATGAACTTCCAAGTAACTGCCAAGCATACCAACATTTAAGCAATCCCAGAGGTCATAGAACAGACAGGCTCACAGAGCAAATAATCACACTGGTTATTCAATGAACTTTAAAAATACAGTAAGAGTAAGGAGAAGAAATAGGGTGTTAATAATCTAGGGGTAACATACAAGTGGGGTGGAAGGACCGCATTACCTGAATCATGGAGATCACAACGTTCATCTGTCCTATCTCCGTACCATATCGGAATTCCCTGTGGGTGATGGACTTGTAAAGGTCAGAGCAGAAATTTGAACCAGGAGTCTCAGCAGATGGAAGACACCTGGAGTCAACACACAGTTGCACTCTCTGAAAGACACAGGGTAAGTTCATCTGGCTAATATCCGTAGCTTGCCAGTAAGCCTGATGAGCAGCTACAATTTTATCTGTATTTCCAGACAGAGGACATATGGGCCAGAATGGGTATCACCCATGAATGGCTCAAGTAAAGCCTCAGGAATATTCATTGTCCACTTGGTCCTTTCATTCCACCCTCTCCATCCTCAGAACACAAAGGATCTGCTCACTTTATGCCCAACCTATCTCCCAAGTTACTCACACATTTATCTGATTTTATTTATCCTTCTTACTTTTCTTATTTTCTACAGCAGAATTGAGTATTATTACATTATAGGATTATTTGATTTATACTTACCATGGTGGAGTTGTCACGCCTCTGCTCTCAAACCAGCACACCTGGATTCAAATTCCAGCGCCATCGCTTCCAAGCTATGTAAACATAGGTATACTACTTAACCTTTCCACGCTTCCATTGCCTTCTCTGATAAAACACAGGTGATGATGATACTGATATTACCTACCCGGGAAGGTTGTTGTGCTGATTACATGAGTTATTCAAGTAAAGGGTTCAGAACAGTAATTGGCACTTAGTAAGGATTCGATAAGCCACAAATTTTATGATTTGTAGCCTTTTGGATAATGAACTCTTGGCTGGAAGCACAGGCGTCCTGGGAGGAGATGTCAGTGTGTTTACAGATAGAAAAATACATCTTTCAGCTGGGCGTGGTGCATATAATCCCAGCACTTTGGGAGGCTGAGGCAGGCAGATTATTTGAGATCAGGTGTTTGAGACCAGCCTGACCAATATGATGAAACCCTGTCTCTATGACAAACAAAAAATCAGCCAGGCATGTTGGCACGTGCCTGTAATCCCAGCTACTCTGGAGGCTGAGACAAGAGAATTGCTTGAACCTGGGAGGTGGAGGTTGCAGTGAGCCAAGATCGCACCATCGCACTCCAGCCAGGGCAACAAGAGTAAAATTCTGTCTCGAAAATTAAAAAAAAAAAAAAAATGCGACTTTCTATTTATAGAGAGCTTACAACGGAATGTAAAGTAAGCAATTATTTTAAAATTTCAGCATAACTCTATAAAGTAACTACATGACAACTATTTTTGCAGATCATGAACCTGAACCTGAAGCTCAGGGAGTGAAATGACTTACTCAAAGGCATACATTTATTGTCAATACATGACTGGAATCCAGGACATTCATCCTTGGTTTGTGCTTGTCTGTGTCAATATAGCTGCTGCACCCACGGAGCCAGGAATAGTCTTCCCTGCCTGAAAAATAAAGGGTTTTTCTTCTGACTACCTCCTCATACTACACACTTAAACTAACTTCTGTTAACACAGGCCAAGCACTCACCTAAAATAATTCATCATTTTTTAGTGCTGTATTTTACACTGCTATATATGTGTGCTGGTCAGCATTCAACCAGAGAAGCAAAGAAGACATACAGAGTGAGAGAATTGTTGCAAAATACTAGCTTATGTGATGGTGGCAAGTTTGAAAATCCACAGAGTAGGCCATCAGGAAAGGTGGGCTGGAACTCAGCCATGAGTAGAAATTGCTATCCACAGGTAGAATTTCTTCTGTTTCAGAGAATCTTTAGTTCTGCTTTTAGGATCTTTCAAACGATCAAATTAAACTCAGGAGTTCAAACTCCCTCCACAACTAAGGAGGCTTGTTTGAGAGATGTCACCTCTCCCACTCCATCCCAACCTGTCACTTTAGGTTATCCAGGACTATCTCCCTTAACTAAAAATCAACCTATTACGGACTTTTATCATATCTACAAAGGTCACAGCAACACCTAGATTAGTGTTTGATCGAACAACTAGAGATTGCAGCTTAGCTAAGTTGACATATCAAAATGACAAACATATTACATATGTGCCAGATGCTATTCTAAGGACTTCATGTATTTAAACCCTTCAACAACACCATGAGGAAACTGAGGCACAGAACAGTGAAGTAAATGGCTCAAGATTGTTTAACAAATAAATACTGAACTAGCATTCCAGCCCAGCTGATCTGGTTCCAGAGATTATGTTTCAACCATGATTTTACCGATTTTCTTTGGATTCAGGCATTTCCAGTGTGTTCCAAAATACCTTCTAGAATATTCATCTTGTTTTTGTCAGTGTAAAATTGCTTTTTTAAATCAAGATTTCTCTTACTCTAGTATACATTCTGACTCCCTTGCTTGCAACATTATTTTTATTTAAGGCCATGATGTTTCTGAGAAATAGGATTGTAATTACCTTCATAATTAATGACAAATATAGAGATAGAGATAGAGATATCCATATATATATATATAGTGAGAGAGAGAAACAGAGGGGAACTTAATTTCTATGTTTGGTATTATTTTATTTAACCTTCATCGACAACAGTTACATTTACAGTCTATTTAATAGCTTTATTTTATAATGTATTCTATAGATGTATTCTATAGCTAAGGGTTAATTCAAGGATCTGCCTAAGTGTCATCAGATCTCGTGGCAGATTTAGAAATGTTACTTCATGTATTCCAAAAGGAATTCTTTTACGACCCAGTTAAAGTCTCTGCTGTTTGGGAATAGAATTGGGCAATGGAAACAAGAACAGTTCGAAAAGCAAAAAAAAAAAAAGGACAACTAGGGACCAAGTTCACAAAATAGTCTGGAAATTATGTGAGAACTCAGTTATTTTTTATACAATATTTTGCTGAGTAATCACCAAGGAGAAGAAAAAGCTTTCATTTGTGTCAGGACTTCGCAGTGGTTTAAAGAACGTGTTGACGACCACACCTGGCATGTTTCTTCAAGCTGTCAAGGTTGGGAGGAGATAGCTGTACTTGCCTATCCTGTTGACCTTCACAAGCCCACAAGGAAAGACCTGAACAGGCAGGTGTGAGCACTCTTGAATATGTTTACCAACCAGAGGGAACTGATCTTACGAGCCTGCCAAGGTGACTTCTGCTTAAAATGCCAGCAATATCCCAGCTGTCCTGACCTAGGGGTGCAGCCACAACTAAGGACGCTTGTTTGAGAGATGTCACCTCTCCCACCCCATCCCAACCTGTCACTTTGAAGACTTGTCGCCTTTTCCCTCCTTCATTGAAATCTCATGGAGAAACATTTTATTCTCCAGATTACTGCTTTAGGAGATAGAAGGATAAAATAAAAGGGCCATAGGCAAGGTACAGGTTTATTATTTACAAAATTTCTAGCAGCAAATTGCCTCTTTCTTGCTTGCCTGCTTTTTATTTCCTACTTTTAAAATTGTTAAATATTTTCAATACACAAAAACAAAGCAACAGATATCCATGTCCCTACCACTGAGATTAAGCAGATGTTGCATAGTTTGCATTATTTGCCTTAGATCTTTCTTAAAACATGTAAAACATTAGAGAATTAGCTAAAGCCTTACTCCCTATTTTTCTAATCTCTTGTTCCCTAGACAAACGACTATTTTGAAGTTGCCATGTATCATCCCATCCATTTTTCTGTGCTCAGGCTCTGTCTTTTATTCGGTCAATCTGTCAGCTATTTATCTACCCACATGATTCTGAGTGTTTATCATGATAAGCATTTGGCATCTTACTGTATGTATCTTTTGGCGATTGACTTTTCTTATTCAGTTTTGTGTTCTTGAAATTTTTACATGTTGATACTCATAGATCTAGTTCATTCATTTCCTTTTTTATCTCTTTTGGTTTTTGTTTCTTTGCTATCACACACGACACTGCCATAGGCATTATTATATGACTTACTGTGACCGTGTGTTAGAGTTTCAACAGAAAGAATACCTACCAGGAGCACGGGATAGTTATGTGGTGTGTCTGTTGTCAACTTATATGATGTAGCCAGATTGATTTCCAGAGGACTGGTACTGATTTCATTGATCTCTGTCAATGTAGGCTGGACTGCCACCTACTACATGGCTGCAGGTGGTACCTTTCTGATCTGCAGTTGGAGGATCACTAGCTTCAGAAACGGTGCAAACCTACAGCACTTTGTGTAAGAATTCTTTACCCCGGTAACCTCCCCAAAACTTATAGTTATCATATTTAGCACATTTTGCCAGTTTTATGATGATGCACCATTTTTGTTTGTGTGTTTGTTTGCATTGCCCTGATTTGTAGTGAAGTTGGTATTCTTTTTACTTGTTTATCTGGTAATTTCAGTTTCTCATATTGTAAACTGCCGTTTTTTTCTATTGGGTTTTCTTTCTTCCTATTTATAGAATTTCTTTACCAATTCAGGGTACCAATCCCTTATTGCTTGTTCATACGCCTTGCAATATTTACTCCCATTGGTACTATGTTTTAGTGTCTACTGCCAAATAGAAATGGTAAATTCTAATAGAATCCAATATATCAGTCTATTTTGTGAGTTATACTGTTCATATTTTTTTAAGGAAAGTTCTTTCTTAAACGTAATAAAGAACTTCGTTGCTTTACTACTGTTTTGTAACAGTTTTTTTATAAATTTGCTTTTCATATTTGGGTTTTTAATCTATCTTGACATTACTTTAATGAATAGTATAAGGAAGAGCACTCCTTATATCTTTTCTATATGAGTAAAAGTTGACCTGGCTCCCTGAATTGAATAATCTATCTTTTCTCCAATACTTGATAATGCCACTTGAGTGTTTAAATTATTTTCTACTTTCTCTTTTCTGTCCTATGAATATATTTTTTTCTATTCTTGAACTATGGTCATAATTATTATAACTTTTGAGTAACTAGATATTTTACATTTAAATTTCCCATTAAATTGAGTTCCATGGAAAAGCTTGTTAGTAGCTAATAGAAATGACATTAAGTTTATAAATTAATTATGGGAGCATGCTCATCTTTATAATGACATTGAGCCTTTCCTTCTCTAACCATGGCATATTTCTCTAATTTTCAGGATTTCTCTATCGATAAAGTTTCATAACTATTGTTATGAACCTATACATCTATTACTGGATTTATTTTTATATACTTTTTGCTGAGAAATGCTGAGTGTATGATTGCTGAGAAATGTTGAGTGTGTGATAAAAGTATATCTTTGCTAAGAAGAATGATGGCAAAGAAAACCTAGCTGCACCCCTCTCCCCAGCAAAAGTGGAAAACTGCTTGAGGCATTCTAAAGTAGCAAAACAGTCTATGTATATCATACACTGGTTAAAACAATTCTTTAAGCACAGGATGGGTGACCCTGCCCCCGTGGCTCCCTCCTGGAGAATACTAGAATAGAAACTAGAAATAGTTTTTCTTTGATCAGTGGTAAACAGGCACCAGCTGCCTACCTAATTTATCTTGGTTCTATGAGAAAGCACAGGACACCTGCTGTTAATAATAATCACCTGTTCAGAGAGAATAACTACATGGGTCAGCGTCTGCTCCAGGCCTTTAGCCTGGAATGCTGTCAGCCCCTTAGGCTCTCAGCTCTGAAGGTCGTTGGTCCCGGGATAGTCCCACTTTGCTGTTCTATCTGGGTTTCTGCTTCTTAATGCCTTTAGCACTGCCTGGGTGGGGGTCTCTACGGCCGAGCTGGTCTCAGTAACTTCTAACTTTTACTACTTAAAATTACATTTTAACAGTTTATTTTGAAATGATTACAGATGCAAGGGAAGTTGCAAAAATAGTACAGAGAGGTCCTATGTACCCCACACCCAGTTGCCCCCATTGGTAATATATTCCATAACTATACTGAGATATCAAAACCAGGAAATTGACATTGGTCAATCTTGGACCACAGTCAGATTTCACCAGTTTTATGTGTACTCATTTGTGTGTGTGTGTGTGTGTGTGTGTGTGTAGCTCTGCAATTTTATCACTTGTGTAGTAGATTCCTGTAACCACCACCATTATCAATAGGCAGAACTGTTCCTGATCCCTGATATCTCTTGATAGTGAAGTACTATAAATATTTCCCCACCCTGGTGCCCAGCAACTGATAAGCCCTCCTTTGTTCTCTGGCTGCATCATTTTGCCATTTTGAGAATAATATAAAAATAGAATCATTTTGATATGTATGTAATATTTTAGAGGCTGGCTTTTTTCCCCCCAGCATAATTTCCTTGAAATCCATCTAAGTTATTATGGGTACTGATAGATCTTCCTTTTTATTTTTGAGTGCTGTTCTGTGGTATAATACCACATTCTCCAGGACAATTGTGTTGTTTCCATTTCGGGGTCACTTTGAATAAACCCATTTTGAACATTTGCATAAGGGTTTTTGGGGGAACATAAGTTTTCATTTATCTGGAAGAAATGCCCAGGAGTGCAATTTCTTGGTCACGTGGTAGTTACATACGTAGTTTTGTAAGAAACTTTCATATTCTTTTTAGAGTGACTATACCATTTGACATTTCTATTAGCCATGCATGAAAGATCCTCTGTATCCTTACCAGCATTTACTGTTTTCACTATTTTTCTTAATTTCAGTCATGCTGGTATTTCATTGTTTTATTGTGGCTTCAGATTACATTGTTCTAATGGTTAATGATGTTGAATATCTTCTCATATTCTTGGTTGCCAAATGTACATCCTCTCAGGTGAAGTAATCTGTTCATGTCTTTTAAATGTTTTCTCATTACATTTTTTGTTCATTACTATTCAGATTTGAGAGTTCTTCATATATGCTAGATACACACTCATTTGTAGTATATGTAGTTTTCAAATATTTCCACCCATTCTTCCACTACATCCTCTTCAAAAGGTCTATCACAATGCAAAAGTTTTTTTTTTTTTAAATAAAATTTGGTGATCTCTAATTTAATGAAGTGTCCTCTTATGGATCACACTTTTGGTGTCAAGTCTGAAAATGCATTGCTAACCTCTAAGTCTCAAATATTTTCTTTTATGTTTTTCTCCAAAAGTTTTACACACTTTGGGAGGACAAGGTGGGAGGATCGCTTGAGCTCAGGAGTTCCAGACCAACCTGGGCAACATAACAAAACTCCACCTCTATAAAAAATACAACAAAAAAAGTTTAGCATGGTGGCAGGCACCTTAGTCCCAGCTACTCAGGAGGCTGAGGCAGGAGGATTGCTTGAGCCCGGGAGGCAGAGGATGCAGTGAGCTGAGATTGCACCATTGCACTCCAACCTGAGGGATAGAGTGAGACCCTGTCTTAAAAAAAATTACAGTTTTATATTTTTAATTTAAGCCTGTGATCTATTTGGAATTAATTTTTATAAGGTGTGAGTTTAGTTTGGGGTCTTTTTTTCCCTTCTGAACTCCACCTGCATTAGCACTAATGGTTGAAAAAATAGTCTTTCCTCCAATGAATTTCTTGTGCACCTGTGTAAAAAAAAATCAGGTGTATTTTTTATGAGTCTGTTTCTGGGTTCTCCTATGTTGGCATCTAACACGAAGAGCTCTCTTTCTTTCTCTCTCACCATACTTGTGAATTGAGTAAATTACTGCCACAGGCTTTACACTGCCACTTTATTTAGATGTCTATGCCGTTATTAGAAAGACTTGTCTTCCTAATGATCTCAAATACTGTTGGCAGGTCCCAGTTTATTATGGAGTACCCAAAGTAAATCTCAGATTGTAGCATCCTGTGTTGCTTGTGTGGCATCCATTCTAACAGCTCAGATGATTGAGTTCAAGATGAGAAATGGTGTGTTGCTGGAGACACATTCACAAACTTCAGTCCTTTCATTTCTATTGACACCAAGTGCAGCACATTCTCCTGGAATATCATCAGGTTTCCTCTTCCAGTGGAATGTCTCAGCAACACAGCTACAGTCGTGCTTTTCAAAGCCAACCATTCAATTCAGGTTCTATGCTCCTGCCGACTAAATGCCTCACTGATTTTCCTTTATCATTCCCAAACATACTGTGTAGATAAATGAGTGGTGGACAGAGTTTAAAAGTTTGTGTCAGGATTTAATGAAGATAAAAAATCCAAGAGTTTGGGTATTCATACATTGCTTATCCACTGTCTTTGGAAGCCAGTGGGAAAACATCCAAAAGGAGTCTTGTTCTTTCCAACACTTGCTCTCTAAGTTGGGTGAAAATAGCATTTGGTCCTGCTTGAATACATATATGTTTTCAATTTTGGTCATAGCCACAAAGGGCCTCATTAAGCAATTCTGGGAAACCCACAGGTACATCAAATTCTGTTTGGAATTCCAAGAAGCTTGTGTGATGGGTTATAAATATGGGTATGCTCCATTTTGATCAAAAGAGTCTGAATGACCGAAGTGACGACAGTGGGAATTAAAGCAGTGTCCCAAAAGTTATGAGGCTTGGTTTTGCCAAGATTTGCTTTGTAAATCTGTGTGGATACTTAGGTTCCCTGGTTCTTTCGGCAAAATTTACAAATTCTAGCTAACAGGTTTCTCAAAAAAAAAAAAAAAAGTTTAGTGCTTTAGAAATATACAAGAACATCACACCCTGGGGCCTGCTGGCGGGTGGGGGGCTAGGGGAGGGATAGCATTAGGAGAAATATCTAATGTAGATGATAAGTTGATGGGTGCAGCAGACCACCATGGCACATGTATGCCTATGTAACAAACCTGCACGTTCTGCACATGTATCCCAGAACTTAAACTATAATGAAAGAAGGAAGGAAGGAAGGAAGGAAGGAAGGAAGGAAGGAAGGAAGGAAGGAAGGAAGGAAGGAAGGAAGGGAGAAAGGAAGGAAGGAAGGAAGGAAGGAAGGAAGGAAGGAAGGAAGGAAGGGAGGGAGGGAGGGAGGGAGGGAGGGAGGGAGGGAGGGAGGGAGGGAGGGAGGAAGGAAGGAAGGAAGGAAGGAAGGAAGGAAGGAAGGAAAGGAGGGAGGGAGGGTGGGAAGAAGGAAGGAAGGAAGGAAGGAAGGAAGGAAGGAAGGAAGGGGGAGGGAGGGAGGGAGGGAAGAAGGAAGGAAGGAAGGAAGGAAGGAAGGGAGGGAGGGAGGGAGGGAGGGAGGGAGGGAGGGAAGACACAGAAAAATTAGAAAATTGTTGATAGTTCATGACTTTCTCTGGGACCATACATGGTATGCAGAAGGATCCAAAAAAACTCACATTGTTAAAACAAAGCACCTATGAGAGGGCCATTATTTCTATAAGTTAACATCAATTATCTCTATAAGTTAATATCACTAAGGACCTAAATTGGCCTAGCCTAAAGGAAAATTAGGTACATAATATCAGAAAATAAGATTCTATTACTTGTGTAAACTTAACAATTTGAGATTCTTACTTCTTACTGTCCTAGATTCTACTGACCTTCAAACAATCATCAAGAAAGTCTTCCTCAAGTGCCCTCTGACACCATTGAATCCGTCATACACTTGTAAGGAGTCTCCTAGTATTTATGGCATTAAAATTGCACTTCAAGTCCAATACCAGAAGCATTCCTTCTTCCTTAAAACCTAATGACATGATTTTATACATAACGGTTAATGTGGTGTTTAGTATGTTTCCCTAAATTTCAGCCTCCTGTGATTTTCACATTTCCCTAAATGTCAACTGGGTGTTATTTACTGGCTAATCCCTACATAATACATATGCTGCTATCTAATAATCACAGAAAATCATGTGAAGCAAACCTTGGACATAGATACCTCTGAATAAGTAAATACATGCTCTATGTAGCCTACAAAAGGAAATAAAATCGCTATAATGTAATAGCTACTGTTTATCGAGTACTTACTCTACAACTGACACTGAACTGAACATTTATAACTTTATTATTCTTACAACAACCCTAAAAGGCAACAACTATTATTCCTGTTTTAACGATGAGTAAACTAATAATCAGAGTGGTGACGAGTCTTATCCACTTATCAAAGAGAACATGCGGTGTTTGGTTTTCTGTTCCTGTGTCAGTTTGCTGGGAATGATGGTCTCCAGCTTCATCCATGTCCCTGCAAAGGACATTAACTCATCCTTTTTTACAGCTGCACAGTATTCCATGGTGTATATGTGCCACATTTTCTTTATCTAGTCTACTATTAATGGGCATCTGGGTTGGTTCCAAGTCTTTGCTATTGTGAATAGTGGCCTGATAGGGGAGGGATAGCATTAGGAGAAATACCTAATGTTGATGACGGGTTCATGGTTGCAGCAAACCATCATGGCATGTGCATACCTATGTAACAAACCTGCACGTTTGGCATATGTACCCCAGAACTTAAAGTATAATACTCATAATAATAAAAGAAATTAGATTTGTGGTTACCAAAAGCAGAGCTTTAGAAGAGGGTGAACTGATAACAGCAACTTCTACTGAGAAGAAAACACCAAAGCTGAGATAATGCTGACCTCAAATGCAACACTGTAGGAAATAAAGGACAATGAATTCAAACATTAAAAAAGTTACAGAATCTGTAAGAAATAGGGTGAGATAAAAGATAAGACTGAGACTCATGCGGAGGGTCTTGTTTCCAGAAACCTTTTCCACAGGGTTGTGCTGTCACCAATCCCTCTCACTACGTAAAGCCAGGGGTTTGGAGATAGTGGTGTAACTCCTGATTACCCTCATGCCCTAACAACCCCACCTCCTGTATGTCTTTCTATAAATTCACTGTGTACTAAACACTTTCGTCTCAGATTGACAACTAGGGCTTTGTGGATCTAGACATGCCCACTACAAACACAAGCCACTGATCTGAGGACCTCTGAGTGTCCCCAGCCCTACAAAGGAGACAGGAGAGTGTTGAGATTATTTGAAGATTCCAAAAGGCCTCTTTACATTTAGCTATCTATATAAATTCTTTGGATACTTCTTTTGAGAGTCAAGCTGTGTATTCTTTTCATATAATTGTTCCAGTAATTCAATGCCTAAGCAGCGAATGGCAATATATAAAAACCATTTGGACAAATTTCTAAGTACAGTAATCACTGGAATAATTTAAAACAAGTCAGTCAGTGGCTATTTTTTAAAAAGTATAAATTTCTGAGAATATGTTACTTAAAATACATTATTCAAAAAAATTTTAATTTCTATGATAAAAATGTGTGTTGATTCTACAATATAAATTTGTATTCGTTTTTTGAACTTAAGAACATAGAATAAGGCCGGGAGCGGTGGCTCAGGCCTGTAATTCCAGAACTTTGGGAGGCTGAGGCGGGCGGATCACGAGGTCAAGAGATCGAGACCATCCTGGTCAACATGGTGAAGCCCCGTCTCTACTAAAAATACAAAAAATTAGCTGGGCACGGTGGTGCATGCCTGTAGTCCCAGCTCCTCAGGAGGCTGATGCAGGAGAATTGCCTGAACCCAGAAGGCGGGGGTTGCGGTGAGCCGAGATCACGCCATTGCACTCCAGCCTGGGAAACAAGAGCGAAACTCCATCTCAAAAAAAAAAAAAAAAAAAAAGGACATAGAATAATTTATGCAGTATGTATGTATTTTTGCATTTCTTACAGGTAATGGCTCATTGTGGAATCTGCTTATAATTTTCAAAATCTTTATTAATGATGGGCTGTTGAGATTCACTTGGGGTGGCTGGCAAAATATCACGGATAATATTTAGGGAAAGCTATAGTCTCAAATGTTTTCGAAGGCCAAAAGGTTTTATTGAGGCATGCTGAAGGCAGCCACCTCATTTGCATTAGCACAGGAAAGAGACAGAGATGATCAAAGGCCTTCCCAGTTTATGTCCCTTTACCCCACATCCGTTTGTCTCCACTCCAACGATTTACTCGTGTTAATTTTGTGCTGGGTGGTCCTCTCGGGAAGATCAAAGGGGAAATACCTGTTAATCATGTTTACTCTGGGCCCAAACCATTATCTTAACCATGTTAATTATCCACAAGTATGTTAACTTAGAATCTCTATTGCAAAGTCTACAGAATAAAAGTGTGGGAGAACAGGGAGTCTTGGTCAACTGATTGCATTTCACCCTCTGAAAGCAGCCAGCGGCCATCCCTAGCCCACTTGAATCACCGTGATGGTGTGGCGTGCGTTCATTCATCCATCTTTGAGTCAGAGCCTGCCGGCCAGACTTCCACAGGTGGTGGTCGACGTCTCAATGGGCAATGCCACGTTGCTGTCTCAAAATCCAAACAATGAATTAATGTTTTTATCTGAAAAAAATGAGTCTGATATTTGTGCTTAAGATAATAGGTACAAATAAATATATAATATTTATCAATTAATTAGTAATAACTATATTATTAAGATCTGCTGGATTCTGGGTATAGCCAGTTTTTCATTATTAACTTACACAGTGCACATAAATGAACCAACACATTTTATTTTACCTACTCATTTTATTCACAGGCATGATTTGTGCTTTTGATAAAACAATCTCTCTCCTCCTTAAACCAAACAACTCTTTTCTTCTTCTTTAAACTAAAATTTTGAAGTTAGCCAATGATTGAAATGTCACCCAGCAAAAAAAATTATTGAATATCATTTGTAATTTTGATAGTAAAAATATATGGGTTTTGTCTTATATAGCAATTGGTTACCAGTGAGAGGACCTTCTCTTTACACTGTTTTGTAGGAACCCATTTGACTAGTTTCCATGTTCCTAATTTTAAATAGGACATGCAGAATCACTTAGTGAGAACTAAGCTGTATTTAGTTAAAATGCTAAAAATTATCTGGGCACAAAACTAAACACTTTTGTTTAGTTGATATTGGTCATGAATTTCATACACTCTGCAACCTTTTATGGAATTTGTATTGTAGCCTTTCTTCATGCTTGCTTTACCCAGAAATGTACTCATCTTAAGTGTTGGCCTGTGCAAAGCAGAAAAAAGAATGACACAAGACAATGGTTTCTTACAAGAACCCTTCTTCAGTTTTTTGTTTTTGTTATTTACACACAGCATGTGTATGGGCTGTTCTCTTCCACAAGTCCAAAGAGAACTCTTAGAGGGTACAAGGTAGGGAACCGATCTCTTCACTCTCTTCACCTATTTTTACTTCAGTCTTCTGTGGCCCATGGTAGTTTTGGTAGTTTATGAAGGACCACGGTAGCATAGCCCTTTATCCCTGCATCTATTCAGGAGACTAAGTGCCAGCTTTCATAGCAATTCATAGATTATAGTAAATAATAGGCCAAATTAGCTGACTTTACGTTTTCTAAAAGTTCTAATAACATCAAGAAATAATTTAAGGTGGAATTATTGTATCTTTACCTCTTGTCTTCTCATTTCTGCTCACGTGCACTCTTACTAATTCTGCTTTTGAAGAAAAGTGTTAATTTTACGTATATATGTATATTACTTTAAACAGTCACATATAACTTGAAAAGAAAAATGGTTCTTACATAGCAGTATGTAAAGGATGCTCCAAAAAGAGCTCTGGCGAAAATGATTAAGAAAACACGTAAACACACTGAAAAAACATGAAGACATGCACATACTGAAGTGGGAATATTGCAGCAATTCACTTTTATTTCACTCTAGCAAACGTCAAGGGAAAAAAATCAACTTATTCTTAGGTAATAAAGTCTAGGGTAGCAAAGTGTTGAAAAAAATGAAATCGATGAAGAAGTCACAAATTTGTTAAGCAAATATGAGAAATAACGGCTCAAACAACTGAATTACATAGGAGAGAATGTCAGAAGCCAGGGTTTATTGTCTATACCTCACAGCAATTTGATATTACTATATTCAAAATACATTCACAAGAGAGTAACATTCAGTTTCTAAAAGATTTTAAGAACACATGAAGGGAATATTGACTTCTGTGTTATGCTATGTAAAATACAAAACTTAATACCAAAGGCAGGGAATAAACTTTACAAAATTAAACAACAATGAGCTCTTCTCAAAAACTTAATTTTTTCTAAAGAGTTACTTTAAATTATTTCATTAATGTTTCAAGTTCTGTCTTATTTGATTCCTCAGAAAATACCTATTAAAAACAAAACAAAACCACCAGTTTAATGGTAAGATGAACAAATGATTAGCCTATTTTTTTCTTTTCTGTTCATTTTTAAATTTTATTATTTGTTGATAAATACTAACTGTATTTATGAAGTACAATGTAATGTTTTGATATATGTTTAAAATCAGGCTAATTAACAACTCTATCACATCACACATGTTGAGACATTTGAAATGTACTCTTTTAACAACTGTGTTTTTATTATAGTAACAATTCTACATGATAGATCTCTAAAGCGTATTCCTCCTCTCTAACTGGAACTTTGTATCCTCTGATCAACAACCAGCTTTTCCCCAACCACTCTGCTTCCCCAGCCTCTGGTAACATCTGTCTACTCTCTACTTCTACAAGCTCAACCTTTTTAGATTCCTCATACAAGTGAGGTTATTCAGTATTACTCTTTCTGTGCCCGGCTTATTTCACTTAGAATAATGTCCTCAAGGTTTATCCATGTTGTTAAAAATGGCAGGATTTTTTCTTTTTTCTTAAGGCTGAATAGTATTTCATTGTGCACAGACACCACATTTTCCCAATCTATTCATTCCTTGATGGAAACAGATTGTTTTCTTTTCTTACCTATTATGAATAATGCTTCAGTGAACATGAGAGTGCAGGTATCTGTGGAACACCGATTTCATTTCCTTTGAATATATACTGGTATTGGGATTGAAGGATCTTATGGTAGACATATTTTTAGTTTTTAAAGGAATCTCCATAGCGTTTTCTGTAATGGCTGTATTAATTAACAATTCCACCAACAGTGCATAAGGGTTCCCTTGTCAGCACAACCTCACCAACATTTATCTTTTGTCTTTTTGATGGTAGCGATTCTAACAGGTGTGAGGTGATATCTCATTGTGGTTTTAATTTGCATTTTCTTGATGATTAGTGATGATGAACAATTTTTTAATACATCTGGCAGCCACATATGTCCTCTTTCGATAAGAGTCTATTGAGTCCTTTGCCCAATTTTTACTGGATTATTTGTCTTCTTGCTATTGCATTCAGTTCCTTACATGTTTTTGATAGTAGCCCCTTACACAGTTGGCAAATATTTTCTACCAATACACGAACCATCTCTTAGCTCTACTGTTCCCTTTGCTGTGAGGAAGCTGTTTAGTTGGATGCAATCTGATTTTTAATTTTTCTTTGTTAATTATACTTTGGTGATCATATCTAAGAAATATTTGCTCAGGTCAATGTAGTAAATATATCCTCTTTGTTTTCTTTTAGTAGTTTCACAGTTAAGGTCTTACATTTAAGCCTTCAATTTGCTTTGAGTTGGTTTTTGCATATGGTGTTGGATAAGAATTCAGTTTCATTTTTCTGCTTGTGGATATCTAGTTTTCCAACATCATTTATTGAAGAAGCTGTTCTTTTTTATTGTACGTTTTTGGCATCTTTGTTGAGAATTAATCAACCATAAATGCACAGGTTTGCTTCTAGATTCTCATCCTGTTCCATTATGTCTATTTTTATGTCGATATCAGTATGGCATATTTTAAACACTGCAAGATGCACCCCATATGTTATATACCTATCAGGATGGAGAAAGAATGGGCTTTGATGTCAACAATGACCCAGTCAAGGTGTCACCAAAAAGCTAGTCATCAGTTTGCAAGCTCAACTGCAGTGTGTCCTCCAGAGTATCAAAAGATCCAAAATTGTGTCACAGACAAAAGTAGAACATATTTTAAAACTTCAAAAAAAGTACCAAAACAAGAAAAAAAAAATATCTCCATGAGATAATGTTTTCTATTTCTATATGATTGAACGGGTACAGTATTCTTTTGTGTATATAGAGTAAGCTTCCATGTCCTCTATTCTGTAAATAAATAGCCCAGTCATTGCAGATAACCAAAAAAACAGAACCAAGTAATTCAAACTGACACGAACAAGAAAGACAATATCAAACTATGGTAGATTAAACACTTTAGAGTGGTGTTTTTCCTTCTCTGTCAGAATATACATATATTATCTATAATATCTATAGATTATCTATAGATATATTGCCTATATCTATAGATTATCTACAGATATATTGTCCATAGACATAGTCTACAGATATATTATCTATAGTATCTATAGATAATATTGACATAAATAAATGAGTCCCATGATATTTGACTGTTTCTTTCCTTGTAATGAATGTCAGATACCTATACTTTATGACACATAGCAATTGCTTCATCAGTTGCAATTTCTTTCAAACTGAAGTAAATCTTGTGAAGAGGAAAACTTGATAAGTTCATGGTGAGTTTCTATCTCCGGTTAAGCATGGTAATAATAATTCATGGATAAACAAGAGCTGCAAAAAATATTAAGATATTATGTGTGTTTTAGTAATTGGGAATTGTTGGCCACATTAAAAGCCCATGTTATTACAAACAGGAATTTCACTACAAGGCACCCTAATTCAAGGGTATGAAGAAAACCTATCCAAGAACAAAATCAGACTTGCCCACTTGTTAAATCAGAAAGAAATTTTCTAAGATAATTTTAAGGAAACTTCCTTGGAAAGATAATTTCCAAGGAAAATGTTGTATTTTCTGGAAGAACCAAGAGAACTAAAAAACTTATTGTAAATGCAAGTATTTATGCGAAGAGAATCTTGTTTCTTAGAGCTTAATCCTGCCATCAAAACTCTATTTTTGTTTAAGTAACAGTTAAGACTGTAATCCTCAACGGAGTGCCAGCAGCCAGAGCTATCTGAGGGGATGGCTGTGGGCTTTGGAGCATTGGCCAAGAGAGAACAAAAACACAATATACAAAGAAAAGGTGTAATCAAGAACCAAGCAGATGGTCCAAATGAAGCATCGAACTAAAAAAGTAGGCACAAAGGCAGACTCCAGTCCCAAGACGGTAGGATGTAAACTAAAGAAACCAGAGTACAACTAGTACATCAGGGTCAGAACATGCTTACTGATCTGGTAGCTTTTACAGGCTGCTTTTAATTTCAAGCCTGTCAGGGAGGAAGTTATTGAGGTGACTCTGGTTCACCCAACACAATGAACTCATCATCTGATTTTATTGTAGTTTTGCATATGTGCAAAAACAGAATAAAGTAAATAGAAGCCGTACGTGTGTGTGTAGCATGTGCACAAATACACATATGCACATTTGCAACCATAGTTAAAATCATAGCCTGAAGGGTCATATGTCCAAATCTCTTCAGGGCAGGGTCTGCAGTGTGTTGTTGTTCTGAATTCTTTATTTTCCAGTATCTAACACATTTTCTATATTATAATAAATGTTTAGCAAATGAATAAGGAAGAACTTTTAGCTCTTTCATTAAAATGTGTTTTGCAGTTCTATATATTGGGGATAAAGAGTTGTACTTAAACACTTGGATGTCAAAATACTAAAATTAATTGCAATATATTATCAAATGTCATCATCTTTTTGACTTTAAATCTACATTAAGAAATTAAAAAAATTTTCTTTACAAGTTATCCTTCGGAAAGGGGAAGTGCTGAAAAGAGATACAAGAGAGCTGTCTACGGGAGTCAGAAATATTCTACTTCTTGATCTAAGAGATCATTACATGGGTATATACATAAGTAAATTCATCAAGTCAAACACTTCAGATCTGCAAATTTTACTATATGTAAGTCTTAATATCCAACAATAACATTGTGTTAACCAAATAGAATGTATCTTTTGACCAAATCTGGAAAAAAAAGTCTGCTTTTATCAGAAGAAATAATTTGGTTTCGATGAAAGAGTATTGCAGAGGTAGATTCCCGAATAAGTATCTGGGGATGGGAAGCAGAAAAAAGCCTTTGGAACTAAAGGCTTAATTGCCTTCAGCATAAGCACAAAAATAATGAACACATCATATAACAGTCACTTTGAGAAAGAACTATCAATATGCTTTCTGGAATCTTCACTGACATCACATGAGCTCACCCCATGCCACACTCTTACCTTCTTGAGAGTTACCCAGATCTTCTGTTCATTTCACAGCAAGTGATCATTTCAGAGGCTATTTTGCTGCGGTTGAGCACAAAACGACTGAGCCCTGCTGTTATGGAGACTGGCCCTCTGCACGTATTTGTTAGCTTTAGTACCTATTCTTCGTTTATTTTTTGTTGGCTAGCTTCCCAAAGCATTTGAGATTTTCAGAGTGATCTAGAACCAGGGTTTGAGGACTAGCTCCAAGTTTGTGTGAAGGTATATAGCACAGTCGCTGAGACTGAGCAGGCCTGGGGCCAACACCCTGTTTAGCATATTTCACTGCCACAGGTAAGAATGGGGCAGGATTTGTTTAGCATCCAAATGAGTATAATACCAGCAGCACAGAAAGTTATCATTTCTTAGCTCATTTGTATAACATTAAGAAAAAAATTAAATAAACAAATATGGATTATTTTTATAATGAATGCAATCTTTTTAGGCTAATAGCCAGAGAAGAGCTATGATTGTTGTACGTCTAAAAATCCCAAATGGCAAAATATAATTAAAGTTAGAACTGTTGAACAAATAAACCTGTTAAATACATAATATTACCAGGCAAAATAGCTATGTGTTTATCATTTTGCCACTGTAATTACATTCACTACAACTCTTCATGCATATGTTAATATCTCGATAACATTATAGAGGCTAAAGCATAAATGGCAGAGCACTGAACATAGTTCCAACCAAAAAGAGATGGTAAAAATGCTTGTTATCAAAAAACAAAAATACAAAGGCCTTTGGATTTAATGTAACAAATAATGGCTTTACAGAGAAAGATTTTTATAACTGCATGTGTGCTGGTTTCAAATGAAGAATCATTATGTACCTCTACATGGGTATCTGCTTTGAATAATCATGCAATTATTTATTGTGGGTCTCCTGGAGCATAAGCACAGAGCTTGTTCAATTTGACCTAAAAAAGGAAATACCTGGAAATGAACCTAAGTTCTTATTCCTACATTAATAGCAGACAAATATTTTAAGTGATCTCAACTAATTTCCAAGATTATGAATAGGCTGTAATCGGATAGATGTCGGTTAGAGTGGGTGTGTTAGTTATTAAGAGTTGGGAGAGGTCAAGAAATTAATTCCCATGGGTGAAACTCTGTATCCAAAAACAAGCAAGAGGAGGTTTTGAAATGATTTCCAAAAGCTTGACAGAGTCAGTGCCAAAGATTGTATGGGGGGTAAAAAAAGATTACATGTAATGAATAGTAAAAAAAGAAAAAGGCAGAAAAAGAAGAAAAAGGAAGAAAAAGAAGGAAAAGGAGAAAGAAACCCAAATAATTCGTGAGTACAGAACATATAATGAATCTTCATTGCTGAGTTAATAAAATGCTGTCATTAGCACCAATCAATTACAGAAACAGGGACTGGAAAATTTTAATAGAACTCACAAACCTTTACAAATTAACACAGGTGGATGGACGCAATGGCTCACACCTGTAATCTCAGCACTTTGGGAGGCCAAGGCAGGTGGATCACCTGAGGTCAGGAGTTCAAGACCATCCTATCCAATATAGTGAATGAAACCCGTGTCTATTAAAAACACAAAAAATTAGCCGAGTGTGTGGAAGGCACCTGTAATCCCAGCTACTCAGGAGACCGAGGCAGGAGAATCCTTTGAATCCAGGAGTCGGAGGTTGCAGTGAGCTGAGACCACACAACTGCACTCCAGCCTGGGCAACAGGAGGAAAATTCTTCCTCAAAAAAAAAAAAAGAACAAAAAACAAAACAAATAAAAACAAAACACTGGCAATAATTAAAAACCTTTCCCTTAAAAACTTCCTATAGTTAATTGGTTCACTTTCATTTAGATATAAATTAATTTCCATAAATTAGTTTCTACTATTAGAGTAACTAAAAAATATGGAAGGCCTAGAAGTTCACAGAGCAGAGTCAATATATTGAGCAAAGCAATGTGATGGTCCATAATCTTATCATGATTAATATCTAATCATCATCATCATCATTTTTGGAGGGCCATTTTTCACCATGATGGCTACATTTTATTTTGAAATTATTTAAAATAATTAAATATTTTAAAAAGTGAAAACTAATGTGTCTTTACTCATGACTGAGTGAGCCGTTACAAGTGCTTTTCAAATCCAGTTCATTTAAAATAAATGCCATGAATGGTCATTGAAGTTAGTCACCACACCTATTTTTCCCATGACATGATGACTACAACTGCCCTAATGAGTCCAATCTAATGGCTAACTGTGCTTGTGGTTTGGGAGTGTGAAGTTCTATTTCCTCACATTTGGATTTTTTTTTTTTTTTTAGATGGAGTTTCGCTCTTGTTACCCAGGCTGGAGTGCAATGGCACGATCGCGGCTCACTGCAACCTCCGCCTCCTGGGTTCAGGCAATTCTCCTGCCTCAGCCTCCTGAGTAGCTGGGATTACAGGCACGTACCACCGTGCCCAGCTAATTTTTTGTATTTTTAGTAGAGATGGGGTTTCACCATGTTGACCAGGATGGTCTTGATCTCTTGACCTCGTGATTCACCCACCTCAGCCTCCCAAAGTGCTGGGATTACAGGCTTGAGCCACCGCACCCGGCCCCACATTTGGATTTTAATCAAGTCACTCATTCAATCCAGGCCACTGAAACACCTACCAATTTTTAGAAATTCAAATTACTCTCATTTTATGATGGATGAAAACTTAAAGCATCTTGAAGGATACTGCCAAACCAGGTAATTTATGTATTTGAGGTTAGAGGGTATGAATGGAGCATCTCAAAATAAAAAATATTATATGGCAGTTGGTCCCCACAACTCACAGGTATGCAAACATGCAAGGCACAGATTTGACCTCTCCTTAAACAACAAGTCATTGTTTGTGTAAGCCTTGGATAAAGACTAAAATTTTTAATATCGCTGGAAAGGGCCCTGACCATCATTCCAGCCTCCTGCCTGGCCCTGTCTCTTTAATACAGTGCTGCTGCAATGCCAGCTGATTTGGATTCCCAAATTCTTAATGCTACGTGATCCCGGGCATGCGTATGCACCATTCTCTTTCAGTGGAGCAATTTCCTACTTCTTCAACTTGTTATCTCCAGCGTCCTTTCCTTCAAACTTCATTTGAAATATCACCTCATCCAGGAAGACTTGCCTGATGCTAAAAGCTCATTTAGATGCCCTTGTCAGGGTGTTCATAAGGTAATCACTGGTTTGTTGGGTCTCTACTATGGGATTATAAGCTATTGAAGAATAGATTGCTGTGTTATTAACCTTCAATTCCCAGGACTTGCCATATACCTGATGTATAGCTGGATGTCACTAATTCAAGTAAGTTGAATAAAGGGATAAGTCAACAGAAATAAAAAGAAGGGGAGGAAAGACAGACAACATGAAAAGCAATGACTATTCTCTAACTGTCATATACCACTCTATGCCAAACAACACTCTACACTTGTGCTCACCTGCCCTTTAAAATGAGGTGGGTGGATCATGAGGTCAAGAGATCGAGACCATCCTGGTCAACATGGTGAAACCCCGTCTCTACTAAAAATACAAAAATTAGCTGGGCATGGTGGCGCGTGACTGTAGTCCCAGCTACTCGGGAGGCTGAGGCAGGAGAATTGCTTGAACCCAGGAGGCAGAGGTTGCGGTGAGCCGAGATAGCGCCATTGCACTCCAGCCTGGGTAACAAGAGCGAAACTCCATCTCAAAAATAAAACAAAATAAAATAAAATGTTTTTAAACACTCTTACATATATTGCCCACACAGTACACTGGATATTTCCTTGAGCTTGATATGAGAAACCTGAAGTTTAAAGAGATTTTAAAGATTTGCCTAAATGCAAAAAGGGAGTTAAATACAGGATTGGAACTAGGCCTTATCACACTTCATCCCAGTTTCCTTCTGCCACGTTGCAGTGTTAGCGTGCTGTGTGCTTCAGAGCAGACACGCATCAGGAGGAGGAAGGAGTAGCAGGAAAGCGTGTCCCCAGAACACGTCTTCAGCCACAAAACCTTTCAACTAATCAATACAGAGAGAAAATATCTCTTTCTACTCTGAGTACATTTAACCTCAGAACAAAACTAGACAACCTTGCTAAATTCGTTGGGGGACCAATTTTCAGGAAAGCGGGGAGAGAGATGTACAAGCCTTGGTGGTGGTAACTGGGATTCCACGTAGCACTTTCAAACAGAGCAGGACGGAGTAAGAGCTATCCTGGACTTGTGGAATTCCCCGTGGAATGCACGAGGTGCAAAAATAGGCAGTCCGAATAGGTTTAACTTTATCAGCAAAGAATGAGTTCAGGCATGGAACAAAAATCCAGGCCAGACCACTTGGCTGCTGTCACAAAGAGGCCATGTAAACTCAGGTCATTGCTGAAAAGACATGGTTTGAAGTCTTTCCAAGGTGCTGGCAGTTTCTGAAGAGCCGTATCCACAGAGGTACCGATAGAGAGGGCTGTGAGATTATCCGGTGCTGAGTGCAAGTATTTTCTATTATTCTTTAGAGGATAAGACCAAAACTGCTAGCTCTCTTTCACAGAGTATCTGAGCTCAGCAGCCCAGTGGACTTGTGTTTCTGCAGGAAATACCTGGGAATAGGAATTCTCTTCTCCTTTTGGAACAGTGGATTTCTTCCCTTGTTTTCTTGGAGGAAAAAAAAAAAAAAAACCCTCTGTTTCCCACCCATTTTAGAGGAAAGACTCCAGTAGGACATGGGGTCACCTAACCAGGAGGAAGCTATCCCAACCTGAACAGCATTGTGCAATATGCACAAAGTCCTTCAGCAGACACTGGATGTCAGCACAAGCCTTACTTGAGACCAAGTCCATGTTTACTCCCTAATGACCACAAGAAGAAAGGAACTGAGAGGATTCCTCCACCTGCTAACTGCCTATGTGATAGTGGCCACCTTGTTTCATTCCCTTGGGCCTCAAAAACCTCATCCTTCAACCCAGAATGACATCCTATAGCAATACAGTGCTGAGACTACAGTGCTGTGAATAAGCTTGAGGTATTTACTTAAAGATCATTCAAAGAAGCAATGGAAGGAACAGGTGAACACAGGCAACAGTGAAAAGCAACCAGAAGCTCTCAAGGGGCCAAAGATAAGTCCTGGGAGGAATTTTTCTGCTATTGCTGTGTATGGGCGCATAAACATTTTGTTACCTGACCATAAACCTATCTTGAAATGTGATCAGCTTCAATTCTACCCAAGGATAGGGTCTCAATGGGCTGTTATATCCAATATGATCATGAATTTAGTATCTTTATGGACACAGAATTATCATTCATCGGAATATAAATTAGAAATGTGTGAACCATGTCATGCCTTACTCTTGTATTTTCTAATTGGAATTCACTATATAATAAATCCAAATGGTTTTATCCCTCCACATGGCCACAATGCTCAAAATAGTCGAAACAATCCTCCACTTACTTGCTTGTTACCAAGGGCCTAATGTTGAATATTGCAAGTGCAGAGTACCCAGACATAATGCTGTTAGTTATTTGAAGGCTGTATGCTAGACACATATTGCAAATAAGTGAATAAATAATATATTAACGCCCTGGGTCCCTTTTTTACCAGATTTATAAGCACAAAAGTGATATGGAGAACCAACAGTAACTTTAATATATGTAAATATCTCAATCGGGTAATTCAGGCACAAAAATATATTGTAGCTTGGTGCTTATTATTTTAAGTTTATGTTTTATGCATTTCCACTGCAGGAGTTAATATGTTTCTTGGTTTCTATGTTCTCAGATCTCCTACGATACCCTGTCTTTAAAGTATTATACAAAATATTAGGTATGCATTAATCTATAAAGTTAACATGTTGTGTTTGTTTATACCCATCACCCTAAAGCAGAGTTCATTCTCATAATGAGGTGTTTCCCAACAGTGTGATAGAATATTTTTAAATTGGCTTTGACAAGCATGTTCTGAGACTGATTTCTCATGGGTGCATGCTGCCTGCATCCACACACACCGTGGACACCACGAGCTCTGGGTGGAATGCTCAAAATTTCCTTTCATTTGAGCTCAATGACCAAGGACCTGAGCTTCGGGAAATGTTCCTTAGGCTTGCTCAGGAGAGTTACTGTTGGCGTCTTTGGTTGGTGTGATCTATTTTCTCATTTACTGGGAAGGGAGGAGAGATGAAGCATCTTTGTTTAGCTCCACAATGGACAATTTTCCAGCTACTTTAATGCATTCTATTTGGAAAGAAAGTCCTGGAAACCATTTCTTTGTATATTTATAACTTGTTCTGTGTTTTCAGAGGTTTTTTTTTTATTCAATGCAGCTTTAGAATTAAAATGTGTGAGCTCACTCCTCATTTTCCTAAGACAAATATAACAACTTCCATCTTGGTCACTGAATTCTTTATTCAGGCAATCAACCAGAGGTCAAGTTTATGATCATGTGGCAAGCATTTGACTAATGAAAAACATGGCCTTTCTAATCATTTAGGTTTGAAGAGTTTGTGCAATTGTCCCAAGACCTATCAGCTATAATTTGCCTGCTTCTTTCTGCCTCTTATTCTATGGTAAGGGATGATCTATTTTAGTTATCACATCACATCTGGAAATTATAGAGGTAATAGTATTAGCATGACTCTTCTCTAAAGGATTCCAGGTTGAGATGATGTCACTGCATATATTTGGGAGAAAAGGTACTAGGTAGTGGGGTTTTTGAGTAAGAACCTTAGGTTCTAAAGAATGGTTTAGAATTATATTTTGAAAGACATTTCTGTGGATAGTTCATTTATCAATTTTCACCTTCCTCTGGCTCTGCCTCTGATGATCATTCAGATTCCTCTCCTCTTCCTTTATACTCAGCCTCCCCTCTACACAAACCTGCCCCAGAAATCTTTAAGGAACTCAGATATTTAGATAGAGTCAGTGGATAATATAGAAGAGTTCTTTTATCCAGAAATGCTATTTCCATTTATTTTATTGACGCTATTCCTGCGACTCCCTCTGTAGCAAACAATTTCCTAGTCTATGTGAGAACACGTCCAATAATAGCTGTTGCATGAAATGAAGAGTTGAATAAAGAAGAAGTGCCGAGACAAAGAAGATGGGAAGAACTGCATGGTGAATGTGCCAATAATGAAATGCATAAGCAGAAATGGTGGTTTTGTTTTTGTGACTGTGTTTCTAATTTAATTGAATCAAAATAATATATGGGATGTATTCCTTGCCTGAAGCTCACAATTTCAATTCATCAGAGAGATAGTTACACATAAAAAGATGAAAATAAGGTAGGTGAGGGATAGGAGAGAGGGAGGGGATAAAAAAGGCTCAAGTAGAAAGAATCCGAAGGTGAATGGGTCGTTGGTAGCAATTGTTAACAGAAGCTTAGTTGGAATATTTCACTTGCACCCTGCACCCTTCAGAGGGATTTTTGCAATTCCTGTCATTGAGCTAGATCAACCTGCTGTTTTTCCCTTTATCCTCGTACGTTGCTTTCTGCTTTACTCATAGCTTATTGAGTGTGTATTCTGGGTTGATTCATTATGTTTATGTAGAAAGCTGGGAAGGCCTGTCAGAATTCCATTTAGGTTGCTTGTCGTGGGCTCATCAACACCTGGCGGGTTTGTTCTTCTGTCCTCTCGTGTGATCCAGGCAGATCTTTGATGTAAAGAGGCAGGCTCCATGTCAATAACCAGGATCAAAGGTAAACCCACGGGTGTCATTGTGCTGTGATTTGCAGGTGGCAGGGCAGGGGAAAGGAGAATGCCAATTAGGTACAACACAAGTGTGCTGTGTATACACATTCTAGTGAGGTTTGTAATTCTCAGGGCTTTTAGATTGTGAATAATTGACACCCCTGTAAGGTGGATCACTATAATTGTCCCCATCACTGAGGAGGAAATTGTCTTGTACTCTGGAAAGGCTCATCTGCACTCTGTGTAGCTTTGCTGCATACCCAGGGGTGCTGTGAGGACCAATTACTAATTACCTGCAAGAGCTCTTATGCTCTGATGAGATCCTCTGGAATGTAGGCATCTGTGAAGCGGTGATGATACCTTCTCCATGTTTTCTATCACACTTTTGGACACCGGGCACTTTTGGACATCTAATCAGCGTTCTCTGAAAAAAGGAAAGAGAAAGATTCAGGAGAGAGGGTACTCCAGCCAACCATGATTAGAAGGACAAGACCAAATTAGTATAGAAGCTAACTGCATGTGACCCTTTCATTTAAAGTATTTTTTTAAACCTCAGAATGTTAAGAGAGAAAAGAGAGAGAGAGAAATTTGAGAGGCCTTATGTCTACCAGGCACTCAAACAAGGATAATAAACATTCAGCAGTTTATCCACATGAAAAACTAAAAACACTACATAGCAACATCCAACAAAAACAACAGGAACAATAGAAAGCATAAAGGCATAGTAAACCAGAGCCTCGGGATGATTGGAGTTAATCTGGGAAGAATTTCAAGGGAAGACTTTTGGCTAAGGTTCCCACATGAAATGGTCAGGGACTAAGGCACATCCGCTGTTTTTATTATGTATTCCTACTGTGTGGTAGCATGGTGGTTATGAGCATGTTTTAGAGCCTGTGAGCCTGATGGATGCAGCCATGCACCTCTAATTGGCATTTTTAATCTCTCTCAATTTTTCTCATTGCTCAGCCGAAGAAATAGTAGTGTATGTCCAATGAAGATTTGAGAAAGATTGAGGACATATCCGTCAAACGGTGAGAAGAGTGTCTGCCATAATAAATGACTGCGAAGTCCACTGTTGCCACACTTGTTGCTTAGGTCTCAACATGAAGTAAGTGCTCAGTGAAAATGAATGACTTCATTCATACCTGCGTGAACAATGACGAAAGGAAAGAAGACAGGGTGGTTACCAAGCCCTTCCTCTGATGGTCCCTGATCACGCAATTCTGTGTATCCAAATTCAACACCCATTCAATCACAAGGCCCCAAGTTGTGCAATAAGTTGACAAAGGGAATCCAATAACAGCTTCTGACTGCTGTGTTCATTTCTGAAGAGTATCAGATGGGCCAGGCGTGGTGGCTCACACCTGTAATCCCAGCATTTTAGGAGCCTGAGGCAGGCAGATCACCTGAGATCAGGAGTTTGTGACCAGCTTGGCCAACATGCTGAAACTCTGTCTCTACTAAAAATACAAAAAATTAGCTGGGCGTGGCGGTGCATGCCTGTATTCCTAGCTATTCAGAAGGCTGAGGGATGAGAACCACTTGAACCCAGGAGGCAGAGGCTGCACTGAGGCAAGATCACACCACTGCACTCCAGCCTGGGCGACAGAGTGAGACTCTGTCTCAAAAAAAAAAAAAGAAAAAAAGTACCGGATGTATCTGTTTTCTGTAACAGAGTTGGAGAGAGAACAGTGGGAACACGAAGTTTGAAGATGTGATAATACCTCATGATTAAAAACAACAACCAAATAAAAAAGCCAACAACTCTTACCAACACTACAGGGCCCTTCTCGTTCTGTAGAGGCGTCACCTTCATTCACTTCCCAGCCGTCAGCTTTCTTTAAAACATCTTCTCTTCTTTAAGTTCTGTTTGTTTTTCCACTGCTACAATCCGGTTTCGACCACTTTTCTCCCGACTGTGCTCACCAAGGCCTCACCGCTGCCTTCATTAACTGATCCCACAGCCACTTTTTAGCCTTTTAAGCCTTGACTGCTTTGCTGTTTTTGACACATTGTTGGCCCTTTTCACAAAGTGAATTTTCCCTCTCACGGGTTGCCTTGTATGTCATTACACACTTCTGGTTTTCATCCTGCATTTCTGACTGTGCCTTCCCAGGTTCCTTCCAAGACCTCTTGCTGTCTACTGACAACACTAGTATCCATGGCTCTGTGTGTCCCTTGCTCCCATAATCCGCCCTGCAGAGGAGCCCTAGACTCCCTAACTTCATGTCCTTTCTCCTTTCCCTTGCTCCCATAGTCCGCCCTGCAGAGGAGCCCCTAGACTCCCTAACTTCATGTCCTTCCTCCTTTCCTCTCCACACATGGTCCAAATTATCTTAGCTCCATGACCTTCCCTGAGGACTTCGCCTCTGTACTTTCTAATGTATCCTGATTTCTGCCTAGAATATCCATCTAGTTTCCCATTGGTCTACTGACTGATCATCCTTCAGTTCCCAGCTTACATGTCATTACTTCAGTGACATTCCTGATCTTTAAGCAACCAAGTCCCCTCGCATGAGTTTCCTCCCTTAGAACACTCCCATTTTCTTTTCATTACTTGTAAATGTCTGCATTCCCTGTCAAGGTTAATTGTGGCATCCACACTTATGACTTTGTACAATTTGTACTACAGAAAGTTTCAGGGCGGAGAGGGTAAAGAAGAATAGAAATTTTGACTGGGCTCAGTGGTTCATGCCTGTAATCCCAGGACTTTGGGAGGCCGAGGAGGGCGGATCACAAGGTCAGGAGTTAGAGACCAGCCTGGCCAACATGGTGAAACCCTGTCTCTACTAAAAATACAAAAATTAGGTGGGTATGGTGGCACACACCTGTAATCCCAGCTATGCGGGAGGCTGAGGCAGGAGAACCACTTGAACCCAGAAGTGGATGTTGCAGTGAGCCAAGATCACACCACTGCAGCCTGGGTGATACAGCGAGACTTTGTCTCAAAAAAAAAAAAAAAAAAAAAAGAGAGAGGCAGAGAAATCTCATGTGTGCTCTGTGACCCCTGGTTTGGGATAACTCTGCCCAGAGACTTCACTGTTACCTAATTTGTACCGAAAGAACATGAAAGCCAGCAGAACTGATGTTCCCTAATAACTGTAAGGTTAGTGAAGGAGAAACTGTGCCTCTGTTATACATCACTGAATTCTTGGCCCTAGCATACTGCCAGCAATTTTTCAGCTGATCATTGCTTAATGTATAAATCTTCCCCATTACCATGTTCTGGAATTGTACTGTCCCATACAGTAGTACCCTAGCCATATATGGCTACTGAGCACTTGACATATGGCTTGGGATGTGCTAAGTGTAAAATACACACCAAGTGTAAGACTTGGCAAGAAAACTTCTTAATAATTTTGTATTGATTACAAGATGAAATAACATTTTAGATATATTGTGTTAAATAAAACATGTAATTAAGATTCATGCCTGCTTACCCTTGTGTGTGTAGTTACTAAATAATTTGCATTTGAGGGTCACAGTAGGTTTCTACTGGACAGCACTATTCCAGACTTTCTTCTGAGACATTGCTCTATTTCAGAGCATTCATTGAATACCTCCAGCTAATGTCCCACAGACACTGTAAATGCAATAAAATTGAATTTATCATATTTCTCAATGACCTGCACTTCCTCTTCAGATGTCTCAGATGTTAATGGTTGTGATTCATCTTGTTACCTAAGGCAAAATATCAGACTATTCCCCAACTCTTATTTTTTTATGAAAAGACTCTCTTCTTCCAGTTTTCCCTTTTCCTAATCTACCTGCCACAATGCCATTAATATGGCCACTGGACTCTCCAGCATAAATCCCATAGGCACATCTAGGAGACCTCTTTTGACAAGGCATAAGACAGGCTCTGGCTGTCAACAGATTACAGTCTACCTCTTCAGTGTCTCCTTGCTCTGTTGTCTCACTTAACCCCGTCTACTTAATACTCAGAAAAATAGCTCATATGGACCGAATATGTTTCAAAAATATATCCTTACAATACCTTATCGTTCTCATATTGCAGATGAAGAAACTGAAGTAGAAAAGTCAAATAATTAACACCATATTTGCACCTAAGTGATGAAGTTGGTATTCGAACCTAGATCATTTGACTTTGGTATCTGGCCTCTTAACCAATGTTCTGTATTGTACATCCACAGTAATTCTATTCTCTGAATATATCAAGATTTCCCACACCTTTGTATCTTTAAAAATTTTTTTGTTCCTTTGCTTGAGAACTTTCGCTATCTCCTCATTACTTTACCAACAGATCAATTCTCTGACATCCTTCAAAACTCATCTCCAAAGAAACCTGTGTGTCAGTTTATCAGAACTTAACAGAAATATTTAGTATTTTTTCTGTGTGCTTGCCAGTCTTTAAAATAGTGTAAATATTACATGTCTTCCCCATTAGGAAAATGTGCTTTCCAGCTTAGATTTCCAGCATCAAGTACAGTGCTTGACAAATAGCTGTGAATGCCTATTTGGATTTTTGGCTGCAGGCAGTGTGGGGACAGGGCCATGTGAACAGGACAACTTTTGGTCAGGAGGTCTTGAGATTGCTGATTGAGCTGACACTGTCTGGACTCTTGAGACTTCCCACTCTAATTTGAGAAATATTGAACTAGTTCATTCTAGTTATCCTGGGTTATCATTCATGGAGCTACCATTGACAAAGGGTCATGAGATTTCAGGGCAGTGTTTGAGCTGAGATCATTTAATAGGTAAAGCCCTACTTGCATAAAGAAGTAAACTGAGACTACAAAGATTAAGTAACTTATCCACAATGACACTGCAAGTTAGTATCAGAGTCCTACTTAAATCTGCATTTTCTGACTTCTAACCTATCCATAGTTACTGGCTCTTTCCTACGAACATACAAATACCCAAATGATTTTATGTGTCTATACAGAAATTCATACACATATATCTTCACTGTTTATGAACTGATTTAATAAATGTATGTATTTACCTCATGCAAAGCCTGGATGTACTTGTGGGAATGATTAGAACTAACATAAATTCAGTGATTTACACATGAGATCATCTTTCTACTTCCAAACTGCACAAAGCAATGCACAACTTCACTTTTCCCCAGGAGGGGAAAAAAAAATCTATCCAGTCAACAGTTTTCCAACAAAGAAAGGCAGTGCAAAGGAATCAAGTTTACTGAGTTCTGCTGACTTACTTTTCCCCAATGCTTCCATAAGTACCATCATGATAGCATAAAAGCGCTAACATTTTTGTAATAATTGTCCTTTACCATGATTTCTGAAAAATGCTTTATGTGCCTTATCACATTTATTCTATAAAACAACCCTAGGAGCTAGATCACAATGGCAATTTCCCATTTTATAGTTGGGGATACCAAAGCCCAATTTAATAAATGCCACAGGGTCATAGAACTTTTAAGTGGCAGAAGCTACGCTTGTATTTAAAGTGAATCTGACACCAAAGCTTAAGCTTGTAACCGCTAATCCAGTCGTGTGTCTTTTTTTTTTTTTTGAGACGGAGTTTCGTGCTTGTTACCCAGGATGGAGTGCAATGGCACGATCTCGGCTCACCGCAACCTCCGCCTCCTGGGTTCAGGCAATTCTCCTGCCTCAGCCTCCCGAGTAGCTGGGATTACAGGCACGCGCCACCATGCCCAGCTAATTTTTGGAATTTTTAGTAGAGACAGGGTTTCATCATGTTGACCAGGATGGTCTTGATCTCTTGACCTTGTGATCCACCCACCTCGGCCTCCCAAAGTGCTGGGATTACAGGCTTGAGCCACCGCACCCTAACAGCATACTTAATTTCTATCCAAAATGATGGAATCACAGAATTAAAGACCTAGAAATGATATCGGATACTGCCCGATCTTTCTAAATCACTTAATGGAAACAAAGTGAGTTCCAGAAAATAGTTGAATCAACCTCCCCTGCATGTAGTGTGCTTACAATGTTTCCATATTTTTCTATCTCACACAATAAAGTACTTTGCATAGTATACATAGTAACTATGGATGATTGACTGGGATGGATTCGTCCATAAATATATACAGCCACATAAACACATGCATATGCATATATGTATATTAGTGTCTAGTCTATGTATTTCCAATAATACAGAAAGTTAGAATAACAGCCAGCTTGTCAAAACATAGCAAAAAGAACCACATTTTGTAAAGAATTACAGTATCATTACTGTTGACATGGGTAGAATAGATGAGTGTACCCTAACTACTGCCTGTCAGGGCTTCCTCCTATTCAGCACTGAGTTTAAATAGTACTCAGCCAGCTGCCTGTGGATTTAGCCAACATTGCATGTTAATGCGAAAGTCTGATTGCCCAGATGGTTATTTCTAGGCCCATGATCAAAAATAGTGAGTGAGCATGGCTGTAAAGCATATCACCCTACACACCCTACACACAGGCTAGCGCTTTCTTGCTGTCTTCACACATCCCTCCCCTGTGCAGAATGGGCATGTAGATGGTAGTTATTTTAATAACTCTCACTAGGGACAGGGAGAAGGAAACAGATTAAACCTGTGGAAATCTCTGAATTACTTTGCCTCTCATATCTTCAACTACATTCTTTCTGTCCTCACTGTTATTGCTGGATACAGAGTATCTGCTTGGCAAACTTCCTTGAGCAAGTATTCTTCCCTCCGTTGTACACCCCCTCCATCACCACCAGCACAGTAGCCTTGCACTGGAAAAGCAAAATGAAGAACTGTACCAGACACAAAACAGACCAAACAAACAAACTTAAAATGCTCTGAGGGAAAACAATGGAAGAAGTTTCAGTTTTCAAGTTTGACTAGCCCTTTGCCTGCCGCAAGGTAAGAAAATACCAGCGCAATGTGGAAAATCAGATCTCTGAGGCCATGCTTTCGAACAGTTCAACTTGTGACAAGAAAGAGAACAACCTTCCGGATTTCATCAGAGCAACTTTGACTAACAATTCTGAATCCCTAAATGGTTAATTAGGCACTCTCTGTGAGGCAAACGCTGGAGAGGCTATAAAGTCCTCACCATCTTTGCCCTGACATACCTTGGGTTTATGGCGAGCCACTCCTCATTACATATTTGGAAAGAGATCATTTCATTGCCTTGGAGGGGAGCCTCTCTTCTGATAAATTATATTAATTCAGACCTTCATCGGTCCTTCCTGGTTCTGTTTCAATAGACAAACATAGGAATAAATTGTTCCGAGCTTGCTCTGTTTATTCTAGTTCTTTTCTCTACCACCTCCCTTTTCTAATCTTTCTGTTTCCCTAGGCAGAGAATCTTTACAGGGTAAAACTGTTCGTTTCAATGTTAGCATTTTTTCTTACATTGGAATAACTTGGCTCAGCTACTCTGACCTTGAAGTGCAATCCTCCTCTCCCCCACTGCAAGAAATCAGCAGGAGCTATAAGGTAAACAGCACCAAGTTTCCATTTCTTTGCAATCCATATTTCCATGGTGAAGGTTATGCCAGTTGCAAAGGAAAAGGGACAGCCCATCATCCTAAAAGAATGATAGATAAGGATTAGGGTTAATACTGGAAAACATTTAGAAACTGAAAGAAAGACTGCATTCATGACAGAAATAAAAAGGGCCATTCTTCGGCAAAACGTGAAACAGCATCTGTTGAAACAACTCAAGTTCTGAGCTGCTTTGCGTGGCATCCTTTGTTGCCCAAGGATGGCAGCTTCTCTCAGGCCTTTGAGGACATGAAATGATGACAGATATGAGTCTTGTGCCAAGAAGCAAGAAAAAAAATCACATTTTGATGTGCAACTACTTGATTCTTAGCCATCTAAAAATACAGAGAGGAGGCTGTCAATGGCATGCCATGAACTGCCTTGGTAGCACTGGGTGATTAATTTCCAGCTTTACCCTGCTCTATCATGTACTGTGGAGAGCCCATTACCAGAGCTTTTTGGCTTCAAGGAAAAGATCAACCCCATGTGTGTAATCTACTCCAGGTGTACCAAAGTGGGCTCTTTGCCCTTTTTCTTTGGCCTGGTACCCTACCCCATTGACATTCTGGTGTGATGCATTGGCTTTTTCTGTGTGCAATGTTCATAATAACAAAATCCAGAAAATTCCCATTTGATTCACCTATTTATAGCAACAACTCATTTCTGTCAGTACTTTTAACATTATACTTTTTACCTACAAAATGGGGAAAACAAAAACACAATCTTGGTCATGTCTTAAACCACAGAACAAAATCGCTGGGGTCACCTACTGCTTATAGATTATTAACAAAGCTTTTAATACACAAAACTGATTGTAGGTATTATTAGAAACAGAGAGGTTGTTTTAAACTGCCAAGGTCATTCTCATTTGTATAGTGTAGAAAATAGAAAACATCAAAAACATACATGCTTCACTATTTCATATTTATTCCCAAAACTCTTCAGATATATTTGATTAAAGGACTTGTAACTTTTTTTTCCTCCACATATGAGGTAGCTAATAGATAGCAGCCTTGTGGCGGAGGATGGAGGGGTCAGGGGGTGGTGGGGTGGAATATGTACTTTGTTTTAAAGCAAGTAGATTTTATGACTTTTTCTTTTGATGTCTAAGCCATGAAACATGCCAGAGGTACTTGTTGTCTGTTTATAGTACCTATCGACACTCCTAATGAGTTGCCAGTTTTTACTTCCTTTAAGAAACCCTAATGGTAAAACATTTATCTACATATTGAAAAATTCATTTAAGCATGTTCTGCGTTTCCAGTGAGGCACCGTCTAGTGGTCTTTTTAATTAAATGTTGGTTCCAAGGATTTCTCTGTTGTTTAAGGCTGTAGTTCAGCTTGTTCATTGTGGATTGCAGGTTGAGAGACATAGAATTTAATTTAAACTATGATTTTTAAGGGAAGATTTGGCTTAAGTTGTTTTAAAGGCAACCCAAAAGGAGTATATTTATTTGACCCTGAGACCTTACTGATGTCAATCTTAATTGTAATTTTGTTTTGGCCTCTCTTTTATAATACAAGAGGCGGAAAGACTTACTAAGTAAGAAAATCTCTGCCAATGAGTTGCCTTCATGAAAGAAGGTTATTTTTGTTAATTGACCAGAGGCAGCAGTTGGGTAACAAGTAGCAGCAGCTGATGCACTGCACACCTATAGCTTGGCAGGTGTAACGGGATCTCAGTTTGACACAATGGGGTGGTATTACCCAATTTGAGGCTGAGCTATTCTCCAGAATAAGTGAATGTTGTTACTGAAATGGAAATTATTGGGAATTGGAGAAACAATGTTGAAACAATGTTAAGCTGGAGCGAAATTTGTAAAAGCAAGCCACAGAATGGATTCAAACCCAAATCTCATCTCCCGAGTACATAGGAAGACAGTGGGCACTTGCAAGGTGAATTCCATTTTCACAGGCCTTCCTCCCTTTATATACTTGGAAGCCCCTATAGCTGCATCTGGGGTTAAAGAAGCAATACTGCCCACCTGGGTGAAGCATGTCCCTTCTCTTCTTTAGTGAGCTTTCTCCATTTCTGAAGGGAAAAACAAAAAAGTATTACCCACTTTCTTTTCCTTACTGCTGAGAAAGAATCTGGTCTTTGATTAGGCAAGTCAGGTTTCCTACTCAACAAGAAACAATAAAAGACCTTTGTTGCGATATCCAGTGGACACTAAGTTGACTTTGTATCAGGGATCATTTTTACTAATTAATCACCTGTACTGCAGGTCCTTAAAAGTGAAAGTTGTATTCATTAGTTAGGGCTGTCTTTCCTGCCTCCTTCCAGAAGCTTTACATAAATGTTCAAGACAATTTTTACTGTTACACTCTCCAAGGATTATAATAGCTGATCACTTGAGGCATGGTTTTCCAGAAACTCCTCTTTCTGCATGAGCTAAAATATTAAATGCATAAAAACGATTATGTTGGAAATGCTGCATTTCAATGCTTAGATTTACTCATATTAAAACTAAAAGATCATTGGGTTGGAGAGTGAAGAAAATCATCTTGGTCCTGGACGAGAATGTGTTAAAACCTGGAACAATCTTCTCTGGGGCTCATCAACAGAATACGAACGTGTAAAACATCTATTTTTTTGTTTATTTGTTTGTTTAGCCTCTGGGCTGGCTATTGAAAAGTTCCCCCAATATGTTCCACTTCATATAATTGTTCTCAATATAAGAAACATTTACTGAAATACTAATAAAACTTTAGAGAAAAGGAAAACTGAAGAGATTATCATGTAAACAACAGAGCCAATAAGAGGAAGAAAAGCAGCTCTAAAAACCTAGCGAGGCCCTTAGGCTAAATTAAATAGTACTAATATTTATTAAATGTTGTGTGCCATGTACTCTACACATTTAATCTCAATTAGCATTCTTAACAATCCTGTGAGATAGATATTATTACTCTAAATTTTAGAGATAAGGGTCTGGGACTCAGAGAGTATAGGAAACCAACGTCAGCAGTTGTTAAATAGTAGGTGATTTCCAGCACAAACCTTCCTAATTCCAGATTCCACATTCTCTTCCCTCTAGCATTTGGGCTACTGGGCAACAGATCTGAGTGAGCAAACGCTCTGTACAACTAATTCCACAAAACAGTTTTTCTCTGACTTCAGATTATTTAAGGGTCAAGTCCTATCAATATCTATGTATGGAAAACCATGCGCAAAGCTCATCTCAGATTCAGTATTTATAAATACTCAAGTTCAGGAGACTAGTCTGTTGCAGGGTTAAAACTGGGATCCGGGGCTGGGTGCGGTGGCTCATGCCTGTAATCCCAGCACTTTAGGAGGCCAAGGCAAGTGGATCACCTGAGGTCAGAAGTTCAAAACCAGCCTGGTCAACATGGTGAAAACCCATCTCTACTAAAAATACAAAGATTAGCTGGGTGTGGTGGCAGGAGCCTGTGATTTCAGCTACTTGGGAGGCTGAGGCAGGAAAATTGCTTGAACCCAGAAGGCAGAGGTTGTAGTGAGCCTAGATCCAGCCTGGGCAACAAGAGCGAAACTTCTCTTGATCCTGGTCTCAAACCAGGATCCAGGTTTACCTTCATTTCTAACCCTCTTCTCCCTCAGGATGAAGGCTCATATCAGTTTCATGTATTGATATGTCTGCCAGACCCGGATAACTTGGCATTAAAGGACATGTGTTTATCAAATGTGTTATCTTATCCTTGGAGGGCAGAGACCAGAGCACAGCTGCCTTGAATTGTTTCATCAAGTTATTCCGTTGCAGTTATGTGGAACATCAAAAAATGTCAAAAGGCCTAAAACATGGAAACTTGTTTAATGCTCTCAAACAATGGCACTAACCAAAGCAAACGAAACTCTGACAGAAGAAAGAAGCAATTGTTTAGCCTTGTCATGTCCTCACAGTTATTAACACAAAGGGTATATTCACAGTGGAAAGATACTTTCCCTTTCTCTCAAAATAGAAGACAACACACTGTAAGATATTTTACAGACATCCTTCCTCATAGAACTCTGTAAACAGTACTGGCTCAAGAACAAACTCAGTTTCAACTCATAGGACTGATTGCTCTTGTATTTTAGGTATTCTCCTGGTGCATTTGTACTTGTGTGTTGCAGCCTATAGAAGAAATGTACTTCTTCTTCATTTTTCCTGTGTGCTGATGACAGATACCAGTGGCTCACCTTTCGGTCTGTGAAACAATGATTTCTTTTCAAATTTGAAATCTAAATAACTATGCACCACAATAGCTGCCTTTGACTCAGAATTGTTCTCTAGCTTTTATCTTCCAAAGAATTTTCTGCAGTTCATTATCCTCTAAGTTCTGAATCATAACCGAATCCTGTTACAACTTCAACTTCTGGCTCCCACCCTTATGGACTTGCTGTTTCATTAGATCTTCCTTCCCTATTTTCCATCAGTGAAACCTAAAATGAATTCAAAACCACAAGAGAGAGCAAACCTAGTGTTCGGTATCATGGCAAAATTTTATGTGAAGAAACCAAAATATTTGAAGGTGAGTTCTTCCAATCAGGTGACAACAGTTAACTTACGATAAGCAATAGAAGAAAATTTAAATATTAGGACAAGGGCTACAAAAGAATGGCCATTTTGGGACAGAAACTTTCTGTATTGGTAAATCTGCCACCCTTGTGAATAATAAATGATTTGATTTTACTTCCTCAAGAATCACTCCACTGGGCTCCTCTTTGGAGACTTTGGGGGCATTGTTACAGTTTGGGTTAGAGAGCAAAGCCATTATGTATATGTATTCTTTGATTAATAAAAGCATTTTAAAATTTTATATGTATGTTTAACTGAGATGTTATATTACAAAACATCATTACTTTATGATAAAGTTATAAAATACAGGTCTCATTAGTTCAGGGACTCCTTTATATATCAGCTTTCAGATATGATTTCTTGTCAGGATAGAATGTATAAAAATCTAACTCCATAACTCAAGTAGAAATACTGTTTTCACAAACTATACTCCACATTGAGAGCTATGTATTGCGTCCCAAGGCATGGTAGAGTTCCTTATTACTTTTGACTATGTTTACACATGTGAAATCAACCTCATCATTTCCTCTTTCTTCATTGTGACCTTCCTAACCACTGGTGTGGGCTGTTGTGTGACTGAACTGGCTTCCATAATTGATTGCTGATTGGCCAGAACGAATGGCTCAAAGTCACATTGTGTTCCAACTTATCAACAGAGTATAGTTAACATCGACTTTGGGGCACAATTTGACTTAATTATTAAATACTGCATGTTAGCAATTGACGGGAAAGGAGTTTATTTCTACAAGCTTAAACCTATCACTAATTTTAAAGAAAAACTTCAGACTATAGAGGCTTCAGATGCATATCTAAACACAGGAAACAGGCCAGCCATGGTGGCTCATGCCTATAATTCCAGCACTTTGGGAGGCTGAGGCAGGCGAATCACTTGAGCTTGGGAGTTGGAGACCAGCCTGGGCGACACAGTGAAACCTCATCTCTACCAATACAAAAAATTAGCCAGGTGTGGTGGTGTGTATCTGAAGTCCCAGCTACTCAGGAGCCTGAGGTGGGAGGATCACTTGAGCCTAGGAGGTCCAGGCCGCAGTGAGCTGATATTACATCACGCCACTGCACTCCAGCCTGGGTGACAGAATGAGACCCTGTCTCAAAAACAAAGGCAAAAATAAGAAAAGAAGAAGAAAAAAAAGGAATAAATGCACCTGATCAAAAAAAGAAGAAGAAGAAAATAGTCTTATTAATTTATAATGCATTTATTTACGTATTTTGTTATAGTTTGCTCTATGGTACTGTATGTACATTTTAAATCAGTCTTTAACATTCACCGTCTTTAGGAACATACTTTTGGAAATGGGTAACAAACTCTCTTAAAGCTACTAATGGAAGCTGCCAAAGCAAGAAGAGGATTCCTCACCTCCAAAGGTGGGAGAAGGCCTTAGAGCCCCCTTCCATAACTGAGAAGCTGGACACTGCTATTGTGTGAGGCTGCTTGGCAGTTGCAGCTGCCACTCAGACTTCTTATCCACACCAAGCACTTCCAAATACAGGAAAGAAATCAGACTTTGTTCCTCTACCCTATTTGGATAATAATTAAATGTTTCAACTAGAAACCTCTTCACTCTGGCATCTGAAGCATCATTTTAGTGTCAACTTCTCTTGAAAAGGGCACACACACACGCATGTACTCATACTTGCTATGTTTTTTCCTTTGCCAAAATGTTTACTATGTTATGGTAAGAAAACGTTTTCTCTTTTCTTGAAATAAAATTAATTTCTTTTGTTCGTGCTTTCCTTCAAAATGTCAATCTGAACATTTTTCACTACTCTTCTGAAACAATTATTCTCTTTAAATCACAATTTTTACTAAAAAGGCTCTTTGCTTGACAGATTTGGACACTAAAAGGGAAAATAATTACTTCCAAAGCTATGTGTAAATAGAAGGCAGTTTGTAAGCATCCCATGTGAAATTAAAAGCCCCCATGCCTATCTAACCTTGGGAAAACTAAAGGACCTTCACATCCCATAATAGAACTTAGAAACGGTAAGTGCCTCTTACTACGTGTGAGCCTGCATTTCAGCCACAATAAAGTAAACTAGTCAAATAAGTATTAACAATTAACACATTTAAAAGCATTGCAAAAACTATAAATATCTACTATTTCATTGGCTATTCCAACCCAGACGCTATTTTCAAAACCATACAAGAGTAGCGATACCATTACTAATTTCATCAATATACCCACCTCTGCAGGTTATTTTTTTAAAAAGGAGTCTAGGTTGATACGATAATAGCAAAGTATTAAACTGTTAATTTCCATTACGGGACAATACATAAGAAACACTGGTTTTTTTTTTTTTTTTTGAGATAAAGTTTTGCTCTTGTTACCCAGGCTGGAGTGCAATGGCTCGATCTCGGCTCACCGCAACCTCCGCCTCCTGGGTTCAGGCAATTCTTCTGTCTCAGCCTCCTGAGTAGCTGGGATTACAGGCACGTGCCACCATGCCCAGCTAATTTTTTGTATTTTTAGTAGAGACGGGGTTTCACCATGTTGACCAGGATAGTCTCGATCTCTTGACCTCGTGATCCACCCGCCTTGGCCTCCCAAAGTGCTGGGATTACAGGCGTGAGCCACTGCGCCCGGCCGAAACACTGTGTCTTTATTAAGCCAAACACAGATGCCTAGGTATAGTTACATACGCATCTAACACTTTCTTTCTGTTTATCTGTCTCTCAATTTATCTGATGCTCAGTTCACCTTGTGTGCCCTGTACACCATATTGTAGCTTCTTAATTGTTGGAGTACTTGAAACTGTCACATGCTTTCACTTAAAGTTTTTAAAATTCATGGACATTTAATATATATAAAATATACAATGCTAGGAAGGAGTCACCTAGTATTTGAAAATTATAATCAGCCAGACGCAGTGGCTAACATCCCAACACTTTGGAAGGCTGAGGCAGGCGGATCGCCTGAAGTCAGGAGTTCAAGACCAGCCTGGCCAATATGGTGATACCATATCTCTACCAAAAATACAAAAATTAGCCAGGCATGGTGGTATGTGCCTATAATCCCAGCTACTTGGAGGCTGAGGCAGGAGAATAGCTTGAACCCAGAAGGCAGAGGTTGCAGTGAGCCGAGATCGTGCCACTGCACTCCAGCCTGGGCAACAAGAGTGAAACTCCATCTCAAAAAAAACAAAAAAAAAAAAAGAAAAAGAGGAAATCATAATCAACACATTGAATTGCTCAAGTTCAAATTCAGATAGTAGTAAATGAAAAGAGGCTAAAACACACAGCATAACAAAAGATTAATTTGGCAGTGGATTTATCCTGTAGCAGTTGTTCTCAAAGCATGGCCAGAGAACCACAGGGTTATCGTAACATCCAAACTACTTTTATAATAAACAAAGATGTTAATTTCTCTGCTTTGCTTTCATTCTTTCACAAGTGTACAATAGAACTCTCCAGAGGGGTTTTGATGTGTAAGATTCTAACAATGTTTATAGAAGCAAATCTAATAATCTAGCTTACTATTAAGCCACACAATAAAGAAATTTGTAAAAATTTAAAACAATGCTATATTAGTACACTTTATCTTGCTTATAACAGAATACCTAAAAATTTATTTTAAAGGTGGTGTATTAAGCTCACGGGTCCACAGGCCAAGAAGTTCAAGGGCATGGACCTAGCTTCTGGACAGGGCTTTCATGCCACATCACAACATGGCAGAGAAAGGCAATGAGAAGGAGACATGTGTGAAGAGGAGAAAACCTAAGGGCATCTTGGCTTTATAACAACCCACTTACAGGAACTAATTCATTCCCATGAGAACTGATTCAATCTTTCAAGAATGAGAACTCAGCCAGGCATACTGGGGTCTGCCTGTAGTCCTACCTACTCAGGAAGATGAAGCGGGAGGATCCTTTGAGCCCAGGAGTTCAAGGTTGCTGTAAGCCATGATTGTACCCCTGCACTCCAGCCTGGGTGACAGAGTGAGAACCTGTGTCTAAAAAAAACAAAAAACAAAGTGAGAACACATTACCACCAGAACAGTACAGAGCCATTCATGGATCTACCTCCAAAACCCAACACCTGCCATGGGGCCCCACTTCCCAACACTGGCACATTGAGGATCAAATGTCAACATGAGTTTTGGTGGGGACGAACAAATTACACCCAAACCATAGCAAATGTCACTCATTTTTGTGTTGTTTTGAAAAAGATAGTTATTTCTTACTAAAACATGCCATTTGTGTCAAGATGCAATGGGATTATTACTGTCACTTTAAAGTGAATTAGTAATTAGTTTTAAATTTTTCTATTTTAATTTCTAATTTGAATATTGAGAGATATGACCAACATTAACAAAAGTTTTTTGGTGGTGGTGGGGTGGGGGAGGTGGTTCTCAAAAATTTCCAAGCATGTAAAGAAATCCTGAGACCAAAACATTTGAGAGTGATATTCAATAGCATTGGAATCTCAGTATATTTCTAAAGCCTCAGTTACAATGCTACCAGAATCAAAATTAGAGTGGCGCTTCTTATAAAATTCTCCCAAATCATGATTTGGAAAGATTAGATCCATATTTCTTGTATTGATTGTTAATCAACACGATACAGCCAACAGAGTACTTTTAAATACGGGATTTAACATGATGAATTTCACCTGGTCCGTTCCTGGACAGCCAGTCTTCCTGAGGACCTAGCTTTGCCGTTCAATGCCAGTCTGCTAGGAGGCATACTGCTTGGTGTATATTATGTGCTTAAAAAGTGTTTGCTGACCATTTGTTTTAAACTTGCTTCCTCATTAAAATCTATTTGACTAATTTATTAAGGTTATTCCTTGTTTTCATTTCATAATTATCACGATGGTCAGCAAATCAAGGTTAACGGCATTGGTGCAGTGCTCAACACAGTACCCCCCAGAACTATCCTGGTTGGGCTTAAGTCCTCATTCTAACACTTGCTCTTGTGTGAACGTGAAAGTGCTTTAACTTCTCTGCACCTAAATTACCTCATCTGAAAATTACGAATATAAGTAATACCTTCTAACGACTTTGTTGTGCAGACTAAATAAATTAATACTTGTAAAAAAAAACCATAAAATCTGACCTTAATAAATAATAAATGATATATAAAGATCACTAAGTAAAATATCATTTAACTTCAACTGCTGCTCAGACCAAGTTCATGGATAACTGTGATTTGGTTATTAGAGAAAGCTGCCCAGAGTTTTGATGTTTAAACAGCTCCAGATGCCTGAACCCTTTTAATTCCCGCTGCTAAAAGTTAAGAGTAGCAGATTAAACATGAGCAGCAACCACAAACACACTGAAACGCTGAGAGGAGAAACGCCGTAAAGCATCACAATGTAGACACACGATCTTCTTACAAGCACCATAGAGAAGCCCAAACATATTCAACTAAGAAAAATGAAATTAAATAACCAATTTCAGCAAAAGGTAGAAAATTGGGTCAAGGCTTCTACCTGAGTCTATTTTTAATTGATATGAATGCTGGCATAGTATTTAAATTATCACCTTAGTAATGTCTTTACAATCCCAGCTACTCTTCAGAAAGTGTTCAAAAATACTGAACACATAGAATCATGTAATGCAGTCTAGCTAAAAGCAAAGAAAGTTTCTAGGACACTCACCCCTCAGCGTCTGCAATTTCATGTGCATTGATTTTCCGATTTATATTTTCCAACAAGATAAAATCCCTCTTCCACTTGCCAGACTCTAAGTCCCAGGGATGCAGACACATGCAGAATGGGTGGACCGTCCTCACCAGCATGGAGTGTGCTCTATATCTTGCAGCTTAATTGTCCTCATGCCAAATATCCCAGCCTCTGAGCTTGTTTATGACGAATGGCAGCGATTAACTTCCAATTTTCTTTATAACTTTGTTTCATTCTTTTCCTTTAAGCTTATCTGAATTCAAATAACTAGAGAGGATGGAGCATGTTTCCGGAAAAGTTTTACCTAATGAGCTATGATATCACATCTCTTCATCTATTCATATTTCACTCAAAAGGAATGAGATTCGGAAAGTATAAATTAAAAGACATAATTGAAAAAAAAAACGGAAGAGAATTTCCCTTGAAATGGGTTACACACTAAAACTTGCTAGAACTTTGTTACAGAAACACATTCCAGTAATGGGATGGAAAATCCTTTGGTCTGCTCCATATCAAATGGTCACACTAGAAGAAAAGGTGCATCTCCTGCCGCAGAGCTCACTGCTGACGAAGCTCATTTAACTAGATAATAATATTCATCTGAAGTTATCTGTAGAAAGCAACATATTGGTCTTTAGATAAATAAAATACCATAATACATAAAGAGCTAAACATTGCTCTCTAGATGCAATGAATTTTAAACTCTGAAACAGAAATACAAATATGAAAGTACTTACAAACTTCGTAAAAGAAATCAAGCTTTAAGATTTGCAAACAAAATGCTTGAATTATGAAATGCCAACATGTAGCTTTTCCCTGTGGATGTTGAGGCAGGAAAATTCCAAGTAAGGAAAGTCTATCTCTGTGATAACCATCAAATATCTTTTGTTTTATCTCATTTATGATCAGAGGCCTTGCCATTCAACACTGAGTGCCATTCTATTTAGGTTTCCATTGTGGCAAGCTCCCATGCTTGGGGAGATGCAGCCCATAATAGCTTGTGGAGCAATAATGGGACATGTTACAGTGAAGCTTCTCATCCCCTGGCTCTGGTACTGGAGCCCGCACAGCATCTGTCTCCTCCTTACTTTCGTTGCCACACTGAAATTGCTTTGGTTTGTTTCCATGCCGAATTGGAAAAACTCTCAATCATTTCTCCTACCATGTCTACAGGAACATAGAAGCAGGCCAACCATGCCATTCTGACATTGCGTGTCAGGCAAGGTCCATTTCACAAGCAGTACCATAAAATGAAAAGCTGTGAACCCTCCCTCTGCCCCTTCCTCTAACTCTTAAAGCCAAACTAAAACCTGCAGCATCTCTGCATTTTACTTACTTTTATCAATATTATGGAAAACATGCTTGAACACCAAATATGACCAAAGATGAAAGAAAGCTGTCATTTATTAAGGGGAAGAGAAAAACTGTTTTACAGCAATGGGCAAATTAAAGGACAATTGATTTAGTTGCAGAATAATTAACAAAAATACCTTATTAAACATCTGAAATAAAAACACTGAGGGCCAGTTGAGAGTGGTGCCTCAAGCCTGTAATCCCAGCACTTTGGGAGGCCAAGGCAGGCCGGACCACCTGAAGTCAGGAGTTCGAGACCAACCTGGCCAACATGGCAAAACCCCATTTCTATTAAAAATACAAAAATTAGCTGGGTGTGGTGGTGGGAATCTGTAATCCCAGCTGCTCTACTAAGGAGGCTGAGGCAGGAGAATCACTTCAACCTAGGAGGCAGAGGTTGCAGTGAGCTGAAATCATGCCACTGCACTCCAGCCTGGGCAAAAAGAGTGAGACTCCGATTCCAAAAAACAAACAAATCACTGAGGGCATAGATACAAACTAACCAAGAAAATAAAAAGAGTAGATATGTTCTCAGATTTCAGTTTAGCACCAGGGTCACATTACCTTGTTAAAGAGGGATTTGCACTTTTGGACTTGAGAATCAAGTGTGAAGAAGCCAGGATCTGCAGCTGAACATTTCTGGGCTGGGAAAGCTATGGGGAAAAAAAAGATTTCCCTCAAGCTCAACAATTTCTGTCTTCTGAATAGGGAAAATGTGTCTGAGCACATTCAAAAATGACCCTTTGCCTTACGTCGTGAGAAAATCACATTGTAATAGCACAGAGAGAAATCTGGAGCATATTCACACACGGATTAATATCATTTGTTGACGTCAAAGTCGTGCCTAAGAGTCTACTACTTGGAACACTTGGAAGAGAACAAGCAGAAAGGTAAAGATTATCCAATGGAAGGGATGTTCCTCAAATTATTCGTGTATTCATTTCTCTTCCGGGGGAAGAGAAAATCAGTAATTTATTATGAATGCAGTGTTCTTAGAGATTTCCCCAGTTTTCTGAAGAAAGAGAAATTTTTCAAAGTACTGCAGTTCATTTAAATTCTATTAAATGTCTAATAAAATCATGAATAATATATAAATAATATGCATGTGTAATAATATCTATATATGTGTCAAGAAAAAGGATTTGTAAGTATTTTCAAATAAGTCATGATGGTAAGTTAAATTTTGAATATTATATTTGGGAAAATATAACCAGGTGGACATATACTTTAATTAGCTAATAAATCTGAAAAATTACGAATTGATAACACAAAGATTTGTTTTTATTGAACTTATAATAGTCAATTTAATATATAAAGTGTAAATTGTGCAATAATACAAAAGCCTCTTTCATATTTTCTTAAATTTTCACTACTGTACTGACACATGATAAAAAATTATGCTTTTAATTTTACCAGTAAAGAAATTGAATATCCAAGAGAACAAGTAACTTATTTAGAGTAACAGAAGCAGTAAATCACCAAATCAGGAGGAACATTCAGAACTTCAGGTTCCTTTTAGAAGCTCTGCTAAATTATACCTTTTGATGTTGCTTCTACACATTAAATTTAAAAGATGTTTTGATGAACTTAAGACAACAGTTTGTATATATCTAAATTTTATATATATCCATATATAAAAATGCATATATATTCATACACATAAACATATATGATAAAGAGTTTGTATATAAGCATTTTATATATAACTATAGATTTATATGTTACATATTTTTAATATATAACTATAGATTTATATATAATTTATATTATATATATGTATGTATATGTATAAAACACACATAGAAATCCTAATGGAGTAAGTCATATGTTGTTTCCTACTGGTCATATGCTAGCACAAGAATAAAACTCTACAACGGAAAAACAGGAATACACACTGAACCTTTAAATATAAGAAAACTTCATTCCACAGAGTTTTTTGGAGTTCCTGAGATGTCTGCAGTGTTAATCCCCTTCAGGTCAGGTATATTTAATGGCCATTTGGATCAAGGGTCCTTGGTCTTACCTGAGGCATTCAGTTCTTCACCCAGACATTAACTGACAGAGACTGAGCAGCTCAGAAAAGAGAAATGCTCAGTCAATAGAAGCTTCTGTACTAATAGGCATACAGCCCACTACTGAGATATCCACCTATGGTTTTAGTGACCTGAATTCAATCTTCTCACACTGTAAACCTATCTGAATGCTGAAAATAAACACGGGGTCAGATTTTGTGGCATACATCAATACCAAACTGATTTAACAAAATCGTATTGAATAACTACTTAGTTCTCCATATAAGACCACATGAGGACCCACAGAACGAGAATGTTTATATTTTGTTGTTCTGTAGAATGTATATCTTATATTCTGTTATTTTCTCCAAAAACATTTCTATCTTGGGTAAAAAAAGAAGGGACATAAAGCATAAATCATATTTCTAAAGAAGCTTTTAACTCTTTTTGTTTATATCAATTTCATCATCCCAACTTAGTGTATAACAATCTTAATATCATACCATCCTGTGCCAAATAAAAATAATCTAAAATAACAACAGCTAATATAGGCACAAACCTGAAAATGACTTCATAAAAATAACACATTGATGTACTTTATACACTAAAGTGTAGATATTTTACATGGAATAAAGTTTGAAGAGAGGAATACAACTTGAATGTTAGCCTGTTCTTTGTGAGGAAACAATTACCCCTTCTCTTCAAAGACTAAGGAAGGCTTTACTAACAAAATAACACAACCAAGGACTGTGTGCATAGTGAAATTCAAAAGTCTTAAGACTGTGGCCCAGGAATAAATTGAAATGCGTGTGATTTTGAGCAGAGTTGAGAACAGTGTCCTCATTTCCTGCATATCCCTCACATGACTTGTTGCACCAGCTGTACCATTTCTGTCACTGGTTTACTCATCTCCCTTCATACTATCTTTTCCTTCATGCTTTGCAGTGCCTGATGCAGAAGCTCATGACAGATCTGTGCCTCTATTCCCTAGGAGTTTTACCAATGAATGTCATCTCTCCTGCTTTAGAGACGAGCGAGTAAAATCAAGCAATGTAACACCTGAAATAATAGATTCTCTAAAACGAACCTTTTAAAACAAGCGAGTAAAGTGAAGATGGAATGAGGCACAGATGTAGGCACTATTCTCTGATCCTGTGTTTCTACGAATGGAGAAAAGCTACACTGTTTGCTCAACATAATTTCAAGGTAATCTTGCTTGCAGTATGCTGAACTCAGCAAACCCAAAGAAATAGAAACCTTTTCCTGATTCGCAGGGAAAGAAACGATACCAGTGACTATATTCTCAGTGTTAACTATTTTCCACATGTATTTATCTTTAATCCCTTGGTATCTGCTACTGCTTACCCTCCAGGAAACATTGGTGTTAGTAAAATTCACAGAGATCGTATAAAAATAACAATAGTAAACCCTCATAACATGAATTCTAACATTTTTTGAGAACCTTCTCTTTTCCGTGTTCTACATGCATTAGCTCATCCAGAACACTCATAATCACTGAATATATAAAGAAAGCATAAATACCTTTATCTTCATTATATCAGTGAGAAAAACTGAAGTTTAATGATTACAGTAGTTAAGGCAACACTGGCTGCTAGAACAGAGAAGCCCTGAAATCCTAGCAGCTAAAATAAACACTTATTTGTTTTCTTACAAACGACAGGTCGATGAGAGTGCTGAGTGGATGGTCTGCCATGCAGTGATTCAAGACTCAAGCTATTCATTGTCGTAGCTCCACTATCTTCAACTCTTGGCTTCCAAAGTCACTGTGGAAGAGGAAGAAAGAGGAAAGGAGGCACTCTTCATTTGTAGTCGTGTGAGCCAAGAAATAACACGCTTTATTCCTGCTTACCTTTCATTCGTGAGAGGTGGTCACATAGCTTCATAGAAATGCAAAGGTGATAAGGAAACTGAGTCCATGACTGGGAAGTCTCGGCTTGGCAACATCTCCACACAATGGGTAATATTACAGATTCTGATGAACAGCTGGCCATTTCTGCCAGAGAGGGAGTGAGCTACTTTCCTAGGAGCCCCCTTTAGTAATTAGTAAAATTGGAATTTGGACTCCCCTCTGAATCCAGATTTGAGCTCCTACTCACAATGCCATACTTTTGAAAAGATGGCTCATGGTTCATGAGCTCCTCTACTGCCCTGCACATAAGGCTTTGTGGTTGTGACTGTGTACAGAATAGTGAAATTACAACACTGTATATTTCATGGCATTCTACAAAGAGTCTCATTACTTCCTAAAATTCTGCCACCAAGAAGTTCTGGAGAACTTACATCATGAGGTGCTGGGTAGTTATTAGTCGACATTCTCCAGAGGGACAGAACTAATGGAATATATATATCTATATATGTGTGTGTGTGTGTGTGTGTGTGTGTGTGTGTGTGTGTGAGTTTATTAAGTATTAACTCACAAAATCACAAGGTCTCACAGTAGGCTGTTTGCAGGCTGAGGAGCAAGAAGAGCCAGTCCAAGTTCCAAAACTGAAGAACTTGGAGTCCGATGTTCGAGGGCAGGAAGCGTCCAGCATGGGAGAAAGATGTAGGCTGGGAGGCTAGGTCAGTCTCTCTTTTCACATTTTTCTGCCTGCTTAAATTCTAGCCATGCTGGCAGCTGATTAGATTGTGACCACCCAAATTAAGGGTGGGTCTGCCTTTCCCAGCCCACTGACTCAAATGTTAATCTTTTTTGGCAACACCCACACAGACACACGCAAGATCAATATTCTGTATCCTTCAATCCAATCCAGTTGACAGTTAGTATTAACCATCACAATAGTTATGTTCTAGGATTTGAATGGAGTCACAAAAAGACATAATTTTCAATATTCAAAGGCTGCAATTTTCAGCACCCATGGCATTTTAGTAAAGAATTTAAACGTACAATTTGCCAAGCCAAATATTATTTTACTTTATCTTCTTGCTGCATCAGTCTCATTTGATAGAGTCATGAGTGGCCTGAAACAGAACTGTTTACCTTACTACAAGCTTTTCAAATATCAAATTTCACAGAGGCAAGCTCTTCATAAAGTTTCAGTATTGGAGGTAACTGCCCTCTATGAATTCGTTTCTACTGGTCATGTATAAGCTCATGACCAACAGAAAAATAAATACACAAAAGTGTAAAAAAAAATACACAAAAGAATAAAAGAAAAATCACTGGCCTTCTACTGGTCAACAGCAATGGAGAACTGTAGAAATTCTAAAAAGATAGGAAATGTACAAAAATGCAAAAGATTAAAGTAATCCCTTTCTCATATATATGTTTTGTATACAAAATACCCTGACAGGATTTTTCTATGTATATTACTAACTAAACTGAACCTCTCTAAAACTGTAAAACAAAATTGTTATGTAGCTCTTAAAGCAACAAATTAAATTGTATATTTATTCATTCAACAACATAAGGAATAGGATGATGGATAGGATGAGCTGACTGACAGCCTCTAAGAGCAGTGTTTTGCTATTTCCAGGCTCTCTTCCATTAGAATGTAATTATAATTTCTAAATCAAATGCACCAATAATCTACACTTATTTTTAATTCATTTGGAAAGGTCAAATGTAAAAACCTATAAATAACTCCTCAGGCAGTTTTCCTAAAATGTGAATAATGGAGAGAAACGTAAAATTATAGGTAGAAAATCAGCCCTTTACTAACATAGCACAGTTATCTATTATTTTCAGCAACTCCCTATACGCTGTACATTGTGTTAGGTTCCAAAATTTTGAATAATATGTCATTTTTCTCTTTAAGGTGCTTATAATGCAGTGGGGGAAAATATATGCATTGATACTTCAGAAAACAAAATACACAAATAACATCCATTAATACAACTCTTCTTATAAGTTTACCAGTGGCCAAATCTGGGAAAGGATTATATATTTTTATCATCTTTTGAGAGGTCTGGAAGTGAATTATTAAACTTAATCCACTGAAAAATAGACAATAATCAAAATATTAGGAATGAGGGTAAGGTTCTTTACTATACTGAGCTACGGCATGTGATTGATTACGGTCTCATTGTTCCTACAAGTTCCCATCATTTTTAAGATACGAGATTTCAAAAGGAGCTACACACACATGAGAGAGTAACAAATTAGAAGTTTAATTACATTATTATAATTATTCAAGTGTCCATAACTCCCAGTTACACCCTATAATAAATATGGGTTGAAGTGCTTAATTTAGAGGGAAGGAAATGCCCTTTTTTGGTCTTAGGTTTAAGTTTTCATTTCCCCTCTAACAAGCTGCTGAGCCCAAATTAACGAGCAACCCAATGTATGAAAGCAATGATGTGAAGTCAAGACAGCTCATCATGCCGCTAAAAGTTAGGCCAACTCCATTTGTTCTTTTTTTTTTTTTTTTTTTGAGACAGAATTTCGCTCTTGTTCCCCAGGCTGGAGTGCAATGGCGCGATCTCGGCTCACCGCAACCTCTGCCTCCTGGGTTCAGGCAATTCTCCTGCCTCAGCCTCCCGAGTAGCTGGGATTACAGGCACACGCCACCGTGCCCTGCTACTTTTTTGTATCTTTAGTAGAGACAGGGTTTCACCATATTGACCCGGATGGTCTCGTTCTCTTGACCTTGTGATTCACCCGCCTCGGCCTCCCAAAGTGCTGGGATTACGGCTTGAGCCACTGCGCCCGGCCTCATTTGTTCTTTTTACAATGTAAGTGAGAGACTGAAAGAGACAGAGAGTGGGGCCATCATGGCAACTTACCACATGGAAGTAAGAAACAAAAATGATAGAGCTTCATTCATGTATAACACTTTGTGACAGATTTAACCCCCATACAAAGTGGGCCTAATTTGTGTCTTTAAATCTGGCCAAAGTAGCAATTCCCAGGTGTGTTGGATAAGCAGAAGTGATGTGAATGGTGAAGAATGGTTCTATAGAGAAGAAAGAACTTTCTTCAAATTCTGTTATCCTCCATGTTTTAGAAAGTGATGCCAAGAAACATTTCCACAGTCATTTGCTTGTTTAAAAAATTTTCACCATGATAGGGTGACATTATAAAACCATCCAAAGAAAAGTCCAGATAGACAGAGCTCAATTAAAACAGCAACTCCTCTTTGGGAGGGTGAAGGGAACATAATGAGGTGAGTAGAGTGAGTGAAGTGGGTGATTTTCAAACCACCACATGTAAGAGCATGTGACTCTTATGCTGTACGTTAAATCTTTGTCTTTTATAACAAATTTAGAAAACGACTTTTAACTACTACAAGTAGTAGTTTATTAGAATCAACCAAGTGGTAACTAACACCATTGCTTTCAGAGGCAACAACACATCAAATTATGACACTTCACATAATTTATAAACAATTTCTTATGGGTTCATTTTGCTTTGTTTCTTTTCAGATGTATTTTTCACATTTCCTTCTCCATTATCTTATACAGGTTTACTTCCATTTTTGTACATTGTTGCTGTGTGTGGGCCATAATATAGGGAGTAATAAAAATAATTTCAAAGAGCAAGAGCGCATTTTCATTCAGAGGATCAAACACTCATCAGTCCCCCTCCTTTCTGAATACTTAACAAGAGTCCAGTAGTCCCTCCTTATCTGCTGTTTCATTTTCTGAGGTTTCAGTTATGAGCACTCAATCATGGCCCAAAAATATGAAGTGGAAAATTTCAGAAATAATTCACAAGTTTTCAGTTGCATGTGCTGCAGAGTAGCATGATGAGATCTCACGCCACCCCACTTTGTCCCACCCAGGCCATGGATCATCCCTTTGTCCAGCGTATCTACACTGTAGATGCTCCCCGTCCATTAGTCGCTTAGTAGCTGTCTTGGTTAACACATCAACTGTAAAAGGATCGCAATGCTGTGATCTATGTCATTAGTAGCCAAGTGTTCCATCATAATGCCTGTGTCATTCACCTCACTTCTCCTCAGCACTATGCATTTTATCAGTGTGCATCATCACAGGAATGGTGAGGCCACATAATCAGGTATTTTGAGAGAGCAATCATATTCATATACCTCTTACTATACTATATTATTATAATTGTTTATTTTATTATCAAGTCTTGTTGTTAATCTCTTACTATGCCAAATTTATACATTAAACTTTATCATAGTACATATGCATAGGAAAAAGCATAATGTACATGGGATATAGTACTATCTGCGAATTAAGGCATCCTCTGGGGGCCTTGGATTGTTTTCCCATAGACAAGGGGGATTAATGTGTTCCATTTGCTTGGGAGAAAGTGATGAAGATATTTGTTATCCTACCACCTGCCACCTCATTCTTTCCACTGCATCACATGAATTCAAAGAAATCACTGCTACCACATAGTTCACTGATTAAGACAAGCTTTCAGACCAGGCCAGAGTACATCTCAAAATGGTTAGACCCCATATGTTGACTAAGGGAAACATATTAGAGAGAAGGGCACTGCTGTTCCACCTCATCTAGTGAGGAATAAAAGAGGGGTCGCTGAGCCTGACAGAGGGGGAAAAGTGAAGAGAGGAAGCAAGCTCATTGCCTGCCGGACTCACTGTGTGATAGAATGGCATCCCTCTTACCTCAGAAATTTATCCAATGAAGGATATGAGGATGAGGCTATTTAAGTTTGTTTGTTTGTTTGCTTGCTTGCTCTTTATAATGCATTGAGCTGTTTGTCTTCCACTCTAAACCTCCAAGGCCCTGTCATGACCAGGCACATCCAGGACACTGGGGTGACTGATGGCCTGTCTCTGAACTGGGGGGAGTGGCAGCACAGGGTTCAGCTTCAATGGGGAGCCCCTTTCCATGCCTCAGTGCTTTGCTCACTTTCCAATATTCTCAATAGCGTATCCCTAAATGTTACTTATTGCTTAAGGAAGAAATGGATTGTTCTGCCTAGCATCTAATAGTTGCCATCATCCTAACAGCATTAACGTATGCAATACTGAGCTGAACCATAAGGCTGCCAAGAGCCTACGTGTGTAGAAATGTAATTAAAATGGGAGCTTAATGATAAACCGCAATAGTTTCTTTTTCCTTTAGTAAACTGTCAGGTACTACCAAATAAAGCAGATGCAATTCAGAGAAGCAACAGGATCTTGGGCTGAGCGACAGGAATGATGGAAGAAATAGAACCTCCGTACCCCCGATATAGCTTGCACACACTGCTAGTACCAACAGCTGTAGGAACACCAACCTCCACCTTGATTCATTTAGTGTACAGCATTTTGATTTCTCAAAGGAAGGTACGATATTTTCAACTATGATAAAGTACCTTAGACATCCAAATGGCTCATTAAATTCCACCTATTATTTCTGGGTTTTCCTCAGTAACTGTTTAAAGAGGTAATTTTTAAAACAGTTTTTATTTTTTCATTCAAAGACAGGAACCCCCCTTATTTCCTGGGACTTTCAGCTATGGTTGTTAGAATGGGTGGGCAATGCAATGGGTCTCGGACACTGCACGCTTAGGGTAGGAACCGCCCAGTGGGGAATGGCAAAGGATTTAGAGAGCAACAGATCCAAGTTCATACCCCAGCTCTGCAGTTTAACAGCTGGGTGGCTTTGGATGGGTTACTTAAACCTCTTTGATATTCCATTTCCTGATTTATAAAATGAGGGTATCAGCTAATAATACCTACTTCACAAAGTTGTTATGAGAAACAAATTAAATTGTGTATTAAATATTTGGTTTACTACAATTCCTGCCACCTATTCTGTACTCAACACGTGTTATTATTACAGATGATTATCATAGCATTAGCTGCCATGCATACATGTATTTTCCCTACTCTGCACTCTTGACACATTTAGTAGAACTCATTCCCTGCAGCCAGATGAAATGATACAATCATATAGCACCTGCACAGACAGAAGCACTGTAATTATATAGGGTCTAACTTGATTATTGGACATGCGAATAAACTAAGTTGTTCTAAACTCACATATTTCATTACAATTTAGTTAAGCATAAGCTAAGCACCAGGCTCTGAAATCCAACCCAAGACACAAGAGTACAACAGAGTCCCTACTCACCTGGAATTCAACATTTTTACAGAGAAGCAGGCAGGTAGAGTCAAGTAAGAAATGTACCACGAAAGGCAAGTTCCTGCTGCCACTCAGATACCAAGGAGGAAGAGTTGATCGTAGCAGTCTGAAAAGATGCTGCAGAGATGACATTTGCCCTGTTTTCAAAATCCATGTAGAAGAGAAAACCTAAAAGGAAAACCAGAGAAGAATATAGATAAATTAAATAATAAAATTATGTATAAAACATTATTAACCATTAAGGAAATACAAATTAAAACCCCCACCAGACAGCACTACATAACTGTTGGAGAACTAAAACAATAAATAAATATATAACCACTACAATTCCCAGTACTGGCAAGGATATTGAGCAACTAGATTTTTCATACATTGCTGGTGAGAATGCAAAATGGCATAGCTTACTTTGAAATATAGTTTATCAATTTCTCATAAAGTTAAACATGTGCTTAAGAAATGATACAATCCTAATCCTAGGCATTTTCCCCAGTGAAATGAAAAAGTATGTTCATTAAAAAATCTTTCATTAACTTTTATAGCAGGTTATATGTCCATAATGTCCCAAAACTGAAAACATTCCAAATATCTTCATTGCATCAAAAGATAAGCTGTGACACATACTCACAATGGAACACTATTCAGCAATAAAAATGGATGAACCATTGATACACACAATAATGTGAATGAATCTGAAATAGAGTATGCTAAGTGAAAGAAGCTATACACAATACATTGCTGATGTATGATTCTATTTATATAGCATATGGGAAAAGGCAAAAACATAGGGAGAGCAAACAAATTACTGGTTTCCATGGGGTGGGAGGAGGCATTGATTCTAAATAAACACAATGCAAGACTCAAAAGGGAGAGGATAGGAGGAGGTAAGGGATGAAAATTACCTACTGGATATAATGTACAATATTTACGTGATGGAGGCACGAAAACTCAGACTTCTTCACTACAAAATTCATGCACATAACCAAAAACCACTTGCACACCTAAAGCTACTGAAATGTTGAAATATTTAAAAACAATGACCCCCAGTGCACAAGACCAGTGATGCTGGTAAGTGGGATACGTATGCCAAAGAGAAGCCATAAAGTGCCCTCTTTAAGTGAAAAAGCAAAAGTTTTTGATGAAGGACAAAAACTTAGTGAATTTAGGGTTTATTCTAGGTTTCAGGAAACAACTGGGGTCTTGAGATGTATTCATGGAGAAGGGAGGACTTCTCTATGTTGCATCCATGAATAGAAGGAAATCACTGCACTGGATTTGGAAACTGGAAATCAACAGGAGCCAACTCTAACAAAATCCTGGAACAACTGACAAAGTAGGCATTGCTTATATTTGACTGAGTGATCTAATGGATATGACAATCATTTGTATTATTTAATAAGTACTGTCTTAGGCCAGGCGCGGTGGCTCAAGCCTGTACTCCCAGCACTTTGGGAGGCTGAGGCGGGTAAATCACGAGGTCAAGAGGTCGAGACCATCCTGGTCAACATGGTGAAACCCCGTCTCTACTAAAAATACAAAAAATTAGCTGGGCTTGGTGGCGCGTGCCTGTAATTCCAGCTACTCAGGAGGCTGAGGCAGGAGAACTGCCTGAACCCAGGAGGCGGAGGTTGCGGTGAGCCGAGATTGCGCCATTGCACTCCAGCCTGGGTAACAAGAGCGAAACTCCATCTCAAAAAAAACAAGTACTGTCTTAAAGAAGGGAAGAAAATATAGAAAGATGGGGTGCATTCTGGCAGCCACACAGACCAACTATGGTGAGAATGGTTTCCTTAAATTTGTGCAATGAGTAACTGCACAACCACTGATAGCAGAGGCATATGCTGGCAAAATGTTTCTTTTGTCTTTTTCTTTTTTCAAGACAGAGGCTTACTCTGTTGCCCAGGCTGGAGTGCAGTGGTGAGATCTGGGCTCACTGCAATCTATGCCTTCCAGATTCAAGCCATTCTCCTGCCTCAGCCTCCTTAGTAGTTGGGATTACAGGCATGTGCCACCACTCCCAGTTAATTTTGGTCTCGAACTCCTGACCTCAAGTGATCCACCCACCTCAGCCTCCCAAAGTGCTGGGATTACAGGTTTGAGTCGCCTCATCCACCCAGCAAAACATTTCTTAATGTTTGCTTCCTTACATATTTGAGAAACATTCTCTTTTTTTTTTTTTTTTTTTTTTTTTTTGCTACTCTGGAGGCTGAGGCAGGAGAATTGCTTGAACCTGGGAGGCGGAGGTTGCAGTGAGCCGAGGTTGCACTACGGTACTCCAGCCTAGGCAACAAGAGCAAAACTCTGTCTCAAAAACAAAAACAAAAGGACAGAGTTCAGTGAGCTTCTAGATGGCTGAACACGTGGAGGTTCCTGAATGGCGGGGTATTCACAAAGGGCATGAAAGTTCCTTCCTTCATACCTCATCCCATGTGCCTCTCGTCTGTATCCTCAGTCTTAGTCTATGCAGGAAACAAATTGGCTGCCTATTCAATGTTCACTCTATTTCTTTTTCCTTCTTTTTTTTTTTTTTTTTTTGTGATACAGGGACTAACTCTATTGCCCAGGCTAGAGTGCAGTGATGCCCTCTAAGGAGAAATGTGAATCGTGATAGAAACACGGTATCAAAATGCTGATACGGGGACTATATACCTTCATTGGTTTTATGTAATCAAGCCACCACAATCAAACTTTTTTTCCACAGTTTTCTCATATAGATGTATCCAGCTTATCATGTATATATAGAACTCCAGAGTTGCATTTCAGAATAAGGTAAGGTAATAAAAATGTACTTGCACAGAGTAAAATTTCATGTCAAATACAAGTCACAACAAGAAGTCAATAAAATAACTCAGGTTCTATAGGGAAACAGGTGGCAGCAATAGAATTGCATGGAACTTGGTAGCCAGGTGCTGAGGACAAGCTGGAATCAATGGAGTGACTATAGCCAAGTGAAGAGAGCTGTTCCTTTCAAGCATACAGAAGTTTTCATCACATTTACCATTCTGAGAACAATGTCTATTTTAAATAATTTACTAGCTCCTATTATTTATTTGCTCCAGAATTCCTGTAATGTAGGTTAATATCAGTATCTCAGAAGAACAAACTGAGAACATTCCAATCAAGCAGAAAGTCTAATGCTGAATATGAACTCCAAATATTCTGGTCATTTTAACACAGCGCCACTCTGTTGTGAAATGATGATTGTTAGACAACTTGTACTTACATTTATTTTCAGAAGGAAGACAATTCGAATTTTTTTTTCCTAAGAATACTTCCAGGTAAAGGGCCAGATGGGATAAAGAAGAGGGAACAGGGCCAGAAACAGGAAATTAGGTGTCAGCAGAACAAAGGACAAGTAGAAAAAAGTTTAGGAAGTTATTCTGTGCTTCCACTGAGAATCTACACATTGGGACTGTATCACAACTGAGTCTTTTGAGATTCATCTGTCACTAGACAGTACTAAGCACACTGTCTTTAAAGAAAATCTTTGTTCTAATTCCCTCCTGACAGGAAAAAGCTTCTGGGTTCACTCAACCCTATCTTTATCCTTTACAAAGGAAAACTATAGAGAGAATGGTTTTACTCCCACGGGCTTCACCAACTCTTCTTATTTAACTAGCTCTGTCTAACCAGACGACTGCTTAAGACTCCCCCCATTCACTTGCTACAGCCCTCACACAACAAAAAAGACTGCTTTCCATGCTTTTATTTTCTTTCCTTTGGGGTTCCTCAAAGTCTAGGTGTCCCAGAGAGGAATCCTTTGTAACTAGGTTGCCTAAGTGATTTGATAAGAACATTCCAAAGATAGAGTGGCTATTACTTGCTTCCCTCAATCCCACAATAGTGGAGAATACCTGACCCAGATTCAAATCATCAGAAGAAAACAAGACTTTCAATCCAATATTAAGACAGTAAATTGCAGTATTTCTCATATTTAGTTTTATTGTTGAGAGACTCTAACATACATTACGTATGAAAGACTGCAGACAGAAGCCCTTGCTTCAAAGGAGGATTGCATCCACCTTACTTCAGAAAACATGAGCACTTATTTAAAGAGGCTCTATAAAAGCATATTTGCTCTTACAATCCAAAATCTCAATCTACTAGAGTTGGGTCTTCTAATATTTATCTCCAATCTTGTGTTTATGCTCCAGAGGATAATTTCACACACATTGTAAGACTGAAGAAATTTTCCCAAGGAATATTCCCAGGCTTGGAATTAAAATGATCACTTCTTATTCTAATGACCATATCCTTCTCATCTCATGTGTATCAGGCAGGAGCCTCGGTCGCAGGCAGCAGACAGTGATTGTGGCTAATTTAAATAGAAATATATTAATGGCGCTCACAGAATCTACAGCAGGCTGGACAATTAGACTTAGGACATAGACGGAAAGGATGAGAACTTCGTAGCAAAAGACGTGAGAACAACTGCTTTTTAGCAGAGATACCTTGCTGAGCTGTCACTTCTGCAGCCATGGGACACTGACGCTGCTGGATGCTGCACCCTCACTGGACACCTTGAGAACTATAAACGCATTTTAAATCTCTCACTTTGCATCACTGGCTCCAGATAAAAACTGCCAGGCTGAAACATCTAACTGGCCAAACCTAGGTCATGTCCTAGTGTCCAATCTGCTGCTGTCTCCTCACAGAAACCCTTTCTACAAGTCACTGTCATTAAGGTTGGTGCAAAAGTCGTTGTGGTTTTGCCATTGACAGGGGAGGCAAAAACCACAATGACTTTTGCACTAACCTAACGCTACTGAAACATCTTCCTTTAAAAGATTTTCTTAACAACAAAAAGCTGAAACTCCAGAGGGGAAGGAAAATTACTATTTAAAAGTATAGCTACGTAACATGAAGTAGTAACTCAAATATCAAAAGAGATGCAGATGGCATTAAAAACAGAAGAATGAAAGCTGGCCGTTAGCATGCCTCTGTTCTGCCCTCGGCATTCATTTCAGCTGAGGTTTGCTCAGCTTGGTTGCCCCACAAATTCCTAGGGCACTCACCAGAACCAACAAAGAGGTTCTTCTCTCGAATGTGGTCATTATTTCTTGATTACAGAGAAAGTCAGTGGCCTAGGAACAGGTGGCTTTCTTCAATCAACTGAGATCCTGAGAGACGAGAAGGGAGGCTGGGTTTGCAAAGATAATGTTGCTGGCTGCCAGTGGCTCAGTCACTCCAAAACTTCTTGTTCCTTTCTGGAAAGAAGGGAAAATTTCAGAAACTACAAAACTTCTTTTAGTTTTGACTTGGCCCACAGGTCACAACAGCTGTGAAAGTTGAATCTTGTAGGGGATGGGGAAAAAACAAGGTCAAGATCAGTTACAATGTGGTTTTGCTAAAGTGCATTGTTTTCAGAAGAGAAAAAAGGGGAAAACCAGTATGTATGAATATGCAGAGAGTGAAAAATAGGAAAAACACGTTAGTTGTATTTCAGGTTAAAGTGATTGGGCCCACAGTCCCAGTTACATATATGCTTCTAGGGGCAGAATGAATAATAAGTACTTGTCTTTGAAATGCTCTAGAATACATTTTACCTATAGCTCCAAAAACACTTGCTGTTTTTAGTTTTCTTTTTATCTCATGGGCCTGACTGGTAGTAAATGTTATACAGGTTGCTGAAATAAACTTATTATTTTTTAAAGTGACAGATTTTTATTATATGCTACTGATTCTGAAGCAAAATAAAGAATTTTCCTCCCTGAATTCAACTTATTTCCTTTTATTTATTCCCTGTTGCCACGAGATTTTCTCCATAATTAATGCAAACATGTCTCTCTCTTCCCTAGAAATTCAAACCGGATTTTTTTGTTTCTCAAAATAAGTGGATTAGGAGAGAGGAGTTTTAGTCCCAAATGGTTACCAGGTTTTTTCTTTTATGATTCTGTTATCAATTAGCTAGAAGTGTCCACATCACTTCTGATAACAGCAAAAGGAAAGTCTATGTTAATATTTAGGAGAGCAGTTCTCAGCCCTAGTTGCATATGCAAATCACAGGAGCGCTGAAAGCAAATGGGTGTCTGGGCCTTATTCCAGGTCTCCTAAATCAGAATTTTTAGACACAGAATCCAGTCGTTGCTATTTTGGTTTTCAACTTTCAATTGAATTTCATAGGCAATTCAGCTGAAAATTTCTTCTCAAAGGGAGCTGCCACTTCTTTGTGGTTGAGCATCAACACTTAACAAAAGGATTTCCATCAGGACCCAAAGAAAGAATCTGAACTACACTTTTACTGACTCTCTCCTCTGGAGGAATGGATTCCACCAACGTGGTCTGTAAGCCCCATGGAACAAAACAGCAGCAATGACAACAAAAATCACTTTACTGAGCTCCACATTTCTCTTTCTCCCTAATTAGTCTTTCTGACCCATAAATGGCCTGTTAAACTTGTAACTTCAGTATCTTAGACTCTCAGAGATCCTGGCTCTCACTACATTGCTTGCTATAAATTATATTATCCATCAGAGAATACAAGAATCCCAAGGCGTATGCCCTTGCCAATTTCTAGAAATATTTTCAAAGTACAGTACTTTTGAGATTCTAAGGATAAGTTCCCCACTGGTATTCACTTGATGGGCAGAGAAAACTCAGTTAAAAGGAGAACAGAGCAGGCTGACACTGAGCCCAGCTGGGGCCCAGCTCCAACAGCAGAGAGCAATGACTCTCCAATCTGACAGTCTGAGTCAGTACATCTGAGGTGAAACCTACAGGTCGGCGTTTTTTAATAGGAACCTCAGAATATTCTGCAGCAGATGGCCTGCAGACCACCCAGAGAAAAATGGTCATAGACTGTTACAGGAAAACTTTTCAGAAAAACCAGGAATGTTTAGGTGGAGAAAGCTAAACTGTCTTCAAATATTTAAAGGGTTTTCCTGTTTTGGGGGAAAAAAACTAAATATTTTTAAAACTCTCTTCTTTAAGACCCAAAGAGGAAGAAAAATGGAAACCAAGTTAAAATTGCATAAAAAAATAGACTCTGCTTCAAATTTAGAGAATTTTATAGCAGTCACACTGGACAGCGTTATAAAGCAGTAGTTCTAAATTCATCCTAGAATGATTGCCACTTAGCATAGATAAGATCAAGGGGATTCAAGCATGTGGCAAATAGGTGATTCAGTTTGTTATGTCCCTGGACACACAGAATCTGAACACATTTCAAAATAATGAACTTCACTGTAGGTATAAATCTTTGTCTCAAGAGCAGGATGAAAAATATACAATTGAACATTTATGCATCATATTTAACTAACTAACTCAATTTCCTAAACCTCCCCATTAAGCCTTTGGCACCTTATATTTACAAATTCTGAAGCTAGCTTTTGGATTAAAAAGGTTTAACCCAAACAGTTAAAAACACTCCAAAAACAAAATATTGATTAACAACCCACAGACTTATACTCTAGCATCTAAGGCAGTCCAATATATGGATGGAGGGATAGACTAGATAGATAGATAGATAGATAGATAGACAGACAGATAGATAGATAGATTAAAAATTAAAGAGTGAGAGGGACAGAAGATACAGGTAAATACAAATGCAGATATAGCTTCAAGAGAGAGAGAAAGACTTGTTTCTGGCTAAGATGAATGAAACACACCCCACTCCAACCGTCTCTCTCATGGAATGCAACATATAAGAATGCACCTAGAAAGAATGTGCATGAAGCAGATGACTCTAAAAAGAAAATGGGGACAGGTAAAAGATTTATATGATCAAAAGAGAAACCACTAAAGAAAATATGATATATATATATATATATATATAAACACACACACACCTTGGAATACTACGCAGCCGTAACAAAGAATTAGATCATGTCCTTTGCAGGGACATGGATGGGAGCTAGAGGCCATTATTCTTAGCAAACTAATGCAGGAACAGAAAACCAAATACTGCATGTTCTCACTGATAAGTGGGAGCTGAATGATGAGAACACATGGACACATAAACGGGAAAAACACACACTGGGACCTATTACAGGGTGGAGGGTGGAAGGAGGGAGAGGATCAGAAAAAAATAACTAATGGGTACTAGGCTTAATACCTGAGTGATTTAAAAAAAATCTGCATAACAAACCCCCATGACACAAATTTACCTATGTCACAAACCTGCACTTGTACACCTAAACTTTAAATAAAAGTTTAAAAAAAAGAAAAGAAAATAGAGGCAGGTGGATTGAATCAGAAGACCAGAAGTTAAGAACCATCAAAGCTACAATGAATTCGCCAATTTTTTCCTCTCTGGAATTCCATTGTCTGAACTCAAGATGGTCTGAGAACTAGAAGGAATCACTCACACAGACAGAAATTCAAAAAAATCATTGTGGTTCTGGCTCAAAAAATGCTAAAAGGACTTCCTAATGCTCAAAAGAAAATGTGAAAATCCATGTTTGTTTTGTTTTATTGTGTTGTTTTGTTTGCTCTGTTCTCTGTGTCTCAGCTATCACATAATCTTAGAGCAATGGTGTTACTTCCCCTACCCAGCTCCCACAGCCCACTCTTACTCCCAATGTGACTCTAGTCAAGAATAGCATGAAGTGCAGTGGGAATCGGATGCTTCAGATTTCTGGCCAGATGACCAAAGAAAGGACCCTGCAGAAACCAGAAAGTACCAAGATTTCAAACAGGTAAGAACTTGAGAAAACAACTCCTTTTAGTTGCACATGAACTCCTGTGCTAACCCTGAGCTGTGTGTGCATGGACGTAAACCTAAATAGGACGCACAGACTTTGAGAACCGAACTATGGGAAAGACCACTGACCAAGTCCTAGACTGGCTGCAGGCAGGACTGGAGGATAGATTGGAATCACACGGCAAAGAACCTGAAAGTCAAAGTGAGGAAAGAAGCTTGGTCAGAACCTGTGACCTGACCCCATCAGGTGGCTTGCTTATTAAAGCAAAAATATCCATTTTTTTTTGTAGAATTTCAACAAAACCCAAAGACTCAAAATGCCCACCATATAACTTGAAGTTACTTAGAGTACATAAAAACATGAAAAATATCAACTTGCTCAGGAAAAGACAATCAACAGGGTCACCACTGAGATGGAACAAATGTTGGAATAATCTCATAGACACTTTAAAGTGGTTTTAATACTTCTGTAATAACAAAGGATGACAGAAACATCCTTTGAACAAATGAAAAGACAGAAAAATTTCAGCAAAGAAACAGAATACAGAGAAGATACAAATAGAAATTTTAGAACTGAAAAGTACAGTATCAGAAATAAAAATCTCATAGTGTGGTATTAATAACAGAATGGAGATGGCAGAGGAGTCAGCAAACTTGAAAATTGATAAATAGATACCATTCAATCTCTATAACCCAGAAAAACCACATAAAGAAAACAACTAATGAACATCAGAAACCTGTAGAGCAAAACCAAAAGGTCTAACATTTGTATCATTAGCGTATCAGAGCGGGCAGGAAAAAAAGGGTGCCTCACTGAAAAAATACTTGAAGGAATCATGGCTGAAAACACCCTGAATTTGGTGAAGACTGCAACTGAAGATTCTCCCTCCAGTCTGGGCCAAGCAGCAGAGGGACAGAAAGAGAAAACAAGTGATGGGAATTAGCCCACTTCTTGGAATTGCAGCTGCCTGGAAGGTGCAAAAAGGTTCTCCTTGCCTGGAGTTAGTTTGTCTCTTCTGGGTTTCCATACTGTAACTGCCAGGGCTGCTATGGGATAGCCTAGGCTGGGATGTCCAATTTTTTGGCTTCCCTGGGCCACATTAAAAGAAGAAGAATTGTCCTGGGCCACACATAAAATACACTAACACTAATGATAGCTGATGAGCTGTGGGGTGGGGGGCGGGGGGGAAAAAAAAAGAGAAAGAAAAATAAAATCTTATATATTTCAAGAAAGTGTACAGATTGGTGTTGGGCCACATTCAAAGCCATCCTGGGCTGCCTGTGGTCCAAATGCCGCAGATTGGACAAGGTTGGCCTAGGGGCTGGCACAAGAAGGGAGGGTGGGGGCTGGACATCTCTCTCAGGAGTGATAGGTTCCCCTTTTTTGGCTCCTCCTGGAGTTTTCTGTCTCTATAGGAGTGCTCACTTCCAAGTTCCTGGCTGTGTTAAATCCAAGACAAGGAATGTCAGAGAGGAAAAAAGAAAAATTTCACTGCTGGCTTAGGTTTGATAACTTTGGAATACTGAACTTCTCCAATCCTCTTGCTAGTATTTACAGGGTCACCAAACAGCTGCTCCATGCATTCTGCCTAGGTTTTGTAGTTGCTTTCAATAGGACAGAGAACGCGTATTCCATGTTACCCAGAACCAACCAAGGTTAAGACAAAATTTTGGAATAATTACTAAATATTACAAAATGTTACTTGTTGAATCTCTGAATACTGTTGTCACAGCCATATGCCAAATAAGTTACATTTGGTTTTCTGTTTATAGGTTATTCAAAGGAATCTTGTTTCTTGAGTTATACTTCTAGTCATTGTTTCCCATAATGCTGCCTATGTGTAGAAAAACTAGAAGGATATTTTGTGTCCGAGAGAATCATCATTTAGAAAGTTAAAGCAGGCTGCGCTCAGTGGCTCATGCCTGTAATCCCAGCACTGGGAGGCTGAGCCGGGCAGATCACGAGGTCGAGAGATCGAGACCATCCTGGCCAACATGGTGAAACCCTGTCTCTACTAAAAGATACAAAAATTAGCTGGGCGTGGTGGTGCATACCTGTAGTCCCAGGTACTCAGGAGGCTGAGGCAGGAGACTTGCTTGAACCCGAGAGGTGGGAGTTGCAGTGAGCCGAGATCGTGCCATTGCACTCCAGGCTAGTGCCTGGCAATAAAGCGAGACTCTGTCTCAAAAAAAAAAAAAAAAGGAAAGTTAAAGCATTTTTCTCTAAACATATAAACTTTCCAAATTTCTTCATAATTTTGGGCTAGCAATGCCACTGATTACCGGCAAATAATTAAAAGTTGGCTATATGTTGGAAAAACATAACCAGTCTTACTTAACATGTTATTTTTTTCTTTATTATATTCATTCTACAAATATTGTTTATTGGACAGTCCTAGCCTTAACAGTCTGGTAGTGAATACACTGAATAAAGTCCTGTGTTCATCCCATTAAGATATTTGAATAAAATATTCTAGGCATTCTGATAAGCACAACTATTCTATATTATTGTTTTTAATATGGAAATGTTTTTCCTTAAATACCCTCTAAGTTGATCTTGTCTCTGGTGATTTTTACAAAAGGATAGGAGCCTAGACAAATATACACTTCACATGGGGAAATTTGGGCCATTGCAAACTTCATTTTCAACTAAGTGACATTAAACACACCAACGTGGTTTAGGTATGAACATCCCTGGCCATTGAGCAGAACACTCGCTGTGAAATTCTTGCTTAGAAATACTTTGCAAATTTCCTACATTTGGGACATGCCAGGTTTACAAAAGGAATAAAAGCCACGTGTTGAATGTGTTCTCACGGCTGACATTAATGCTTACTGTATCTTTTATTTTCTTAAGGCAGCTTTTTAATTTTAAGAGATTAAATGGCTTGATTAGTTTATTAGATGTCACAATTAACATCCTCATGGATCAAAAATGAAGCTAAATTTTTAAAGAAAAATTAGTTTTGTTTATCCATTTTATATCATTTGGCTCCAGTAGCAAGGGAAGGGCATTTGATACATATTAATTAGTTCAAAAACTTGGGCAATTTTGTTATTTTTTATTTCAGTTTGTGATCGAGGTCATCATAATTATAAGATAGACATTAGGCTTCTTTTCATTATTCCATTTTTTAAATTCTCTTTCATCCTTCATTTCCACCCTCCATTCTTTCTCTCTACCATATACCCCCTCTGAATTTCTACTTTAGCACCTCTGCTCAATAATGAAATTCCAAAATGTCCTCTCCTGGTAGCGAGAGTGTGAACATGTCATCACTTCTCATATACATTCAGGTGCAGTTTACAGAAAATCTTAACAGAGACTAAGGTAATTCCATCATTACTCACATTTGGGGTGTGCATGTGTATATCTATATGGTCCAAGAATGTGAATAACCTTCATTTGGTAGAAACACATTCAACTAATTAAAGCTGGTGGAAACTACAATAATTTCCCTAAGTTCCATAAATCACATACCCTCTGAGTTTATTTGGAGGCATTTTTCTCTAATATTGGTTAAATAGCTATCATTTTTAACATTTGCATTCCTCCCAATCTCCAAGGGAGGATAGTACTATAGTAATTATACTACATTCTTCTGAGTTTCCATAACGAGCTATTATTTTGCTAATGGAATATTCAAGTAGTCTGTAGTAATTTATCAAATAGTCCCAAGTCCCATTTTCTCAGTGTGAGTCTTTTTGTTCACAGGTAAATTGATGTGTGGGGGGTTATCAAGTCTTTTTTGTAATTCAAATTATCCATTCCACCTCCCTTCACACACACAAAAATGCTATCTTAGAAGAGTTTTTAGAAATGTTTAGAATTAAAATTGTACAGACACTGTGCAAGTAGTAATTTCTGCATTTCAAATTTATTTTATGATGTTTTTGCATTTTGATGCCTAATTTTGAAAATGCTCCTAAATTGAAGGTGGGGGGAGGCAAAGATGTAATTCAGCTTCTTTCACAGTACAGTCTATTCTCTTGTCAGCACAAACTACTAGCAGGAGAGCACGACACTGAATTAGAGACTGAGGAACAGGAAACCATTTCAAGCTCTCCTGTTTTCCTTCACTTAAAAAAATCAGAATTTAAACCTGGTATAGTTCTTATTGACCACTTTTTGGAACAGAACTCTTAAAGTTATGGGGTGTCCATATACCAGTTAGTATATTAGAGCCCTTGAGCAGAAAACTATGCAGACAGACTCAGGTTGGGAGAAGGGCTTTTGAACTAAACAAAGAAAACAAAACAAAAGCAAACTAACTGTAAAAAAAATAATTTTTTTTTTTGAGGGGGGACCGAGATTCGTTCTGTCACCCAGGCTGGAGTGCAGTGATATGATCTCAGCTCACTGCATTCTCCGCCTCCTAGGTTCAAGCAATTCTCGTGCCTAAGCCTCCCAAGTAGCTGGGATTACAGGCACCTGCCATTACACCCAGCTAATTTTTGTACTTTTAGTAGAGATGGGATTTCACCATGTTGGTCAGGCTGGTCTCCAACTCCTGACCTCAAGTGATCCACCCATATCAGCCTCCCAAAGTGCTGGGATTACAGGCATAAGCCACTGCACCTGGCCTACCTGTAAAATTAACAAAGGACTGACTGGAGAGTTCTAGTTCCTGGTAGAACAGTGAACTGGCTTGTGCTAGACTCAGCTCCCTCAACCTAACCTTAAGTTTACTTTATAGTATTGTCATTATAAAAAAATATCTTTGAGAAACTTACCAAAGCAACCAACAGAAGACCTTGAGAAGATTGAAAATTGTAATTGCTAGGTGTGGAAAGGAAAGGAATTTGCATTTTCCTATGGAAGTGCTCCACAGAAGGCCTCGACAAGATAAAGTAGATTAGAGCCTTTTCAATTTTGCACTTGCCTTTCACGTACATTGCCTTTAGACAATCATCTCCTTCCCATTTACCCAAAAATCTGCTACAGCAGCTTAGATCACTTGTGTGGTGTCTCTGAATATTTGGGCAGCAGGAAGGCCCTGTTTGGGTGACCTATCTTTAAAAATAAGAGAAGATTAGCCAGCTGCCCTTGGCCATTGACTCTTCCTCCTCCTCTCCCTCCAAATACCCATTCACTGATAATAATCTAAGGAAACTGCCCTCCCTCGACCATCACCCACATTGCTGGATTACAATTAAAGATAAGACATGAATCACTGACCAGATGAAACTCTTGGAGGACTAACTGTCATAGCCAGGAACCCAAAGAGGTTCTGCAGTACCTGCACCTCTCTGACTCTCTGCCTAGGGGCTTATCCTTGTCACTACTTTTAACCTCACAGAAATTCATATATAAATTGTAGCCTGACCTTTGGCCCTTACCCAAAGCACATTTCCAGAAATGCAGACCATCTTTTCTATTCAGAGATCCTGCTGAAACAGGGTAGCTGATACACCAGGGGAGCATGAACTCAATCACCAAAATAACTAGATGCAAAGGGCTATGATTACCAAAAGAAAAGGCACCGGCTGGACAACACACACTATCTGAAGTAGAAATACTAGAATGGACAGATTCAGAATTATAAACAGAATAATAAATACAGTTAAGGAGATATTAAAAAGTTTAAACATATGAAAGAAAAACAATGAATTATTAAGTTTTACATGGGAAAATTATACATATAAATGTATGTATATTTCTCATAATTAAAAATTAAATATTTTGGATTTAGAAAGATCATTGAATGTCAAACAGTATTGATAATGAAAAATTCACACTTAGACCATAATTATACTTAAAATTATCAAAAATAGAAAAATTCGAATATTGCTAAATAGAAAGCAAAGAAAGGAACAAATACCATAGTTCAATATAATTTTAGAAGGAATCAAATTAGAAAAGAACAATCCCAGAAAATGACGGAAGAGATATAATAAATAAAATTATGAAATACGTTGCCACATATTTGATTATAGTTTGGCAAAGACTGAGAATGAGGTGGGTGGGGGGAAAAAGAAGGAAAGGGGAAAAAACTCTAGACCAAAAGGGGAAGTATATTTACAATAACCAGAGCTAAAATTCAACATAATTCAATTTGATAAGGTAGGGAACATGAGGAATGAGAGCGAATTAAGTTATTTGTCTCATTGAGAAAAATGTCTTCTTGGGAAAATTATATTACTTATGTTGTTAGCAGAAATAGATATAAAATTATTGAACACACACACACATATATGTATGTGTGTATGTTTACATATATAAGTTTAAGAATTGATTACAAAAAAATAACCATGGTTACGGGTCTTTGGAGAAAGACACCTGCCACAATACTGAGAAAAAACGCCATCTATAAATTTTTAGCAGCGGAACAAAACACTATCTGTTAAATAGAAAGCACCGGTGGAGAAAAAGGAAAAACAAAATGTGAAGTTTACATGAAAACTACTTTCCAATATAATTGTTGTTAACTATAAAATTTGATTAAACACATGAGTTCAAAGGCGGGGCCTCTAATGATGCATTTTTAAAAAACTAAACTACTGTTGAACTTACTAGTTCAACTTACTAGTTGCCTAAAAAAAAAATACTTAAGGTGCCTCAGGCAAACACGAACCAAAAGAGAAGTGACACAGTAATCTATTATATGAAAAACACAATTTAACGCCAGGAAGAATCTTATCTGCTGGATAAGAAACACTAGAACGAGAAGGTGTATTTATCATAATTCATGTCTCACTCCATATTGTACAGCTGCTCTCTATGCCACTACACTGGCAGAACTCAGTACTTACTGTTCCATTTTAAGAAAAGCTTTAGCAACTCCTAATATATACAACTGAGTCTTAGGAGGAAAGAAAGAGAAAATGAGCAAAACTAATATTTAAAGAGAACAAGAAAAACACAGGTGACAGACTTCATAGGGATATTAAAACAGCTAGATTGGTGCAAAAGTAATTGCGGTTTCTTTGCCATTGAAAGTTAACTGCAGAAATTGCAATTACTTTTGCACCAACCTTAATATCCTATCTGTATCGTATGTATTCAAAAAGCTGGAGGAAAACTAAAATATGTTAAGTAGAAACACAGATATAAAAAGACCTATATTGAGCTTGTACCAGTAAAAACTAATATCTCAGATCAAAAAATTCACTGAGTGGGATTCATGGCTGATTAAACATTGTGGAAAAAGACATATCAATAGAAACCATCTGAAATAAGACAAATAAAAGATAAAGCCTTTTGAAAATCGAGCAGAGCATCAGTGAACTCCGGACAAACACGTATATGTGATTAGAGTAGACAGAATGTTTGGAGAAATAATGGGCACAATTTTTTCAGATTTGCTGAAAACTACTGATCTCATGATTCAAGAAACTAAACAAACCACAAGAGGAAGGGCCAGGAAAATAACAAAAATCCCAAAACATTATCAAGTCACATCTCATTCAAATTACTTAAAGTCAGTGATGAAGAAAAAAAAAATTAAAACATCAGCCAGGGGCAGTTGGCAGGGGTGTGTAGCTGTACGTATATATGGAAAAAAAGTTAAGTATCTCAGCAGAATTCTCTTTGGAAATAATGCAAACTACACTAAAAGAAAAAAGTGTCAAGCTAAAATTATTTACTTACTGAAAATATCTTTTAAAAACAAGGATTAAATTTGGGCTCATTTTCAAACATAAATATCTGGAAGCAATTAAGAACTTTAGGAATGATAACTATGTAGCACATATGAAGCTACTTTAAAAATTATTTAAATCTTCAAAGATAATACACTCTAAAAACTAAATAACAATGTATAGTTGTATAGTCTGGATTATAAAAGATATCAAAGCAAAATATATAATTACATTGTATAAAGGCCAGGAGAGAAGAAATGGACATAAAATTTTTAAGTTTCTTAGAGTACATATTAATTTACATAATATCACTTGAAGACAGACTGTGGTAAGTTAAAAATATGTACTCTAAATCCTAAAGCAGACTCTAAAATTACACAATGAACAGTTATTACTAATTGTCAAACAAAAGAAATAGTATGGAATCATAAAAAATAATCCAAAAGAAGACAGAAAAGATAAAAGAAACAAAAAAAGAGACTAATGAAAACTAAATGGCAAAATAATAGATTTATATCCAACCATGTCATAATCTCATCAAATAATAATGGACTAAATCCCAGTTAAAAGGCAAGGATCATACAATTAGGTTTTTTAAAAGCAAGATATGCTTCCTAGAAGAAGCCCATTATATAAATACAAAGAAATAGTTAAGTTAGAAGCAAAAGGATGGGAAAGAATGTGCCACACAAAAAGATGGGAAAGGACATTAATGCATTAATTTCAGATTTATTAAATTGAGGGATTTATATCTCTAATGCTATGCCTCTGTACACAAGCAGAGCAATAAGCCACAGCATAATGACATTATGCATATTGTAAAGTTGGGGGTCAGCAAACTTTCTATATAAATCAAAGGATGGCTCTATTAATATCACATAAATATTTGGTAAATAAATATTTAGGGTCATTACGTATTTTGGATGAATTGATGCCTTTATCATTTCAAGATGACCCTTTTTATTCCTGGACTTTGTGCAGTATTTTTCTACTTTGTATAATGTTGTTAAACTTTGTGTAATATTGATGCATAATACATACATTAGAATTATTTCCTGCAAAGAGAAGAGATGGAGGAGGCTGCAAAGATCAAAGGAAATAAGTTTAAAATTTCAAAATAATTATGAAACTAAGCAATGCAATCAAAAAATTGCAGGCATTACAATGTTTATATAATTTTTAATATTTCACTATGACAAATGACAGACATAAAAATTATAACCTTTGCTGACATGTTCAACTGCCAGTGCAAATAATTCCTAGTTGTAGAATAATTTAAACAATTAATTTAATATAGCTTATATTGGAAACAATTTGATTTTGGCATAATTTATTTATTGAAGGACATTAATGCATTAATTTCAGATTTATTAAATTGGGGGATTTGTATCTCTAATGCTATGCCTCTGTACACAAGGAGAGCAGTAAGCCACAGCATAACGACATTGTGCATATTGTAAAGTTGGGGGTCAGCAAACTTTCTATATAAAGGGCCAGAAAGTAAATATTTTCGGTACCATGGGCCATATGCTCTCTGTCACACTCAACTCTACCATAGACAATACATCAATAAATAATGTATTAAATTTTATTTACAAAACAGGATATGGGCAGTATTTGTCTCACAACTATAATTTTCAGACTTTTCTTTTTTCTCTGGCAGAGAAAACTCTGGGAGAGTTTTGCTGTTCTTACCCAGACTGGAGTGCAATGGCACGATCTCGGCTCACCGCAACCTCCGCCTTCTGGGTTCAAGCTATTCTCCTGCCTCAGCCTCCCGAGTAGCTGGGACTACAGGCGCGCACCACCATGCCCAGCTAATTTTTGTATTTTTAGTAGAGATGGGGTTTCACGTTGTTGACCAGGATGTTCTCGATCTCTTGACCTCGTGATCCACCCGCCTCGGCCTCCCAAAGTGCTAGGATTATAGGCTTGAGGCACCGTGCCCGGCCCAGACTTTTCTTATGGAGCATTAACTTTACTTCTAGATTAGGCAGAGGAAACAACTGCCAATATATCGTTTCTGCTTTTCTAATATAACTTCATCTCAAATTTTACATTGAAAATATTTTTACATTTTTGATATGTATCCTTTGTATGCAACATAATTTGATATTATTAATCTATTCAAGACTCTGCAGTTTAACACTGCTTATGTTTTCTGGTGTGTCTTTTATCTCTGCCTTTCCCATTAAGGATAATGTCTCCTTTCATGAGAAATTTGGAAGTTGAATCAACTATTACACATTCTAAGCTAATTTGACTATTGGTCAGATTTAAAATCAAAATGCTTTAAATTTGTCCAATTTAAAAATTTATATAAATTGATTTCCCATGTAAATGTATATTCATTTGTTTTCCTTAATGTACAAATGTTTAACATATATAATTTACAAGAATTATTTTGACTATCTTCTATATTTTATAATTTTTGTCATTATTAACCATGTTTTTCACCAGCTCCTTTATCTCACTCCTTCTTCATTTTGAATTGTTTATTGTGCTTCATTGATTTGTCAGCTATAGCACACATTTGTGGTTTTTATTTTTGATGAAGGATAAATGTACAAAATGTATACTCAGTTTAAATATATGGAAATATATTTTTCTTTTACACATGAACAAAAACTTGACTACAAATGGAGCTCTTTTATTCAGGCTACAACCTTGTTCTTTATAAACGATTTACCAGGCATTGCTTAGAGACCATATTGTGTGTTGATCTGTTTTGCTTGTCCTGCACAGCACCAACTGAAAATGTGAATTTGTTGATGACTTTTAAAAAAATCTAAAGATTTCACATAAAAATCCATATTTCTAAACTTTGCTCACAAGGCAGAGCATTAGGCAACACTGCAGAATTCTTACACAGCAATTCAGAACTAGAATTGAGTGGCAACTTCCTTCCTTAAGCTGGACAGGCAATCTCCAATCTGCCACAGTACTTACTGCCTGACCTCACTCTTTGGCATTACCTACCTGAATTGTGATGGCAATTGAGACTGTGAAGCCTGATGCTGCACAACAGGTTTCTAGAATTCTGTAAATTAAAAAAAAAAAAAAAAAAAAGGAACAATTCTGGCTTTTGGTGTTCAATTTGGTGTTGTGACTTTAAAAAATTGTTGCTAATGCTTGGCCTGGATGGAATTAAAGAGCTTTCTTTAAAATTTGAAACTAAAAATACATGAAAAAGTAAACAAAATTTGATGAACTTGTGTCTGTTTTTCTCCATTTATCTGACTGGTATCTAATGTTTTTCTGAAAAACCAAAGTATGTAGCATAGAAATTTTGGCTTGCATTATAATTTATTTATAATTTTAAATTCCTTGTTAAGCCACCAGTTAAGATATGTGGAAGATTTTTCTCTTCCATCCATATCTATCTTTTTTCAAATTTTTTTTCTTATTTTTTCTATGTTCTGTGAGAATCACCTAAGTTTTTATTCATTAATAGTTCAATTTTTATAACGGTGATATAGCTCTTTATTATTTATAATATTGATTTTAATTATGTAATTACATTTTGGCTTTGAATACCTTAACAATAATTAATATTTATTGAGCACTTAACTATATGCCAAACACCGTTTAATCACTTTGAATGCATTCTGTCAATGAAAGTTTTCCAGAAATCCTGTGAAGACTGTATCATTATTATGCCTTTTAAAGTGAAGATAAGATAGTAAGGCTTTCAGAGATTAAGAAACTTTTCCAAAATAAAAGAGCTGGAAAATAGTGGACTAAAATATGTAATGAGACTTTTTTTTTTTTTGAGACAAGAGTCTTGCTCTGTTGCCCAGGCTGGGGGTGCAGTGGTGCAATCTCGGCTCACTGCAACCTCCACCTCCCGGATTCAAATGATTCTCCTGCCTCAGCTTCCCAAGTAGCTGGGACTACAGGCATGTGCCACCATGCCTGGCTAATTTTTTGTATTTTTAGTAGAGTCGGGGTTTCACTGTGTTAGCCAAGCTGGTCTCCATCTCCTGACCTTGTGATACACCCACCTCAGCCTCCGAAAGTGCTGGGATTACAGGCATGAGCCACCACATCCGGCCCAATGAGATAGTCTTTATTCCAAAGCCTGTGCTCGTATCCCTAAGCTACATAGAAACCTTTCTTTTTCTCTAACATATTTAGCTTGCCTCTCATTCAGTTATTTTTGTTTTTTACATTGGTTGTTATCGTTCTTTCTAAAAATTTTTAATTGTAAAATTTATATAATAGTTAAGTTACCATCTTAACTATTCTAAGTGACAGTTCAGTAGTGTTAAAGACAAACTGCAGTGTAACCAATCCCAAGACTCTTTTTGTTTTGCAAACTTGAAACTCTGTACTCATTAAATAATTGTCTCCACCTTCCTTTTCTCAGCCTCTAGAAACCATCATGCTACTCTCTATCCTTCCAATTCAAACGTAAGTTTGTAATTTTAATAAATTTATCAATTTTGGCTCATTGTGTAGAAACCTTGTTTCCTTATATTGTTTTACAGCAAAAAATAAATATAATTGATAAGCTTTTGAAATTATGAATGTTTTAAAAAACTATCCTTCCACGTTTTCTCTAGTGCTAGTGTCTGTTTTGTGTTACACAATCACTTCATACAATACTTACTGGTTTTGATAAGAGGTTGCCTCATCCTTGAAATAAGTGGATTATCCTGTTCTAGTATTACTCAGTTTTATCTGAAGCTAGTTAGAAGCATCCTTTCAAATATTAAGATATAGGAGGTATCACTGTTCACACCGGTCAACTTTCTGGTACCGTGTAGTCTTTAATTTAGTATCTTTTGGCCTGAGAAAAAAATCTCATCGTGTTATGACTAGATTATCCTATCTAGTTGTGAGGAAAGAGTCTTATTCTTGTCTAGTCTGAAGTCATCTGTATTTCTTGCATTGCAGAAAAATCCCAAATAGTGAAGGAAATCTAAAATATTACCCACATCAATTTTGACCTCATTAGCATTTCATTCTTGAGAAATATTGGGGCTGAAGGATGCATTAGCGATGGAAGCAGGGCCAAAGAGTAGAACAGTGTATTTGGATTAAATAGAGTGGAGCTTTTACAAAAAAAGAAAGGTGGGTTTGTGCCTCCATGAGTCTGTGTAGATGGAAATCCCCTACCTCATTAACCATGTGCCTTTCCCATTCTGCCTCCAGGCTAAGTTTTCCTTAGTTGACTCTTCAACTTTTGCATGACACATTTTTGACCCAGATTTCTAGTTTCCACTGTTGAAACTGCATCTCCTTCCCTATTTTCTTGAGCATTATAATGGAAAAACTGCAGAGGCTGAGTCAGACACTGCTGATCAACAACAGTGTAGCCAGAATATCCCCAAGAAGATGAAGCTGGTAATGGCATTCCTCCTGAACCCCCACATGCTCCAGTCTGACCTAAAACCCAGTGTAGGCTACCAGTCCTTTTTAAACTGCACACACAGACAAAGTTTCTTTTGCCTATAACTGCAGCTGGTCTTTGGGGAGCCAATTCCTGTTTTCTACTACTGTCTTTGCCATTGTCTCTTCTTAGCAGTATCTTGGCAGGAGAAAGTATATATAAATTGTACAAATTGCCTACATTATATTGAGATGCCATTTGCAAGGATTTCTTTCCCAAATATATTCACTTTTTAACATCTTTAAATCAAGTTTAATTCCGATATGGTAACTTCAAATTATGAAATTATTTTTTATGGTCCGGGTGGAATGACTTTCAACTTTCCAAATTCTATCTCATGTCCATAATACATATTAGTTTAATGAATGGCCTTTGTGGAAGTGACAATAGCTAAATTATAAAATCTGTCAAAAATCCATTTTACCATGGTCTAGTTCTTTATTATTTGATACGGGGAGGAAAGAACAAGTAGAAATAGAAAAGCACAGAGTGTGAAATTTAGGCAAAAATATTGGGCTAAAGCTTGAAATTAAAATCTCAACTACAGCTTAGCTGAAGAAAACAAAAACAGCATGCATCTAGGAGTGGTGTGTGTGTGTGTGTGTGTGTGTGTGTGTGTATTCAGTATGGCACATGGACATTCTATGAATTAGCTTATTGGCTGTGACTGCTGTATTTCTTATGGAAAGAATGGATGACTTATTAGCATGATCTCATCCATCCTCTGGGAGCAGGAGGTTGTTTATGTGTAGAGGGAATTAACAATAATAATTCTGAAGAGCGGAAGTGTTTTGGAATGTCTAGAGTCAGCTGCCTAGATTCTATTTCTGGACTCATCAGTTTTTTGTTGGGAGTCTTTACACAGGTCCTATTTTCTTAGGACCACTCTTTATCTGTCTGACTGGCATACAAATAGTTTCCATTTTATTACTTCATGGATATTTTGTGAGTTTTAATAACTTTAGGTAACATAAGCTGCAAAATGGCTTTGAAGTCTTTGGAGAACCTCCAGAACAAAGGAGGAAGTGTGCTTCTCTGGAGAAAATGCAGTATTTCTTCATAGGAAGTGTTGTGTGGTCTTTTATTTTTTTTAATAAAAATTCTCAAGATTGCCAAACATATTCCATAAGCTTTCTCTACAGAACTGCCACTTTGCAGCTTCTGACCAGGACCTATACGAGTTTCACATTACTTCATGATTAGATATGTTGTTTGACACGTTTTCTTACTATTTTTTCAAAAGGGAAAAATCACAGCAAGTTTAGGAGTGACTAGGTGACAGAAATTTGGAGACTGCTTTTGGAGCAATAGTTGTTCTTCATATTAAAAATGCATCTGTGAAGACAAGCCCATTCCTCCTGGACGGTTGCCCTGGGTAGGTAAATGTGTAGAAGCAGGGCATAACATTGTTTATGTGCTTGAGACCAGGGAGAAAGCAGACAGGTGTTTGAGACTCAGCCCTAGGGAAAATGACTAAACAACTGCGTTTGCAAGAATCTAGAGACCATGTAGGAACATTCATCACTGCCAATTAATAGGAAAAACTTAAATTTGTAACACACTTTACAGTTTAAAATAGCACATTCATGTATGTAGTTTCACAAAAACTGTGCAGAGCAATATATTGTTTCAAGATAAGTAAACTGAAAATTGGGTTTATTAATACAAATTGATTTGTCTGAGGCTGCACAGCTAGAGAGCTAATATCTAAGCCTAATATTTTGATTCTTCACCTGCTGATTTATGGTATACTCTTGATTCTATACAAAGAGGGGAAAGGGGAACTCTTACACATGTCATCCTTTCTACCTGCCTCTCTGCAAATGTTGATACTCTACTTACTGCCATCTGAGAGTCACTTGACACATTTAGCTGTCATTACTGAGGAATGGGTTTCCTGGAGGTGTGTGAGGGCAGAAAACAGCTTGCCAATCACAGAAAATAGCTTTTTTGTGGGAGTTTTTCTTTTCTTTTTATGTAAATGATGACACTGTATCACGAACATGAAATACTTTTCTTCATTTTCTCAAGCACTGACTTTTATTCAGAAACTTGTGACCTTGTTTATCCTTACTCAGAATAGAAGTTTGGCTGCTGTTTTTATGCCCTGATAATAGCACTAGCCACCTCCACTCCCTCTGTCTAAGACTAACGTTTCCCAGGCCTAACTCCCTTCACTGCTAGTGCTCTAGTTTTTTGACTAATGTACATTCTAACCAAAAACACATGAGCCTGGAGAGATTAAAACCCCTCCAGTGCATAACCAAAGAAACACTCCATAACTTGACTTTTCTCTGGACTCTGTTCCAGTGAGATTTTCATATGGTACGGATGTTGGGCTTCACATTGGCATCCATGCCTTGGCATAAACTTGGAGAGAGAAATAAAATGGGCTTGTTTTCTTGTGAAAATCTCATATCAGCCTCGGAGAACAGAATGAAAAACTGTTTCAAGAGAGACATACCTTCACTTTGCTGCAAATCCTTTTCTGCCTTCCAGCCTTCAATATCAATATGTCACGCTAAATTATTTCATTAAGTCCTTCATCTCCCTTGTAACCTGCTTGTCTTTGAGGACAAACTTTAGAGCTTCCATGTACACATCTGCAATATTTCTACTCAAAGGACACCTGCTGACTCTTAACGGGAAAGTGATGTGCATTCTTTTCCTCTTCCCTTCATAAATATATATTGCAATTGCCACCATTATTTTTAAAAATTATCATTTGGTCCTTAGTGAGCTACCATTCCCTACTCTCCCTTCATTCTTAAGCCGACCTTGCTCTCTCAAAAAGACAGGAAGACAACCTTAAGTGACAACGAGACAAATTTCATTTTGTTGAGAACTGCCTTTTCAATTATTTCTCTCTTCTCAGTTTCTCCTGGCTGACCTGGTCCAAGCTGTTACTTTGACAAGGGTCCCTAACCTCCAAATTAAAATATGCAAATTGTTATGCTTCCTGCGCTAGGGCCAGTCCATGCATTGTAACTGCAAAAGATTGTTCTATGCCATTTTCCACCAGAACAATATAGTTACCTACATCTGCCATTTCCTATTATGAGAAAAATAATACCCTGCAGACTGATACATTATAAGCAATACATTTATGCATTAGTATATTTCTAGTTTGAAAATGAAAGATTATTATTTTTCCCGACCCACATTTTGCCACAAGGAAAATATATTCAGGTATATCCAAATATTCTCAAAGACTTGTGTATATATTTTAAATGTTTCTATATTAGGACCTAGTCTAATTTAATTTGAAACATAACTGAATTTTTAAGTACTTAATTTTTATGTAATAGGCTTGAAATACAGAACATTTACTAGTCAATGAATTTTTCTTCCTATCTCTCCTGTAGTACATTTTTGGACACTGGATGCTTTCCCTCTTCACCTGGTCAATCTGTACTGTTCCAGGCAGATAAGCAAAATTTTCAAGATCATCCTACATATTCTTTATCTCTGTGTGCAAATAGAATATTTCCCCATTATTTTTAAAAGTTACCTTTCTCAACATAACAAAATTGACTTTATAAATACCTATTGTGGTGGGCCAGGTGCGGTGGCTCATGCCTATAATCTCAACACTTTGGGAGGCTGAAGCAGGTGGATCACTTGAGGCAAGGAGTTGGAGACCAGCCTGGCCAACATGTAGAAACCGTGTCTCTACTAAAATTACAGAAATTGGCCAGGTGAGGTAGCACAAACCTGCAATCCCAGCTACTCAGGAGGCTGAGGCACAACAATCACTTGAACCCAGGAGGCAAAGGTTACAGTGAGCCAAGATCACACTGCTGCACTCCAACTTGGGTGACAAGAGTGAGACTCTATCTCAAAAACAAAACAAAATCCATTGTGATGATAAATAAACTGAAATGTATGATATTTAGAAATTGCTTAAAGCTTATCTCTGTGCTGCTATCATACTTGCCATCGTTCTTAGAAATTCCTGAGTGACCATGAATTGTCTCCCAATCATCATGATTTCTTCCAGATTCTTTCAGGGGACTTGCAAAGAAAACCCATTTGGCAATCACTGCATGGGAATCACTTACCTACAGAAGTAGCAATAGTAAATAAAACTACTAGAAAATCAAAAGGTTATTTGTTGCTTTGAGGTACATTTTATATTTTCTAGTTACTTTTTTGTCAAAATTTGTGTAAGACCTATTTATGGTAAATGTTTGATTGAAGCAAAACATAGCATGTAATGAGGAGAGCCATGCTGACTTCAAAATTTGCTACAATGTAAATCACAGGTAGAGAGAGATGAAAGCTGATCTCAATGCTAAGCAACCAAACATCAAATCCTATGTCTGTTGGTCATGAGCAATGTGGATCCCAGGTATGTAACCTACCTGGTCTTTATTTTCCATATACATTAAATTCCATATTCCAAGTCAGTGGACTTTGGAGCTGAATCTGCTCATCTAGTTAACCCTCTCAGTTTAAACAGGCTACATTATTTGATATTATCAATCAATTATCTACTAAGGCAGGTCTAGTCTTTATGTCATTAATTCTTTCCTTTAATGGACACTATGCTAAGGACTGATAGGAGAGGAGAAACAATTGTGAGGCTATATGAAGATGGTGAAGGGTGGGTGCAGTGAGAAATCTGGTAGTTGACTTACTGCAGTCCAGGTCATCTGAAAGTGTGCAGAAGTCTCCTCAGTCTTCTCCCTGCTTCAGAGAGCTGTGGCGTTATGGTCTAGCTCTGGTGTGGATTCTCCTCTCTCGTCTGATTGGTCTTCCTTTCCTAGAGATTGTAAAAATTCATCCCTCAATTACTTTGTCCCACAAGACAGCAAGCGGTTGTCAGATTTTAACAAAAGGAAACAGAAGCAAAAGGGCCAGGTGTTTTTATTTTGTCTCCCCAGCAATGTTCTTGAGTTATTTGGATTGGACATGATGTGGCAGATATCCCTGTGTTTGTTCCCTGTGTTGAGAGCATGTGGGCCCTCTGACCATGATACAGGAAGGCAACCAGAAAAGCACTCAGAAGAGGCACAGTCCACCCTCAGTAACCCTGGGAGATTAGTTCCAAGACTCCCCACAGATACCGAAACCTGTGGATGCTCAAGTGCCTTATAAACAATGGCATAGTGGCTGGGTGTGGTGGCTTATGCCTGTAGTCCAAGAACTTTGGGAGGCCAAGGCAGGTGGATCACCTGAGGTCACGATTTCAAGACCAGCCTCACCAGAGATGGTGAAACCTGTCTCTACTAAAAATTCAAAGTTAGCTGGGTGTGGTGGCAGGTGCCTGTAATCTCAGCTACTTAGGAGGCCGAGGCAGGAGAATCACTTGAACCCAGGAGGCAAAGGTTGCAGTGAGCCAAGATGGTGCCATTGCGCTCTAGCCTGGGTGGCAGAGTGAGTGAGACTCCATCTCAAAAAAAAAAAAAGGCATAGTATTTGCATATAGCTACACACATTCTCCAATATACTTTAAATAACCTCTAGATTACTTATACTACCTAATGTGAGGTAAATGCTATTTAAATAGTTGTTATACCTTATTGTATTTTACATTTGTATTTTTTATTGTTGTATTGTTTTTATTGTTTGTTTCCTAATATTTTCAATCTGGGGTTGGTTGGATTCATAGATGCAGATCCCATGGAACATGGAGTACTGACTGTAGTCTGTGTGTGTATGTGTGTGCATACGGATGTGTGCCAAAGTCTGAAGTCAGCTTTTAGAAACTTATGCTCTGAACAAGATAAAGGACAGATACGCTGAAGTTTTAGGTTTTTATTTTTTTCTCTTGTGTGAGTGGTCCAAGGGAAAACGGCAAACTTTTACAGACTAACATAAAAGTGTAGAAGAGAATTTTCCCTAATCTCTTTGAAGAATATCTGTTCTGTAACTGGAAGACACTGATTATGGCCTTCTTACCTAATTGCTCTTGCTATTCTTGAGGGAATGTTAAAAAAAGAATAAATTGGCTGGGCGCAGTGGCTCACGCCTGTAATTTCAGCACTTTGGGAGGCTGAGGAGGGTGGATCACGAGGTCAAGAGATGGAGACCATCCTGGCCAACATGTGAAACCCCATCTCTACTAAAAATACAAAGATTAGCTTGGTATGGTGGTACATGGCTGCAGTCACAGCTACTTGGGAGGCTAAGGCAGGAGAATCGCTTGAGCCCAGGAGGCAGAGGTTGCAGTGAGCTGAGCTCACACCACTGCACTCCAGCTTGGGCAACAAGAGTGAGACTCCAACTCAAAAAAAAAAAAAAAAAGAACAAATTCGTCATTACCAAACATCCTTTAATCCTTTACAACTCTAAATGTCTAAGATTATTAAATAGACTCTTCAAAGGAAAGCATTTTTTTCTTCCTAATTCTGTCTTTTCTTTTGAGTTAATATATTTGATATCTAACACCTACATCTTTAGAAATTAACCAAGTTCCAATTTCTGTTTGTAGGGATAATATAGTAAATGTGATTATAAATACAACATATCCCTAAAAGAAATTCAGGTCACTTCCTTTATCAGTTGATACTGATTGGTAAAGTGGATAAGAGAGTTTTGGAGAAAAACAATTTAGATTTCTGAATTCTATCCTGAGATAACCTTGCTAGGTTATGTCCCGAGAAGAAAAAATATCACTATCATTGTATAGAAAAATGCTGTCAATATTTTGATATAACCTAAGTCATACTGTACTTTAATGGCCTTAGCTAGTCCATTAGAGAGATATTTTCAAACATTATCATAATCACATATGAACTTATAAAAGCCTTAGAGATAGTACAAACTTTTGGTGATGGCTTTTTTCATGAGTGAGGCACTATGATTGTAAACTTAGTAGAAAGAGGATTCCATCAGAAAATAAGTAGGAGGGAGAGCATGAAATCTGAGCATCGATAGTTTGGAGGTACATTGCTATTGCAACATTAGAATGGTTGGCTTAAGTGTTATTCTAAAAATAATTTACCAATAGTATACATGTGCATGTATTAGGAATTTATGTGTGTTAATATTTTTCTCTCAGAGAATGAAGGCAATACATTTTTTTAAAAATGCAATTTCACTTTTAGTGTTACACCTGTCAAGAGAGGCTGTATTATTTAATGAAAATGCTAAGTTGACATAACTAAAAGATCCTAAGGCACAAGGGCTTTTAATAAGAGTGACACAGGCTGGAGGGGAGTGGCATAGCATTAGAGGACTTCCCATACAGTGGAAAGAGGATGGGAAGGATGGGAAGCTTTGAGGACACACCCTGTCACTTCTGCCCATGGCTAGAATCTGGTCACACAGCACTTCATGCTGTAAGGGAGACTAAGTAATAGAGTTCTTCTCTGAGCAGATATGCTTTCAACTGAAACAGAGAAATTCCCTTTTTAAGTCAGGAAAAAAAGAAATTGGTGAACAACTAGCAGTTTCTGCCATTTGGCACGCAATTAATTCTTTTAAATTGACAAGAAAAATTGTATATGTCCGACCTACCCTCTGCGGGAGGACTGAGCTCGTTCGGAAAAAACCGGGCCGCAGGTTAGAAGAAAGTCTTAAGTTCAGGCTTTATTGAGAGGAAAGAGCCTCCGGGCGGACCAGCCGGGAAGAAGAGGAAAACGGCCGCCCCGCTCAGAGGAGCAGAGTTCCTTTATAGGGGGCTGAAGGGCCGAGGGAGTGGGGAAGCCGAGAGAGCCGAGGTGGCGGGCAACGGTTGGTCAGTTTAAGCCGCTGGGCGGGAAGCTGGGCGGCGGGAAACTGGGAGGCGGGAAGCCGGGAGGCAGGAAGTTGGGGAGAGCTGATGAGGCGGACGGTGATTGGTCAGCCGGTTGCCGGGCGGGAGGTGGCTGTGGCCGGGCGGGAGGGCTGGAGCGGTATGTAGAGTGAGAGATAAGGGAGCCTCTTTGTGGGGGAGGGGGAGGGCTTTCACGACAGGGACAGAGTTTTCCAAACATTATATATTTATGATGTACAACATGATGTTTTGAAATAAGTATATATTGTAGAATGGCTAAGTCAAGCTACTTAATATAGTCAATGGATATTTATTAAATGAATAAGTGCCACTTGTATGGCATTTGTTTAAAATCCAGAACCATAATATTGGGTGGATTCTACATTGAGTCAGGACAGTTTTCTAAGACAATAAATATGTAACTTTAATACAAATTTGCATTAAGAATAATTGAAAAGAGAATGTTATTCGCCAATGTTCTTTCCCCCTCATTAACAATAAATGAATTTTCTTCTTCCTACATCATTGTTTTATGCTGCACTGCAAAATATTGCTATAGTTAAAAAGAAAACAAAATAACTAAATGCAAGTTTGTTAGAAATTATTAAGGAAACTTTACATATTTACCCATTCCAATGTACATACTGAGGAAAATAAGCAAATACTGTTACCCATTACTGCCCATGGAGAGTGTTTGCAAGTCTCTTTTATCTTTCCAAGCCAATTGCCTTGTTCTCACTGAGGCCAGTTGGCCCATGTTTCTTTTCCTGGCAGTTTCAGTAGATTGTCAACTGCTGGCCCTGTACCACATCTCTGTCTATATTTCAGAATGTGTAGCAAGGCTGAGGTTTCTTAATTAATTCAGGGCAATGGTAGTAATAATTAAAAAACACGCATAACCCATTTTAAGAAGAATAGCGGTAAGTAAATTTTTTTCCCTCCACCAGATCTTGTTTAAATCAGCTATGTTCGTTTTCTAGTTTATTAGCCGGCCTGAATTGAGAATTCAGTCATTACCTACACATTATGCACCACTCCGCCACAGGCTTTCAAATATGCTTATTTATATTCAGGCTTTGGGCTTCCCAAAACTATTATAAAAGCAAGCTGACCTAGAGATGCTCACATTTTCTCAAAGGGACTGAAATGTCTAGCTCATAAAGGTAATATTAAGGGCAACGATTTATTTAAGTTTTGAAGTGGAGAGCAACAAAATTACACATAAGATACTGACATCAAAATTCAAGCAAGGAGAATCTTATAAATAATGAAGGTAAAGACAGATAATATAAAAGTAAATCAAACTTTAAAATATTCTATGTAATTTCAATTAACTTATTTTTCTAATGCTACATAAACATAAAGCTAAATTATTTATAGATGCTGTTTGCATGTTTTAGCGACTTTATTAGTTTCTCATGTTTCAGTCTCTCCACTCAGATGTTAAATCCATCCCTTTGAAGTAATTAACATTATCACTAACATTATAAGATCATTTTCCAGATTCCAAATAAATGACCGTCAAATTGGTGCCTACTCTCTATATTCAGAAATGCTTAAATAGTTCATTATTAGTCAAATGACTATGGAAAAATACTGCTCATAAGATGAAAGGAATAATGATTCATACCCCCCACAAGGAAGATAAAACTCTTCCACGTCACAACTAATTCACTGTAAAATATCTGAGTATCAGAAGATAACTGAAAGCACTAAAAATAAAATCAAATGCAGTAGGTAATTGAAAGGTCATAAGATTTGTCACTACACAATTATGAGGTTTTTTAAAATTTTGGTAGATTGGCCGGGCGCGGTGGCTCAAGCCTGTAATCCCAGCACTTTGGGAGGCTGAGGTGGGTGGATCACGAGGTCAAGAGATTGAGACCATCCTGGTCAACATGGTGAACATCCCTGTCTCTACTAAAAATACAAAAAAATTAGCTGGGCATGGTGGCACGTGCCTGTAATCCCAGCTACTCAGGAGGCTGAGGCAGGAGAATTGCCTGAACCCAGGAGGCGGAGGTTGCGGTGAGCCGAGATTGCGCCATTGCGCTCCAGCCTGGGTAACAAGAGCGAAACTCCGCCTCAAAAAAAAAAAAAAATTTGGTAGAGCTTATAAATATGAGTATAGCTTATATTCTGAATATAGATTACTTTTCAATGAAGTTTTTGTGCATAAATATCTTACGAAAATATTTTATATAGTATAAGCTTTCACTTATCAAATCACACTACTGATGAAGAAAACTAAAGGTTTTAAGACATTACAAATATTAGAAGATTTTTAAAATTTTAGTAGGGAAGATTGTAGCTTCTGTTCTGAATTCAGAGCAACATTTAAATGGTGCTTTATCTATCTAAATATTCACATAATGAAAATATTTGTATGTTACATGTCTCACATTCCTTATCTCACTGAATGTAAAACGAATCTGAAACTTTCAGTGAACGCACATTTAATTTCCCCACCAAAATACTTTCTGTTGACAATAGGTTTTATTGATTTTCAAATGGGAACCTATATTATCTGAAACAAATGAGGAACATATTATTTCTAATTTAAAGATACAAGCACATTTGCTTATGGGAAGACGTTGATCTGTGTATTTTTACACAGGAAATCAGTGATATTTGTTAACTAGCTAACCCATTTTTCAACACTGAACTTAGGGTCTAGTTCTAAGCAAACTATGAAGAAAAGTGCTTATTTATAATATATATGTGTGTGTGTGTGTGCACGCGCGCGTGCATATGTGTGTGCGTGCATCCCTTTTTTCTTAAATACCTGCTATCTCCTGTTGGTCCATATTGTCCTGGTACCCAGGATGGAAGTGCCTTGGCATGCATCCATTGAGCTGTAAGTCTGTTGTGGGTGGGATTCATATGACTGCTCAGTGCTTATGCTCTACTGGTCATAAAATATTTTGAAAATCATCCCTGGTGCATACTCTGTGAGCCAAGTCCCATCTTTCATGGGAAACTTTCCTACCAGAATTCAGTGCCAGGATTATCGTTCAGGGTTGTATTTTCTACTTTAATTCTTACAGTCCTAGGATCAAGATCTGTCTTTGCTTTGGTCAATATAAATCTCTGAGGTGAGTTTTTAACATAGCTTGAGTGATTGCAGTCTGACTGTCTGTTACAGACTGTTACTCACCCTAGGGATCAAGCTGTGCTTTGATCATGTCCAGGTGTTGTCATGTACCTTCAAGTTACTGTAGCTGTGGAAGGCTATTATGACAGTTTTCCACGCAGACAGCTTTGAAGAATTTTGAGAAATGGAGAACAAATATAATTTCGAATCTCAAAATGGTTAATAAGTATATCCTAAGATGTCTAACATTCCATGTCATTAAAGTAAAGCAAATTAAAATCAGATATGACACTACTGAACACCCACCAGAATGGCTAAATTGAAAGGATAAAGAGAAAATTAGACTCTAACACACCGACAGTGGGACCTTGAATACAACTACTTTTGATAAGTGCTTGGCAGTATCTAATAAATCTGAATACACATACACACCCAGCCATTCCAGCTGTGGGCATATATCCAGCAGGAAGGTATATATATGAACTCCAACAGACATATATAAAATGTTCATGGCATATTGTTTATAAAAACCTCAAACTGGAAATAAAAACAATGTCTGTCTACAATAGACTGGGTAAAGAGAAATTTTGATAATGGACAATAAAACACTGCATATCAAGGAAAAAAAGAAGAAATACCTCTACATGCAAAGATGGATAAATACATTGAGCAAGCAATCACTCCAAAAGGTATGCAGTATATTATTCTACTCATACGAAGTGAAAGAGCAAAAAAAAAAAAATTAATCTGTGGGGCCTGGAATGGCGGTTCATGTTTGTAATCCCAGCACTTTGGGAGGCCGAGGTGGAAAGATCGCTTGAGCCCAAGAGTTCAAGACCAGTGCAGGCAACACAGTGATACCTCATCTCTACAAAAGATGAAAAAAAAAATTAGCGAGGCATGGTGATATGTGCTTATAGCCCTGACTACTCAGGCAATTGAGTCAGGAGGATCACTTGAACCTAGGAGTTTGAGGTTACAGTGAGCTTTGATTATGCCACTGTACTCTAGCCTGTGCAACACAGAGAGGACCTGTCTCTAAAAAAAGTTAATAAATAAAAATCTGTCGTGGCTTTTGGAGGCAAATGACTAAGGGCAGGAGGGAAGCTTTTGATCTGAGTGACAGTTACATATGGCGTTCACCTTGTAAAAGCAGACTGGTTGCCTACTCTGATCCCTCAAAAGGTAGCACTAGAATGCCATGGTCAAACACGATCAATTCTGTCCACATCAAAAACAATGATTCCTCTCTCAAGGACTAATTCATGTTATCCAAGCCAAGAGAGTCAGATAGGAAAAGAGGATGGCAGTTCATCAATTTAAATTAGCAAATACAACTGTTTCATAGACCATACCTGCGTCAATATGATCGACACATTTACTCAATGAAAACAAACTCACATGCACAGCAATATTATACAGACACAAGAAAAATAAATATTGACTAAGAAATGTCCTTTTACTTAACAATGCACAGACTTTATCATGCTAGGTATGAAGGGCAAGTTTATTAAGTCAAAGGGCATCCAGTTGTATCTAACAACACTGGTTAGTTTGCTACTCAAAACATAAAGATTTATCAAGCTTGTCTCGCAGTTCTCAGATGTCAGACATAATTTTGACATATAAAGCAGTTTGTATGTAAGAATTTCAAGATTCTTATGGAAAGTGTGACTCTCAGAGAAAGTCAAGAATTGATATTATTTTATCAGTGGTAAGCTAAAGTTTAAAAATATGAAAACTTAATGGAAGTCATGTTTGTTTTAAGGTTATATGGAAAATCAGAAAAGGATGCAGGATGCAGGATGCAGGGCTTCCACGCAGAGGCACAATCACTCATTCTTTCAAGTTATTTAGAAACCATTTGTGTATGTGTGTTGGTGTGATTTTTTTTTTCCAGCTGTTGTACTACAAATCACAAGTCCATTACCAAACAAGCATCTGCCCTCAAGGTGATTACAATCTACAGGGAAGACAAACAATAGGAACATATTAAACAAATAAATTAGTTAACAATACCTTGTGCGCTCTGAGGAAAATGCAAATCAAGATCAGGGATCAAGGCTAACTGGAATGGGACACTAGTTTCCGTAAGGACTTCGGGGATACTGTCTGCAGAGGAAAACACTTGCACATGCACCTGAATGATCACATGAAAGGAGTCAAACGAAGAACGAGACTGAGACGAGAGCCATCGAGACAGAGCGGACAGAAGCCATAAAGACCTTGAGGCGAGAACAAGATTGGCAGAGTTAAGGAGCAATAAGGAGCTCAGTACGGCCAGAGTACAGTAAGAGGGAACGTGGCAGCAAATGAGGTGGGAACCGGATGGTGCTGGGACTTCTAAATCACAATGAGTGACTTGGGTTTTATTTTAATTGAAATGAGGAAACGTGCAGGGCATTGAACAAAACATAAAGGTAATGCCTATGCTTTTAAAAGCCTACTCTGGTACATGGTGTAGAAGCATACTTCCATTTGAGAAAATTTGGAAGTGATTTTAAGTATCAACATATGAACTTTCCAATGGATACAACATTCTCTAGAATGTTTTACAGTAACACCCAGTTGGGTGCCCATTCTTACTTTTACCAGGCAATTAATTTCTTGGAATTTCATGGTTGACAGCGTCATCATTGTGTTCATAAAAATCTATAAAAGTATCTGGAATAAAGGACGGGCTTATCTCAAGAGAAATTTAATTACTAGAAATAGTGTGACTTACCGTATAAGTCTGTTCTCATATTGCTATGAAGAAATATCCGAGACGGGGTAATTTATAAAGAAAGAGTCTAATGGACTCATACTTCCACATGGCTGGGGAAGCCTCATAATCATGGCGGAAGGCAAAGGAGGAGAACAGGACTGACTTACATGGCAGCAGCAAGAGAATACGTGCAGAAGCAATGCCCTTTCAAGAAACATCAGATCTCATGAGCCTTATTCACTACCACAGGAAGAGCATGGCAAAAACTCACCCCCATGATTCAATTATCTCCCACTGGGTACTTCCCAGGAGACATGTGGATTACTGGAGCTACAGTTCAAGATGAGATTTGGGTGAGGACACAACCAAACCCTATCAACTTAACATTGCCAATATATGATACAGAAAATTCCTTAGATTGACAGAATTTGAATGACATTTATGGTTTGCTGCCTCCATAGCTCCACATATTTTTAGCTTAGGAGAAAAGGGATTCTTGAGTGAGTTTTCTAGGTTTAATTGAGATTATCATCTCTAGTGCTCCCCAAACTCAAAGATTAGTTTTCTTTGTTAATTCAGATTCCTGCAAATAAAAAGTCTTGACTAAATTGTTACCTCATAAATTACAGATTTCATATTTTCTCTTAATTCATCTGAAAATATAAACTGCTACTTACCATTTTTTTTAAGAGACAAGGTCTTGCTTTATCTCCTAGGCTGGAATGCAATGATGTAATCAGAGCTTACTATAACCTCAAACTCCTAGGCTCAAGCAATTCTCCCACCTAGGCCTCCCAAGTAGCTGGGACTACAGGCATGCACACCCATGCCTGGCTCGTATTTTTATTTTTTATAGAGACAGCGTCTCTTATATTTCCCAGGCTGGTCTGGAACTCCTGGCCTCAAACCATCCCCCTGCCTTAGTCTCCCGAAGTACTAAGACTACAGAATTGAGACACCATACCCAACCTCCCATTTTCATTGTACATGAAATCACAAGTTGCTTAGGTTTTCTTGCAGAACAAATGTCAGACGCCATGAGTAGGACATTATCTCTAAATTGGCTATCACTTGAGTTCACCCTCAGGTGAAACACCAAACACCAGGAAACAGATCAGGGATGAATCCAATGTCATTAACATCTGAAAGCTTTCATCTGGTAGAACATCCAGTCCTCCTCTCAGAGCAAAACCAATCCCTCCCAAGAAGGTTATTAGTCAGAAGGCCAAACTCAAATCCCCGTGGTGATAACTTCTAGTGCCATGAACACTGGATTAAGTAAGGTAAATAATAGATGGCCTGTTCACTGGGGAATTTATTTCAGCCCTTCTCAAAAAGCAGATGGAATTTTAACCCACTCACATCTGATCTCAGTTTGGAGGCATCCTTCCTTCTTTCTAAAGAGCAGAGACTGAATTTGGGGCTTGTTAAATCATTTCCCAGCTATCCCAGCAGTGCCTAAGAAGTTGAAAATTATGTGATGAATCACTGCTCTGACCTCTTGTCCTGATATAGTTAACTACCTCAGTTATTTGTCTTCCAAACCCAAATAATCACATTATATAGCATTTAACCTTATGCTAGCAAGGGTGAAGACTCAAATGGGAGTTACTGGAGTGAACTGCTTTCGACTTTGTGTGAGTGTGAATACACATACACACAACTATGGACAACATTTGCTTCCTCCTCCAGATTCACTCTGGATGAACCAAGCTGGCTTCTCATTGAGTTCAACTAATGGGAGGATCTGGCAGGAACAGAGCAAGACCAGGGTAGACATGTCCTGAGTTCTCTCCCTGCTCAACCGCTGGCTGGCACTGGCTGGGTGCTTTTCTTCATAGAGGGTCATAAACCTCCTCTCGGGCTGCCCTGTCTTCTGACTTTGGGTCTCTCTAGCTCTCTTCACCTTGCTGCAACTTTACAAAAAGTCCCTACGTTAATTTCATCTTGTTTGAGTGTGCCATCTCCTTCCTGCCTTGCTACTTTCAGCCTTTACTTACAGAATGTGATTTCAAAAATATTATATGGAAACTAAATGTCCATTGTATATGTTCTTTTATTTTACTGTAAAAAGTCAAGGGGATGAAGTCATCTAAGGGTTTTCATTAGAATTAGTGTTTATTATAAAAGAACAGTTTTATTTAACTCTCAAAACCATCAACTGGTGAAAATTTGCCCTGGCACGTATCCGCCAATAAACTAAGGTTAAACTTTTAGAATAAATAGAAGAAGATGAGAGCTAACATTTATTGTAAATCCTCTGTGTACCAGAGAATTATATACTGCACTCTTTAATCATTATAACAACTATATGAATTATAGTAAGAATCAGAGCAAATATTCAAAAGCTAACCTCGCCCTGAGCTATCTCTATTGCATCCATGCTGCTGTCATTCAAACAAGTTAATATATACATTTTTAAAATGTTCATTATTTGCTATCCAAAGAGATGAGAGGCAAGTCAGAATAGAAAGGAATTTATGAAAATTCATCAACCATTCTAATCATTGCTGCCTCAAAGTATTTGCTTTCGGGTCAACCATCTCAATCCCAACCACTTCTCTTAAATTTAGCTATCAGATTTTTAGCTCATTCCTTCTTAGTTGTTTGAGACTCTGCTTATATGAGGTGGATGCTCCATAGTCTAGAAGAGTGACTTTCTGTCTACAGCTCTTCGTAACCAGAAAGCACTATCTTTGGCCTGGCGCGGTGGCTCAAGCCTGTAATCCCAGCACTTTGGGAGGCCGAGGCAGGTGGATCATGAGAGATCGAGACCATCCTGGTCAACATGGTGAAACCCCGTCTCTACTAAAAATACAAAAAATTAGCTGGGCATGGTGGCACGTGCCTGTAATCCCAGCTACTCAGGAGGCTGAGGCAGGAGAATTGCCTGAACCCAGGAGGCGGAGGTTGCGGTGAGCCGAGATCGCGCCATTGCACTCCAGCCTGGGTAACAAGAGCGAAACACTGTCTCAAAAAAAAAAGCACTGTCTTTTTCAAATGAAGCCACTGGTTCTTCCATATTGGTGGGCATTAATACCCTTTCCTTTACAAAGCAAAATGCAAAGTACTTATGGTATCTCCACAAAGCCACAGGTTTTGAACACAATTTCACCTCTGGCATATTAGGGGACATGCAAAAATCTAGCACCAACGCTTTTCGACCTGTTTCTATTCTTGCCATTAACAAAGAGTTTGTTCAGCTCAAGGATTCTCAGCTCTCCCCTGGAACATTAGCAAGCAGGCCACTGACCTGCATCTTACTTCTTTGCTCTGTGATTATGGGACACCAAAAATCTCCTGCAGCTCAGATTCCCATAGCTCTTCTGGCCACTTCCTCTGTCTGGTGTCTGACCTGCCTCTGGTTCTGGTAATTTAAACTCAGCTCATCAGGGCCCCACCCACAACAGGAAAAGTACTTGAGCCTGTAGCCTTTCCACTCTCTCAGGGCTCCCATCTCTACCTCAGCTCCATGACATCATTCATCCATCTGCAGACTTCTTCCTGTGCTACTCCCACAGCTTCGATCACGGGAGTGGATGATTGTGGGGATCCCTGTTACCCATCAGCTTTTCCCTTAGCTTAACTGTAAATGACCATATCGATTGCAGGAGGGCAGAGTGTCCAGTCAGCATCCCCAGAGAAGACTGTCTGAGAGGGGTTAGCCTTTTCCACTTTCCTTTTAAGGATTCATCTTCCCTTTCGCTTGGGAGTTGCTGTTGCAATTAATCTCTCTAAATCTGTGTGTTTTGCCATCCCTTTCAAGTTTCCTACCTCTATTTTCTCTTCCTTGGTTGCCGTCTCATTTCCTTCCACCTTTTCTTCCTTTCCCCTTTCTTCTCGTCTTTCTTTTTTCACTTCCTCTATTCCACTTTTCATTTTTGCTTTCTTCTGAGCAAAATACTAAGCAAACAATGGCAAGTACATTTTAAAAGGCAATAATTAATAGGTGAATCCCATATGCTTGGTAGCCTTTAGCAGGAAATATATATTTTTCAAGAGAGAATGCACTTAATAGAAAGGGCCATGCCCATGACAGAGGGAATACCAACTAAAATGCACATTTGCTAATGCTGTAAATTCAATACATGTGCTTAACTATCCACATTTAAGAGGACATTATAGGCTGAGCAGGAGGGTTTGAAAGCTTTCTGAATACCATCAGTATATAATCTTAAGAATTAGCTTTATTCATATAAAAAATAAGTTCCATTCATGCTTGTTCACATGGCTATTACATTAACAACAAAGATAGCAAATACATGGCACGGTTCCCATACATTTATAGGCCCCTGCCACTGCCCATGCCCATGTTAACCTTTCCTCATCAATCATTACTATCTTTCCATGTGGGCTGAGAAACTGGCTCCTGCCTTTCTCAAAACAGTATTTCTAGCAGCTTCTACCAGTTGATAGAGGACAACAGCTGAGGAGAAGTCTTATTTTGCATTCCCTTAAAAGAAGTGGAAACATCAGATATTAACTGTGATTACTGCCACATATAGCATTATGGGTTGCTTTTTATATTTTAGTAAATTATCCAAATATGCTACCGTAACTATGTATTATATTAATAGTCAAATACAAATGTTTTATTTAAGAAATCAACTATCCTGTGTAATTTGAAGACAGACTTACCAACACAGGCTTCATCCTTAATACCAAAGGAGAAAGGCATGTAAATTGTCTGAGCAACTCTTTTTATCTTATGCGGTTTTCTGAGTCATAGAAACACCCTGAGGTAATCATATTTAATTATGTCATTTTAAAAACACAGAGATTAGGACTGATTTTCAAACACAATTTAAGATACCTTTTATTATTTGTATGGAGACAAAGAAAGAAGGGAAATGACAAAAAAAATTTTAAAAGCTGCGCTGTGATAATTAGTAGAAACTTGTAAGTACAATGCAAGGGGCTATACAGAAAAAAATAGTCCTTAAGGGGGAAAACATTTCGTTTCTCTTTCAATTGATAACATTCAAGTTATTTTCAGCATAAGACTTGGAATAATATTACTTAACATTCACAGGCAACATTACCCCAGCTTAAAATGTGTGTCTGTGTGTGTGTGTACCTGTGTGTGTGTGTATACGTGTGTGTGTCTGTGTGTGTGTAAAGTTCCATCTAACTCAACATTACTTACATTTACCTTGACATTTACCTGGACTTTTGCAATGACATTTATACTTAACAATTTATTCTTAACACATATTCTACAATGTTATTCTCAAAAGAAGCACTTAGTAAATATTGGTCAAGAATAAGGAATATTCAAGGAAGCTAATACTGGCTTTGACTTTCAGCAACTTTTTTCAATTCTGTATAAAAAAATGAGAAACAATTAGCATTCAGGATTTAAGCTCTCATGTATGTCTCATGAACGATTCTAGAAATGATTGCAATGCCATGGGAGAAATTTGAATAATATGATGATAGGTTGCTGTGAGACAGGTCCTACTAAAACTGCTTAGTTATGTTTCATTTACCCAGAAACTCCCACCTTCCAACCCGACAGTTACAGGACAGAGCCCCTAACTAGTCAAAGAGGAGTCACAGAGGTTTCACAATGATTTGACCACAATGTACTGAGTGTCCTTTATTGCTAGAGTAAGTGTTTCTTAGAAAATGAACAAGATAGATACGTTCCTTGCCACATAGAGCTCACGGTTTAGTGGAATATTCAGACAAGTAAATGGACAACTACAATACAGTGTGTTAGTATTTTCTAAATGATGATTCATGATAGTGCTGCAGGGCTATCACCTGGAGGGCTCTTTAAAAATACATATTCTCAGGATGCTGCTCCAGGCATCCTAAATCAGAACCATGTGTTAGAACGCCAGGGAAGCCCAGAGAGACAGCTCATTTCCTCTGGGAAATGAATCTTGAGAAGGGATGGGAAGTTATCAAGGAGAGGCTTGCATGGGGTTACTGTCAGGGCAGGGCATGGACAGACACTGGTGTGGGCAGGAGAGGAGAAGTGTGTTACAATCTGAGGGAGCAGAAGGCGTGACACACAGGCGCAGGCATTTCTGTGGAAGCCTCAGAGCATACAATGTGGAAGAACGCAGGAATACAGACACAGTTGAGAGCTACAAAACTAGAGAAGGAAGTTCTAGCTGATGAGGTCCTTGGAAGGGCCTGTTAGAGAGTTCGAACTATGGTATCCCAAAAGCAATTGGTAACCATTAAAGCGTTTTAGGCTGAGGAGAGATTTGCTCAGGACAACCATGAAGTCACTGTTACTGGTTCAGGCAATCCTGGAGATGATAGTAACATTCACTGATGTACAGAATACAGAAAAAATAATAGTTTGGGAGAAGATGGCAAACTCCATTTTGAACACAATTTTTAAATCCCTGTATTTCCCAGTAGCAGTTAATAGCTGCGAACTCCAAGGGAAGGTCATGAATGATAGAGAGATCTTGGAATCATCAAACATCCATTCAATAAATATTCATTGAATTCCTCCCATGTACTACACTGGGTGTTAAATCTAGGGATACAACAGTGAATTGGAGGAGGCATAGTCCCCACCATTGTGGGGGGGATCATGCATGTGGATGTTCATTGAAACTCCAGGAGTACAGGATATCACCAAGAAGGGGATGTGACCAAAATGGGTAAGGATTTAGATGATGCTTGGTAGACAGGATAAACTAGCAGTCAAAAATCTAATAGTGATCACTGCAAAACAGAGAATCAGAGTAAGTTGAAATGATGCCAAGTGATCTATGCCCATAAACTATGTCTTTGAAAATTGAATGACATTTTTAAGAAGCCATCAATGTGAATTATGAATAACAAGGGGAAGAGTCATAAGAGGCAGAGAAAATAGGTAACATGAAGACCCTGGAAGATGATGAGGGAAGAAGAGAAGATACATGGGTATCTCCTGTTGGGCTCTGAAATCCATGCTAATGCACTGGAGTTTTAGTTCAAATGAGAAAGGAAATCATTAGATGGTTTTAAGCAGGTAAGTGACATGATCTGTAGTATACATATTTTTACACATCGCTCTCGCTCTTGTGGGGATAACTGATTGTGGAAGCGTGAAAGCAAGGAGATGCTCTAGGAGCCTATTTCGGTCATCCAGGGAAGAAATGAATGTGTCTGGGTCTAGACGTGATTGGGTTCAGTTTATTTTCTGTGAGTGAAGAAGAGCAGATTTACTAATAAATTACATGTAAAGAAAGAAAGGAACAAAGACAACTCTTAGATTGAGAGAGCAATGGTGGAGAGTATGTCAATTCATGAGATGCAGAAACACATAAAAGAACAAGATACTTGATAATGCTTTGTTCTCCAACTATAATGGAAGCTACTTGAAGAAAAAGACCACAGCTCCTATCAACGAACATTTTGTTTTTTCTACCCTATTTTCCCTGGGTTTTTGATATGAGCACCTGAAATGAAGACGTGGTTACTGAATGACTGAATAAATGAAAGAATATGTTTTTATGTGGAAAATCAGGCACTGTCTCTGCTGCTTAATTTTACTATGTTCCCTCAGACCATTAATCTTTACAATAAACGACTTGGTCTTTATTCACTGAAATGGCAATAAAGACAAGTTGTAGCTCTTCTCCACACTTTTAAGAAAAGAAACATGAAAAATAAAAGAGAATTTATTGAAACAGGCTTTTCTGAGACAGCAAATTTGCCATAGTAGAGGCTTTTGAGCATTCAAAAGCTATCTGACCCCAGGAGAATGGATGTGGAGCCATTTACATTCCATAAGTACCTACATTAAGCTAGATATCATTTGCATGTGATTTAAACCTCACAGCATCCCAAAGGGAGACAAGTTGATAAAGATGATGATGATGATGATGATGATGATGATGATAATGATGACTGCCATTTCATAGATGTGAAAAGTGAAGTTTTGGAAGAGGAAGTGACGTGAAGAGATCATTTAACTAGTAAGGGGCTTGCATAGTCAGGACTCAAACCTGACAAGTCAATGTTCAAAGCTTTTGCTTTTCCATACTCAAGGTTTCCAGTGACAGATATTAATAAGACTTACCTCCAAGGAGTCAAACAAGACCTGTGAAAGTCCTCTCCATGATTTCACTCCGAGGAGTCAAACAAGACCTATGAAAGTCCTCTCCATGATTTCACTCCGAGGAGTCAAACAAGACCTATGAAAGTCCTCTCCATGATTTCACTCCGAGGAGTCAAACAAGACCTATGAAAGTCCTCTCCATGATTTCACTCCGAGGAGTCAAACAAGACCTATGAAAGTCCTCTCCATGATTTCACTCCGAGGAGTCAAACAAGACCTATGAAAGTCCTCTCCATGATTTCACTGGCACTTATTAGTCATTCTCTCCAGGTTTCACAAATGGGCAGATCAAGGGTTCTCCGGGAAGACCTGCCATGCATTGACACCTTAGTCAAGGTGTCAAGGATCAGTGTAGTCAAGGATTAGTGTAGTCAAGGATCAGAAAACCACTTTCTAATTTGGGCCACACACATATGGAGGTAAGGAAGCTGAGTCAAGATACTGAGTCAAGCTGCTGTCAGACATTTTTTTCTTCACTAAAATTAAATCTAAAACATTGAGGTGGCTGGCCCAAGGCCTTAAAGTCTATGGTCCAGTATTATAGCTGTGTATCCTTTACCCCAAATGCCTATTTTAGTTCATGAGCCTCTTTGCCCATAAGAGGATATGTAGAGGCAGGAGAGAAGTCTGGTAAAGATACTTAATAAATGATTCCCCATGAAATTTTCTTCCTCTATCCAACAAACTGGAAAATGGACTTTTTTCCCTTTTAACTGATGATGCAGCATGATGTGGAAAAAAGATTTTTGAGAAAACATATAACAAATTTACTCTTACTCCATTATCTTCCTTTCCTGAATCTGCCATACTAGCTGCCCTTATTTTTTATTTTATGACAGTTCAACCCAACCTATCCTACACACATATATATGTATATAATTCACTTCTATGACAACACATAAACAAGGAAATAGTTCAGGCAATTTGGATTAATTTTGGGAATGTGATTGGCATTGAAGGAACTTTCTGGGTGAGGGGTTCTTATCATTTTTTTGTGCCATGAAACCCTTTTTAGTTTGGTGATTTCTACTGATTCCCTTCCTCAAATAATGTTTTAAATTCATAAAATACATAGAATGAAGAAAACCAATTATACTGAAATTAAATTTCAAAATATAAGAAAACAAGTTAATGATGTAGTAATTAATGCAATTCTTTGCTGATATATTAAATAAAGAGATTTAGCAGTTGCTCTAATAATTTTCAAGTGGTGATGATTCTAAATAATCTTTAGAGCTATGTATAACAACCATAAGATGTTGTGAAAAATTTCTGTGATTCACATTGGTAACAAAAATCACAGGTACCTGTAAGATGTAGTTTCTCAAAAATAAGTCCTAAATTCTGTTATTGGATCAAAAAAGTAAAAATGTAATTTTTCCACATCCAGGGTCAACATTTAAGTGAAGAATCCATGCTTTAGCCTCAAAGTATTGGAGTCCTCCTATAACACTAGAAAGATCGTAAGTTAACTACATATGCCTGAACTTTGTAGTCTCCAAAGGGAGTACTGTTATCTAATTCCCAAACAGGAATAATCCTATGCCCTGCTGCAAAGTGTCTTAAGCCAATTTAGACAAGAATAACTCTCAAATTATTTTTGGTGGAGAAAGCTAATCACTGAGTAGTTTGAGGTGAACGGAAGTTCGCTATTCCTCCACAACCCTGTGACCAGGTTATAATGAAAGTAAGTTTTTAGCTAAATCGTGCTACAAAGATCGACTAAACTTTTCGTATACAATCAAACCTGAAATAATTACACCAAACCTCACTTTCTGCCTGCGTAGATGCTGTAACCACCACCCTGCATGAAAGTTTCACTCGAAATAGATGTTAAAACATTCTGGAGATGGGAAACTGTGACTTTTGTCATACCAAGTAATTGAGAACCAGCCACAGAGCCTCTAAGGAATAAAGCATCAGGGCCATCCTTGAGAAAGCTGGCTTTGAGCCCCCCCGAATTCCTGCATGCTGTTCATGCAAGTGCCTGTAATATCAACAAAAGATTTTAGCCAAGTCACATCTCTGAGACAGTTTTCATGCCATCTAACCAGTCAGAGTACAGTTCTACCAGCCATGCTAAATAACAGGCCACCAATTACACTGAGCAAATCCGTGTCTGACATTCACTATGCTAATTAGCATATTCTCAGGTGCTGTTTAAGATACGGATAGTTAAGGACTTCTAGTAGCCACCTTTAGAATTAGCCTTCCTCATGTAATGCTAACTACCACCACTGGAGTGTGGATTCTTAATTAGAGAAAGTAACTGGCCCTAAAATTGAATCTCAAACTAAGTAGCACATGCTTAATATTGCATAGTATATGTCAAAGTGTTTATAAGTAAATTATTATAGACACCATAATAATTTCTCATTCACTTTGAATACAGCAAGTGCAACACTTTAATAAGTTCCTGATATGGTTTGGCTGTGTGCCCACTCAAATCTCACCTTAAATTGTAATAATTACCATATGTCAAGGGTGAGACCAGGTGGAGATAACTGAATCATGGGGGGCAATTGCCCCCATCTGCTCTTGTCATAGTCAATAAGTATCATGAGATCTGATGGTTTTATAAATTTGAATTTCCCTGCACAAGCTCCCTTGCCTGCCACCATGTAAAACATGACTTTGCTCCTCATTCACCTTCCACCATGATTGTGACACGTTTCCACCCATGTGGAACTGTGAGTCAATTAAACCACCTGCCTTTAAAAATTACCCATTCTTGGGTATATCTTTATTGGCAGCAGGAGAACATACTAATACAGTTCCCTCCTCAGGTGTTTCTGGATGCCCGACTGAATGTTCACATGTCCCCACATCTGCCATGTTGTCACTCTTACCTCAATCAACCATCACTGAATCTTGTATTTTCTTTTATCCTCCTTCATCATTTCCTCTATCCAATCACCAATGCTTTAAAAACACTGGATTCAATTTCAGGATTGAAATAAAATCCCTTTAATAAACTCTTTAGTTTCTATTAATTATCTCAAATTGTCTTATTTAGTAAGAACTCAGTATATTAAAGTGTGAGTTATTTATATATTAGTTTAGTTGTGTCCTTTTGGTTCCTTACAAGGAAGCAAATTAAAAGGCAACATTAATTCTAGTTATTATGGAAAGGTCTAAACGTTTTTTATACAGGAAGCAGTAAAATGCATTAATTGTACAGGAACTAGAAAATATATGCTAGTGGCACTCACAAGTTATTACAGTCTAATTGTAGTTAATTTTATTCTCTGGGACAACTAATCTCTCGATAACATTTGCAGCGATTGATTAAAATCCACTCCTTGCTAAAATCAAGGTCTTTAGGTAATTGATGTGCTAATAGACCTGCAATTATTTGAGACTGTGCTTCCTCACAGAGAGCAAGTCAAGGAATGGATAAAATCCAAATAATGTACCTATTTGCAACAGAAGCTATGATAATTGCCAGGAGACAGCCTGCTTATCAGTTGCAAGAGGTTTTCATCCTTCATTAATATGTAGTTCAGTTGGACATCAGAGAAACTGGCCCCCATGGGAATATTCTCCAAATCTCCCATTATCTCATTTTCCATACACTTGGCTTGACCCACTTTTTATCTACATTTGCAGAAAGATCTGGTTTTTCACATGTGAGCTTTCTAAACAATCTGCTAGCTGTGAACCTGCATCTCCAAAGCTTCATGCAGTGTCAGCTGCTGTAAATTTGGACAAGTGTGTACACCAATAAAATATTAGTTTAAATAGTCCAGACTAAATATTTAAAAGTAGACAAAATAAATATTCCAAAGTGCTAAGCTGTGAGTTTTCCATTCTGTGGCTTGTGCCTCCATGTGGTTACTGTGCTAGGCTCTCAGTCGGGGCTACACATCTTTAATGTCTTCAGGCATCTGGGAGAGCCACACATGCTGTTGGCCAACTCCAGATTTGTTGCACATCAGGCTGAGCTCTCTACTGAGTCTAAACTTACCCACAGAAAGATTGGGAGTAATGCTTTTAAAATTCCATTAGTGAAACAAAAACCATCTTCTTCTATCCTGGCCAGACATGATCCAGGTGGCCAAAAGAATTGTTGCTTGAGACCAATTTTCTTTTGTCCTGGGGCTTGTGAGGGAATGTCTAAGTGGGTCACAATTCTTTGCAGCCTCTGCTCTCTTCAGCTTTGCTCTCATAAAGAATATTCTTGTCCCTGAGTTTATAATTGAAGTTCACTAAAGATGACGCTTTGCAATTAAAATAGGAGGGATAAATGGCTTTATCTTTCCATTTCATCCTCATTATGGTTCAAAACAAATATCCAGTGTGGTCAATTACTGTAGATAAGTGAAAAGAAAAACATAGCTGTTCAAGTAAAATGCATTTTCCAGGTACTATCATAATGGTTAACATATATGATGAGTACTCACTATTCCCAGGCTCTGTGCTGAGTGCTTCAGTCATGCCATGGCATTTAATTCTTACAACACATAAGTACGATTTCACCTAGATGACATCCTAATAAATACTGTTATTCTCCCCATTTTATAGATGAGTCCACTGAGGAAGGAAAAAGTTAGCTTCACTTGACCAAGTTCCCACATGGATTAAGCAGCAGACTCCAAACCAAGACCAGAAAGCAATCCTCTGTTTCATGAAAACATACTTGGATATGACCTATGCTATTGTGAATGAAACTTAGCAAGGAAGAACTGTCCATCAATCATTTTAACTAAGTTCACCTTTTGTTGCCATTTAAGTATAATTTTGTCCTAAGAAATTCATAGTGAGTGATTGTGATTACATTTTCCTCATCTACATGCCTCTGACATTCTTGCTGAAGATGCTAATCTTGTATAAAGCTGTCTTTAGAGCTGATGATGCTGCCACTTCTCACTCCTATGGGGAAATGGAGAGATGTGGTGCATAAAATAGAATAAAATGTATTAGAGCAAAATAAAACTGCTAATAAAAGTAATCACTGTAATAGATTTTAAAATCATTTTAAATCTAGTTTTAATTACATAAATCCATCTCAGAATTACTACTGATGTGATGAGAAATTCATAAATTCTATGCAAACTGAAAACAGAAATTACGTTGTTTATTAAAATACTACTTTACTACTCCATCTCTATATTATCATATATGTAAATTTATGCATGTATACATAAATTATACATTTCTACATATAAATTTGAATTTATCAGAACTACTCAATTTCGTCTCCTGGTTAATAATTTAGTACGTATTAAACTTCAATATTCAAATCAAGATATATTCTCTCCTCAAACATGATAAAACATGAAAGCATTCTAAGATTATACAGGGCATGTTTTCTAAACAAAATTTACTTCTCATTTTAGAAAGTTGATGTTATCAAGGCATTACCATCAAATTTAACTTCTCTATTTTTTTCTTTAGATAAAAATAGAGAAGAAAGCTTTTTACGTGTGTCAATCTAAGAAAAACTTTAATTAGGATCCCTAGCTGTTGCTTAGGTTGCATTCTACAACTTATTTCAGCTTGACAGTAGGCAGACTTCCCCTTCAATTTTAGGTTGAAACCAGAATAAAAAGTGCTTTGGAAGAAAAACAAAACTGGTTTCTGTTCTCCTAATTCCCTCCTGCCCATAAAATGAATCTATGCAGAATATTTGCAATAGCTTCTCAAACCCACCTAGCTCTTCTGTATTTCTCACTTGAAGACATCAGATGGCTGACTCCACAGGAGCCTGTGGTAGATCAGAGTGGAAAACTGCAACCTGAGAGGATTGAGGGAAACCTTGCAGAGTCCCTGGGGCAGCGGTCAGGTTGGAGGTTTCACATAGTCTAAATGAGAGTCTTCTTTATTTTGCTGCTCAAATCTGGTGGGCTTTCCTGCCAATCTGCCAATGAGTTTGCTATGGGCTCAAAACATTGTTATTTTGCCTGAACAGTCTCTGTGGTTAATGGTTGGTATTAGATATTGCATGAACCTTGGGTTTGAAACTCAAGACAGACTCCTATGGATTCTCAATTTTCCTTTTAGGTTAAGAGCAGAAGACCTTCAATTTATCCAGGCCTGTGGTTGAGCTGTTAAAATGCCTGGTCTGAAAATGGATAGGCTTATGGCCAGGAACTCGCTGACCAGAAAACCTATAGTTGCAGGGCTCAGAACTTCTCAGATGATGGGACACAGGAAGAAGTCAGTGGGGTTCATTCAGAAAAGCTCAAGCTAGACAGAAAACACAACCCACAAAGAGGTAGATCAGCCTCCAACTGATGTCATTGTCTCCACTGGAGTAACTGTCCTCAAATGCAGTAACAATCATGCTGCTCCCTTGCTCAAGATATTCAGTAACCAAACCTACTCTTAACACGTTGCAGGGCCTTCAGCAAGAGTACAAATGGATACTCACAACATAGAGTTAAATCTATACAAACTATAAATCAGTATAACAAACTGATAAACAGAATATCTCCCCCTTCCGTGAAAAATATGCCTCCATACTAACGAAGTCTCAACATACAAGCAAAGCTATGGCTGTTGCATGAATGTGGTTGCGAACACAGTAAAAACAACTCAATTGTATTATTATTGTACATGTCTGGGTATTCTTTTTGGAGTCTGATGATGTGAGAATGAAAAATATGTCACAAAAATGTACTGATTATTATATATTCTGTAATATGCATTTTAGAAAAATTACTAATTATGTCATGCTGTGGATTTTTATACAATTTATGTTCTAGAGATAATGATATAAAGGATTAAAAAATATTCAAAGTATACAAAAGTGGAATATATTTTCAGTGAAGATGTAGGTTAAATGTAAAAAAAATTATTGTTCATATTCTCAAGTCTTTTCTTTCAAAATATTCAAAATTGCCTATAAATTTAAAAGGCAAAGGAAAAATCATTATAAATCAAAACATTAAATAAAGATTAAATTTTTATCATGTTTAAGAATTAAATCTTTTGATATAAATAAAGCCATTTAAATTTTATCATTCAACATAAAATTATGTCATTTTATGTATATATATTTATGCATATATTACATGTGTGTGGGGGGTATATATACATAGAAAAAGAAATATTTTGAATAATTACAAATATTTAACAGTGTAAAATATTTCTCAGCCTTCCTATGCAAAGTTTAGAAGTATCACCCTAATTCCTGTCTCCTTTTTTCTATAAACTAGGCATGAAGATAAACAAGTAAATGGATCTCCTTGTCCTGTTTGGAGATTGTTCTTAGATATGCAAGAGTGTACCGTAGGCATGTTATCTGAGAATGGGTGATCAGTTAACATACATTTTTCAAATTTTAAAATTCTCTCCACCTTTCCCCTCTTAAGTTCTTTCTATTTTGCCTGTCCATTTTCTAGGGATGGCAGTGGCATATCCATAGAACTTCACATCACACAGACCTCATTCCCTCTAGACACAGTGCCAGAAATGTGGAGAAGTGTTTGCCTGCTGACTAAATGTTAGTCACAAAAGCTGATGTTTGAGATTACGTGTTAAACTGGGCCAGCAATGAGTACTAAAACCTGAGTACAAAAGTGGCCTTGTATTCTTTTATAGCATTTTCTCCTTTTGTGACTATGAAATGAAAACCTTCTTAAGCATGAGTCCCAAAACAAGGGCCCCTGGAGCGTGAGACTAAGAACAATTGAGTCATTAGCTACCCTAGCCTTTACTATAAAATCCACATATTTTAAACACAACGTAGAAGATAAGACTACAGACAAACTCTTTCTTTTTTTTCTCCATGTGATGCTTTCCTCATTCTCACACCTTCTCTCTAAAAAAAGGGAAGTGCTTTTGTTTACCATTAACCTTGCTTTTTCTTAAATTTGGTGCTTTGAAAACATTAGTCCCTTTGCTCTGAAACCCTTTCACCTCACCCCTTCCTGATGGATTGATCATTAAAGACTCAAATCAGACATCAGACATTACTGTTTCTAGGAAGCTTCTCTCTCTGACCAACCTGGATTAGATTCCCTTTGGGGTACTCCTACGGCACCCTTCGAGCCTCCTTCCACCACAGAATTACACTGAGTTGTAGAGTTCTGCCTACTAATAAGAAAAGCTCTTCTAATTATGAGCCTACTAATGGCAGAAGCTGAATTTTATTTGAAGTTTGTCATCCCTCCACCTAGTACATTGTCAACCGATACATCATTGATGGTTTATAATCACCTGATGAAAGAATAAACTATTAAATAAGCAAAACCACTTAACTCTGTCAAATTGTCACCAATATACAGATGTTATCAACTCTCTCTATATTCATCTGTTTGTGTGTTGCCAGAGAGCAAAAGGCACTTGCTATGGAGTATTCATTCACCTATGCCCCTGATCAAACAAACCCAGGCCCTGGGATGTCCAGAAATCCTTCAACACATATCTTGTTCAAGCCCTTCATGGGCCATCAACAAATACACTCCCCTCAGTACACACAGACTTCCTTTCGAATAATAGCCTAGCTGGATGGCATCAAGTCTTGCATATATTCGACTTACTCCTTATAAGCCTCAATTTCTTCCTTTTGTCACCACATGTGTGAAAAGACATCTGATGCTGGCATTCCACGCAGAGTTTTCAAAAAGGTCAACTAGCATTCAGATTTCTGCTGCTGAAATTCATTCTTTCTCTTTCAAAAATTTAATGGGAAAGGACAGCTTTGTGAAATGGAGGAGCAAGAACAATATTGCTTAAATAAATTGGAATTTGCACTTTGATTACCCTGCAGTTTCTGCCATACTTTGCTGGAAATGCTCCCCGTGGTGCAGGTTTTCTCTAGAGTGACATCATCATATGAAGCTATCCTCCATATAATTATTTCCATCCATATTTGTAGAGGACATAGGAAGAACGCTCAGCAAGGAATACTTGATGCATATAGAAAAATTTAAAACTGTGGAGTCACCAGAAAGCCCCATTAAAAGGCAAATGATATCTATTTATGCATGCCTCTGACTCCAAAGGAGGTTTTTCAGATTCTTATTAGAAAAAAGTCTCTTTCAAACAATGAGACTCTGATAACAGCAAATATCCTATGCCGTGAAACCACAAACAGCGTACATAGTTTCTGCTGCTTTTCTTGGAATAACTCTTAAAAAAGGTGTAGCATAAAGGCAGTAGGCCTATTTTAGTCCATATCCTCAAATTTAAATCCTTGTGGAACTTAGACTCTGTCAACACTAATACCAAGTATTGAGATTTTAAAATTTTATTTTGGCTACCCTGGTTTCCCTTTTGATGAGGTTGATTATCCATTTTAAACTGGATTTTTAATTCATTTTAATAAAAGCAAAAACACTAGTACACAAAAGTATTAATTTTCTCACATATCAAAATAGTTCATTGAAAAACAGAATTTTTTGATAATTCAAATAAAATTTAAAATGTGAAAGCTGTGGATGGGCTTTCCTGACAATTTGTGATTTACTCAGGCTGACTTTACCCATGGGGGAGACTGCAGTCTCCCACTGCTGCGAGTTAAAGGGCATGAGCAGGCTCTTTGTCTCTTGGAAAATAAAAGCTTCCACCATCTGCTCACTGAGGCTTTGACTTTGTTTTAAATGTAAAAAAAAAACATGCATTTAACACTGCAGTTAGCAATAAGGTTCAAACTCATTCATTCATGCATTCATTCATTCAACATAACCACTCAGGGAAAGAAAAGGGTGTTGGATATGAGATTAATTCCTCACTTAGTAAAACAGAAATGTGACTTTTTTCTTTATAACCACTGTGTCAAATCAGCTCCAAAAAAATCAATCTTGCTTCCTTGTCCAATAATGTGATCTCAGTCAGATTCCATGATTTTTCAACTATTAGCATTTGTGCAAAAGTCCCAGCTGATTTC